TACAAAATTTCAACCCGTTCGGAGAAATCGTTGAAAACTACCCCCAAAACAACCTTGCAGACTGGGGCTTAAAAATACTCCAATCAAGTCAAAATTTTATATTCGCTAGTTTATCAATATGGGGATTATCAATACGAAATCTCAGCCTATTTGAAGAAACCCTCAAAAATCACCCCCAAAACAACCTTGCAGGCCGGGGATTAAAAATACTCCAATCAAGTCAAAACTCGAGATTTGCTTATTTCTCAATACGAAGATTGTTGATGCAAAATTTCAACCCGTTTGGAGAAACCGTTAAAAGCTACCCCCAAAACAACCTTGAAGACTGGGGCTTAATAATATTATTACCAAATTGAAACTTGGTGTTTAGTTTTTATCTATACGAGAAGTGATAATGCAAAAAAAACAGCCTTTTTTAAGCTGCTCTTAACAAGTACCCCAAAGCAATCTTTCATACGGGAGCTTAAAAATACTCCAACTGAGTCGAAAGTTACCACTTGCTGAGTTCTTTACACAAAAAATTATCATGTCAAATTTTAGTCACCTTGAAGCAACTTATAAAAATGATTGATAGTTGACATTCATTTAAAGTACACGTAGCGGAAAAATTTCAGACACATATAGACACACAGAGACAGTACATTATGTCTAAAGTAGGTGCGCACCATAGAGGTAGAATGAGAGGAGGGAATATTGTTTGAAAAAATGCCTGGTACCGCGCTTTCTACTAGGGTCATAAATGATTCTTCCAGGTCCTCCGAGAAACTGGTTGTTCCAGTGGCGTGCTCGAAAGCGTTTGCGGGATACTAGGCATAAAACAAAAATAATTTCATAAGAAAGCATATAAAAGCAGCAGCAGCTTGGGAGACGTCTGTAAGAGTTAACGGCATTATTTTCGCGTGAAAACGTTTATTAACTGCCAAACTTATAATCAAATGATGAAAAACACTGTTTACAACAACAGCCTCCTTTATTGTTTTAATTAAGAAAATATCCTAATTGGTCTGTTTCTGTTATTTTGTTAAATTAAATTAAATTTTGCGTTTATTTGTCTTCTTCTTTTTGTTAATTTGTACATCATGTATCAACAGTTTATAAATAAGGTATGTAGTGCGATTGGAAAGATTAAAATCATGTATATTTTCAAATTCTATATTTTTTTTTCTTGCATTTTCACATCTATATCGTTATTTCCATCTAAGAATTTAATTTATCAATGCAACTAAAATTTGCCTAAATACATACACTTAACTAGATTAGTCTTAACTGTAGTCGTCTTTACTTTTACTAAGACTTTCCAATTCTATGTCACTTTTACCGCGCTAGTACGTAAAAGAGTTTTGAGAAAAATTTACATATACTCCTATCTTTTTTTTAACTTAAAATGCAATCGAATCAAGTTACATTTGCAACAGCGTAACCAAACAACCTTTCTTATTTCCCATTTTATACAATTTATGTCATAGATTTATGTCAATTAACGCTTAAACAATGTCATACAAAATAGAGTTGCAAAGAGCCATATACCAGTTAGTTACCCAAGTATCTAAAAGTGAAATTGTGAATATATTTTGGACCAAATATATTACACGCGCAACTATATACAGAACAATTAAAGACTGCGAGGTAGCAATACCACAATAAGTTTAGAAAGATTAAGAAGAAAGACAAGAGCCTGGAACATCAACAAGAAGATTGGCTCGATCGAGAACTCTAAATCCTATATAACAGTTTCTAGAGAAATAGGCAAAAACAACTTAAAATACAGCAAAAGAGCTAAATGTTCAAAACATACAGCATCGCCGTTAGATAGAATTCTTAGATGTTGCCGACTATCGAGAATTCATCATTTTCTGGACAATAGTGTGGTTGTGCTGGGCGATGAAAAATATTTTACGTTTGCCCATTCAGAGATGGAAGGTAACGATGGATTTTATACAAACAATATAGAAGAAATTACAAGTAAAATTTAAGTCGAAGGCAAAGTTTGAAGATAAAATTTTGGTTTGATGGGCTATATCTCAGGCCGGCGTTTCAGCACAATTCATTGGCCGTACTAGAGGTGACGCGGTCAATACATAAAAATATATGGGAACACCATAATAACGACGATGTAATATTTTGACCAAATTTAGCAAGTTGCCATTATACTAGAATGTCCAGGGATTGGTTAGAAAGCAATAATATAAGTTTTGTACCTAAGAAAAGGTAATCCCCCCATAGTGCCCCCCGTGCGAACAATCGAAAACAAAATTTGGGGAATACTAAGTAGAAAGGTTTACAACAACGACTGGGAAGCCAATTTAGAAGAACAATTAAGAAGAACAATTTACCAGACAGTTAGAGAAATGGACGTGGACACCATCCAAAGGCTGTAAGACCTACATATGAAGACAATTTTGCGTCGTATTGAATATAACGAATCTTTATCTGTTTTCCCATTAATAATAATTAATTAAGAAATTAGCACATTTCTGGGTTCTTTTTGAAATTCAAATAAAATTAAGTTTGAGCTTCTTATTATTAATTTAAACTTTCTCTCAAAACGTTTTTTTTTTTTACGTTAGGTTTCTCGGAAATTAAAAATGTCTCTAATTTTCTTTAAAATGTCTTTAAGATTTTGTTTCCTCTGAATTTTAAATTTTCTATTCTGGACACCACTAACTTTGTATTTTTTGACTGATGATGAAGGTTTAATTATATCTCAAAGAACTCAGAACCAGCATATAGTATGTACTGAATGAACCAAGTTAACAGCAAAAATGACGTGTAAAAACGCACAAAAAATGAGAGATTGGACGAAAAAATGCCGAACTTATGCATTCTTACATAGTAGCAACAATTATCTAACAGCGATAAACATGAACTCAAATTATCACAATTCACGTATCTGTAACAAATACTCCTATATTCGTAATTTATATATTTTTTAAATTTAAATATTAATAAATTAATTAATAATTAACAATAAAATAATACAAAATAAATTAATGTCAAATTTTGACTTGATTAGAGTATTTTTAAGCCCTAGTCTGCAAGGTTGTTTTAGGGGTAGTTTTTAACGGTTTCTCCGAACAGGTTGAAATTTTGTATTAACAATCTTCGTATTGAGAAATAAGCAAATATCGAGTTTTAACTAGATTGGAGCATTTTTAACCCCCAGTCTGCAAGGTTGTTTTAGGGGTGATTTTTGAGGGTTTCTCCGAATGGGCTGAAATTTTGCATCAATAATCCTCGTATTAAAAAACTAGGGATTGTCAAAATTTAACTTGATCAGAGTATTTTTGAGCTCCAGTCTGCAAGGTTGTTTTGGGGGTAGTTTTTAACGGTTTCTGCGAACGGGTTGAAATTTTGTGTCAATAATTTTTGTATTGAGAAATAAGCAAATTTCGAGTTTTAATTTGATTGAAGCATTTTTTACCCCCAGTCTGCAAGATTGTTTTGGGGATGATTTTTGAGGGTTTCTCCGAATGGGCTGAAATTTTGCATCAATAATCCTCGTATTGAAAAACTAGCGAATGTCAAATTTTGAATTGATTAGAGTATTTTTAAGCCCTAGTCTGCAAGGTTGTTTTAGGGGTAGTTTTTAACGGTTTATCCGAACGGGCTGAAATTTTGTATTAACAATCTTCGTATTGAGAAATGAGCAAATACCGAGTTTTAACTTGATTGGAGCACTTTTAACCCCCAGTCTGCAAATCTGTTTTAAGGGTGGTTGCTAAGGGTTTCTCCGAACGACTTGAAATTTTGTATCAACAATCTTCGTATTGAGAAATGAGCAAATATCGAGTTTTAACTTGATTGGAAAATTTTTAAGCCCCAGTCTGCAAGGTTGTTTTGGGGGTGATTTTTGAGGGTTTCTCCGAATGGGCTGAAATTTTACATCAATAATCCTCGTATTGAAAAACTAGGGATTGTCAAAATTTAACTTGATCAGAGTATTTTTAAGCTCCAGTCTGCAAGGTTGTTTTGGGGGTAGTTTTTAACGGTTTCTCCGAACGGGTTGAAATTGTGTGTCAATAATTTTTGTATTGAGAAATAAGCAAATATCGAGTTTTAATTTGATTGAAGCATTTTTTACCCCCAGTCTGCAAGATTGTTTTGGGGATGATTTTTGAGGGTTTCTCCGAATGGGCTGAAATTTTGCATCAATAATCCTCGTATTGAAAAACTAGCGAATGTCAAATTTTGAATTGATTAGAGTATTTTTAAGCCCTAGTCTGCAAGGTTGTTTTAGGGGTAGTTTTTAACGGTTTCTCCGAACGGGCTGAAATTTTGTATTAACAATCTTCGTATTGAGAAATGAGCAAATATCGAGTTTTAACTTGATTGGAGCACTTTTAACCCCCAGTCTGCAAATCTGTTTTAAGGGTGGTTGCTAAGGGTTTCTCCGAACGACTTGAAATTTTGTATCAACAATCTTCGTATTGAGAAATGAGCAAATATCGAGTTTTAACTTGATTGGAAAATTTTTAAGCCCCAGTCTGCAAGGTTGTTTTGGGGGTGATTTTTGAGGGTTTCTCCGAATGGGCTGAAATTTTACATCAATAATCCTCGTATTGAAAAACTAGCGAATGTCAAAATTTAACTTGATTAGAGTATTTTTAAGTGCCAGTCTGCAAGGTTGTTTTGGGGGTAGTTTTTAACGGTTTCTCCGATCGGGTTGAAATTTTGTGTCAATAATCTTCGTATTGAGAAATAAGCAAATGTTGAGTTTCAACTTGATTGGAGCATTTTTAACCCCCAGTCTGCAAGATAAACTGTGGTCTGCAAATTAGAAACGCCTAAGATAAATATTGCGCATTTGGAGACAAACCAATGTAAATGTAAGTCATTGTTTATTTTAAGCAAACAATCAGTTTGTTTCGAATATTGACAAAGAATCGCTCCAAGTTTCCTAAAATGCATAACAATCTATACCAGGAAATTTTATCAGAGAGATTAAGACGTTAGTAAAACTAAAAAGCATTTAAATCATCTATTCCTCTACAAATTTCCAAACTATGCACTAATGACAATGCAGCCTTCTAATATTTTCTGTATAGTGAGTTTCATTGTGCTTCCTTGCTACGCAGCAAATGTGAGACCTGGTCGCTACAGTTTGATCAGATGGATAAATGAAAAGCAGTCACTTTGGACTGCGTGTGAAAACTTTGCTGACAATATAACTGAAAACTATTTGAAACGTTTAAATGGAGTCGCTGGGTTGCATCCTGACCCTGAATATCAACCACCAGTTAAAAGTTACAAGGCAGCGACAAATTCGATTCCTAAACATTTCGATTCAAGACAAGCGTGGCCGAAGTGCAGTGACACAATCGCCAATGTCCGACACCAAGGAAGCTGTGGTTCTTGTTGGGTAAAAAAAATAAGTTATACCAAGAAACGTAATCAAAGTTGTTATTACAGGCATTCGCTTCTGCCGAAGTTATGACCGACAGACTGTGTATAGACACTAATGGAACTAACAAATTTTACTTTTCTCCGGAAGATTTGTTAGAATGTTGTACAGATTGCGCAGCAGCTTCGGACCGATGTCTAGGAGGGTATGCAAGTAAGGCATGGGAGTACTGGATTGACAGTGGATTGGTTTCCGGAGGTGACTACAACACACCCATTGTTAGTAAAAATATTTCACTTACAACTTATAAGACACTCAGACAAATTTTAGGGATGTAAACCGTATTCTTATTCTGCCTTCTTTGAGAGTGTTGCCCCGAAGTGTCGTCGCCAGTGCCAGGAAACTTACGATCTGTCTTACACAGATGACAAACAGTTTGGAAAAAGTTTCTATATGGTGGGTCCCCAAACTGATCAAATTCAAACTGAAATTATGACTAACGGACCTGTAGTGGCGATTTTTGAGGTGTATGAAGACTTTTATTACTACGGAAGTGGTAATCTCGAAGGGTTAACAATCACTTTTGTTACTTAATTCTAATCATGTAGGTGTTTATCGACACATTATTGGCCCCAAAATGGGAAATCATGCTGTGAAAATTATCGGCTGGGGCACCGAATATGAAGTTCCCTACTGGCTTGTTGTGAATTCTTGGGGAAGGCAGTGGGCAAGACTAGGAGGATTTTTCAAGATATTAAGGGGTTCGAATCATTGTGGAATCGAGGCTTATGTGATTGGAGGAAACTCGTCATCCAAAAAATATGCTCCCATTATTTTTATTGTTATCATTTGCTATGTGAATGTGGTTTTGTTCGAAAAGTATTTTTATAAGTAATTAAACAAATTTGTTTGTGTTAAATTCATTCCAAAAATTGGAAGACATAAATATTTTTACTGTCGAAATTATGATTTTATATTTTTTACTCTGACTCAATATTTATCGCCTTTTATTGTAGCTTTCATCATTGTTTAAGCGTTCTGTAATAGTTATTTTCAAAGCGTATTTATCTCGAACTCACCTATTCGAGGACGTACTAATACACAGGTAACTTATCTCGAAAATCCATTACTTCCTGCCGTAATTTTAATGTTTGATCTTCAATATTAGGCAATATTTAAAATGAAAAACCTTTTTATTTTACTTCTTATAACTTATAAGGATTACCAATTTTTAGCACTTTGTTTTATATTACAAGTATTTCATTTGTTAGTGGTTCTAAAAAATATTCTCGTATAATAAAAAAAATGATAGATCATGTTTTAATGACCCTTGTGAAATCTAACAAACGACAATAAAATTGAATGACTAATCGCATAAAAATTGATTAGAAATGAAAAGAAAACTTTTAAATACTGCCGTCAGTGTTGGTTTTACACAATCATTACTTCATTAGATTGCTTAAATATCATCAAAAAACTATCTATATATATAAAATTGTTCATTCTTATCAAATTTTTATGGACATCTGTATCGTAAAATATGAACGATGAGTTCCTACTAAGAAATCGTTAGTGTTTACGACTATAACTGCGATTTTTTCCATTTATTTCCGGGTGATGCTTTAAAATGAAAATTTTGAAAATCAGAAATACACAAAATTTGTATACACTTTAATTTAGACTTTCGTATTGTTACGAAATACACCCTTACGCCGCCCCGGTACGAGGCTTATGGCTGTCGAGAACTCTCTGCTTTTATTACGCCGGTGATGATTCATCCTCAATACGACTGAGCGACGGAGCGCTAAAGAAACGCCTGAAGGGTGACTCATCGACGGTCGAGGGGCGGGCGCATCAAGACAAGTCTGGAGACGGTTACCGGAAGTCTCGAAGCGGCAGTCGCGGTGGATATTCGAGAAAGACCTCGATCACAGAAGACGATCGAGGTCTTTCTCGATTTAAATAGAGACGGAGTCAAGAGCGTCCGTGAAATTTGCCGGAATAATTTGTGTATATAATCGTTGTAATAGTTAGTCGTGTAAATCCGAGTTATTAAGAAATACGTTGTTCAGTTTTACCCACGCCAATTTTTATTCGCCCGTACATCAGTACAGTATACACCACAGGAAACACCAATGGAATAAATTCAAAATACTAGTTTCTTGCCGCTGTTCATTTGTTTGTGATGTCATTAACGTCTGAGCTGTGACGTTGCTTAGATATATCTTTCTTGCACGTAATTGTTATTCAATGATGTTTTTTTTTTATCTTTAATTCTGTTGCAGATGTTTCTGATTAGAGATAACAAAAAAAACAACTTCTCTACTAACTCAAAAAAGTTGAAAAGCTTTATCTTATAGTTTTAATTTTATTAAAATTGTTAATCATAAAATCCTGGACGCTGTGTGTACAATATATGGCGAAATCATGATCTGTGATAAACATCTCAGCAGTGAAACATATAAGCTTATTTATGATATTATGAATATAATTTTTATATAGCCGCCATCCGCTACGGCTTAAAATCTCATAAATGAGCTTATCTATTCTAATAATTTCGGTAGTTATTGCTTTGCAAAATATTAAAAATTTGATACCATTAAAACAGAAAACTGTTATGTTATTAAAAGTATAAACAAAGTTGCGCCATCTTGTTTAGTTACCTAGTTTTTAAAATTCTGAAATTATTCTCGTAGTAGTGTAAAAAATATACATAATATGACACATTTTTCTGAGTTTACATAATACCATTAAGACTTCCTAGTATCGGTGATTCCGAAAGATTGCACGTAATTGGCAAGATTGATAATTTATCAGTTGTAATCAATACAACCCATAAAAAAATGATAGACGAAAAAGATATATAATCCCCATTCAACCGAACATATCTAATCACGATCAAACTCTCCAAAAATGCACCCATTAACTATCGTTGTAACAGCGATCTTAATTTCACGTTCGCAACAACTGGAACAACCGACTACCCGTCGTTTACTCATTGACTTGATCAACCAAAATCAAACTTCTTGGACAGCCGGTGAAAATTTTCCTGAAAATGTAACAACCGAAAGTCTGAAACGTCTCAACGGAGCCCTGGGTCTTCATCCCGATCCTAACTTCCAGCTCGAAGTAAAACACCACAAGGTAGCCAGAAAGGAAATTCCGCAATTTTTCGATGCCAGAGAACAATGGAGCGAGTGTAGCGATGTAATTGCTACAATTCGAAATCAGGGTCGGTGCGGTTCTTGTTGGGTGAGTGTTCATATTTTCTGTACAAGGAACTATAAATTTGGTTAATTTGTTTGTTTAATAGGCCTTTGCTTCTGCTGAAACGATGGCTGACAGACTCTGCATAGCAAGTGGAGGAAAAACTAAATTTCAGTTCTCCCCACAAGATTTATTAGAATGTTGTAAACAATGTGTGCCGCAAGGTTATGACAAATGTGATGGAGGATACCTGGTATATGCTTATGACTTTTGGCTTAGCGACGGTATAGTGTCTGGGGGAGATTACATCATTAATAATTATACGGTAAGTGATCAGTTTCAAAAACCCTGATGACGACAATCTTTTAATGCGTATATTTGTTATTCAGACTTTTGTTAAGCAACTCTTACTTGAAATTGATGGTGTGACATGCAAGAATTATAAAAAATTTGTCTTAGAATCAACTTGTGAAAATTTTGCTACTAACAATGATTTAAATATTACTGGATAATGATTAAATAATATTTTCTGTTTATCTTTGATCTACTTTAAATTTTTCCAGGGATGTAAACCCTATTCGTATAATGCCTTTGAACATGGGCTGGGCCCGACGACGTGCCAACAGAAGTGCCATTCACTATATAACACCAGCTATAACGACGATAAAAAATTTGGAAAGCAAGTTTATCAAATAGGTATAGACGAGGCACAAATTCAAACCGAAATTATGACAAATGGTCCAGTGACAGCTATGTATGTAGTTTATGAAGACTTCTATTACTACAAAAGTGGTGTTTACCGGCATACAATAGGAAATTCCACGGGTAATCATGCAGTTAAAATTGTGGGATGGGGAACGGAAGCTGGCCTCCCATACTGGTTGGTAGCAAATTCGTGGGGGACAGATTGGGGTGATTTAAATGGATTTTTCAAAATATTGAGGGGCCAAAATCATTGTAAAATTGAAGAGTCCATTACAGCTGGAAAATCCTCTTCGGCTGTGTATCGTGCGATTCCAGGTCTTTTTATTTTTATTATAATGCTTAAGTACTCTGTATTGTAATAATTTTAATAAAGGTTTTTTACAATATATTCTAAGCTGATAATATACAACCAAATGATTTACATCTGGCGTCGTAAAAAGCCATAATAAAATTTTGTGTCTGGTTGGGCAACTGTTATTTTTATCACTTACATGATAACATATTAGTTATGGTTATGATTTTCCAGAAAATGCTACAGACTTGCCGTCTTGTTTTTATAAAGTTTGAAGAGACAAAAGGGGGAAGTACAGATATGAAACTCATTATGTCACCAAATATTTGTTTCTTGATGTTGTATATCATTTTTTCTGTTTTGGTTATTGTTTATTTAGTTTTTAATTTCCTTTCCATTATTGGTATGCACCCATCGTTCTTATTTTATTATTGTGTTGCAGCACAGTCACACCTTCAATTGTTGCAGAGATTGCTAAGCGAAGGTACTGATTCCAATTAAGGAATAAGTCAAACTCGCTATTGTAGATAACGTAATTCTTTTGCAAATACCGGCTAGTTAAAATTTGTATTGCCACATGCTCTATTATCTGCGCTTTGAACATAATCCATCCGTCCTTTCATTTGAACAGATAAGAATTATCATAAATAGAGAGCGGAAAATATACAGCAAAATGTTTAAATTTTTGATCGTATAACATGCTTCAAATTTGTGCAAATATGCAGTAACTTTATTAATATATACAGAGATTGCAGTTGCATATGCTCCAAAAATAAAAAAAAAAAACTAGTAACTGAACTAAATTTATTTGGTCTTCTAGTATGGTATGTGCGCGATGGACAACCCAGAAAACCGTCGACGCAGCGTTCTCGAACCATCGAGAGGAACTATAGGTTTAAATAGAGGCCACCGTCGGGAACGATTATTATTCAGTTAACGAATCGAGTTGAGCGAAGGGAGAGAGTCCAGTTGCGCCGGAATTATTTTGTACATAATCGCTGTGTAATCAGTCGTGTAAATTCAAGTTATTGAGAAATGAATTGTTGACTTTAACACACGCCGATTATATTCGCCCGTTCAACGTAACAATACTTTTCGAAAATATTTATTTGTAAACAGAAAAACTGCGTTCTACGTCCACAGATGTAAAAATACTTACCGATTTGTAGCAGGCGCAACAAAACACAGTTGCTTCTTGAAGAATAATTTCAGGAAAAGGTTTAATCCTTAAATTAATTTGAGTTATCTTCGACATAATTGACACACGTGCATTGCTTTAAATTTTTTCAATGCAAACTCACGAGAGAAAATAACAGGATAACGTCCCTTCGACCACCATAAAATATACTATTAATACACTTAAATAACGAACAAAAATTTTGGAAATGAATGGTATTTCCAAAATCCAATTTACCTGGAAGGACTATCATAAAACCCAAACCTTTCCTAGTTATTTGAAGCTCAAGAATAGATAAAATAAGATTTTTATTGTCTAACTTTCTTGTGATTTAACCTTTTTGATTGATCACAAGATGGCTGAGAGTAGTATTTTGAGAATAGCGAGTGCAATACCTTAAAATCAGGGTAAAACACCTTAACAATGTTACTTTTTCAAAACTAGGTGCTTACTTTTTAAATATACTTTTAAAAACAGGACAAAATCTTTGAAATATTTGCTTGTTAAATATACCTTCAAAAACAGCAAAATCCCTAAAAAAGTATTGTGTTCTGAAAGGGTCCTTACGAGTATAATAATAAAACCTTAAAAATATGACAAAATGAAATATCAGATTTTTAAAAATACTGTTGCGAAATAAACCCATACGCCTCCCCGGTACGACACCAATGGGTTTTTTAGTATGTGCAGCGGTGATGAGTGACTCATCATCGGTGATGGCGGCCGGGCGGCGTTCGAAAGAGTACAAGTCTGGAGCGAGTTACCCGAAGTCTCGTAGCCCAAAAAAACCTCGAAGCGGCGTTCGCGAACCATCTAGAGGAAAGTATGGGTTTAAATAGTGGCCACTTTCGGGAACAATGATTATTCAGTCAGCGAGTTGAGTCCAGGAAATGTTGAGAGAATCGAGTCAAGTTGCGCCGGAATTATTTTAATTTTAAATAGTCGTGTGCATTAGAGTTATTAAGAAATAAATTGTTGAGTTTTACCCACGCCGAGTTCAATCACCGATCATCGTAACATTTTATATTTCTAAAAAATAAGGCAGAATCCTTAAAATTTGGACTTTAAAAAAAGTACCTACTTTTAAAAACAGGCTAAAATCCTTAAGAAAGTGTTGTGTGCTAAATGGGCCTTTCTAGTAATATTCCAATCCTTTGAGCTCCTATTTTAGCTTTCTGATAATAATAAAAAAATGCTCCAAAGTTACTTCGGCAGAACTTTTCTCGCCGTTGAAGTGCAGTCTAACAAATCCCGCCTCTTTAAAAAATGAGTATAAAAAATGTGTGTTTTTGATAATCTTTATATAGTAAAAAGCAGTGGTGGAAATGATACTCGAACCCCCTGAGTCGCGGCGCCGTACAGACAATGTAAAATATATTTAAAGCACATAAATAACGCCATAAAATGTCCTTCAGCACTAGGTAATACCAATTTGAAGCTCAAGTGTTTATTTATGCTTATACATCGAAAGAAAGTCACGTAGAAATTAGTTTGATTTGAATGAATTCGTCTTTTCAAAACAGAGGACTAAAATTATTACTTAAACCACAATCGAACAAAATGTTGTGAAAGTATAAAAATGTGCGTATTCTCACATTTTCGAGAAAATCGGGTGACTCGTTCTTAATTTGACCAATAAAAAATTTCTGATGACGCCATCAACATAGATAATACTAGTCTCAGCAGAAAAAAAAGTAGTCACAGCGCATTACCAGTGCAAGAAAAAAAAAAAAAAAAAGAAAAAGACCAAGTTCGGCAGCGAACCCACGACCGCTTGTCACCAGTTCGCCTGTTCGCCGAGAAAGCCACTGAGCCACGCAGACTTATATTCCCTGTTGGTAACATAACGTTATTATACCTGCCTAATGTTTTTGCGAAAATTTAAACGCTTAGCGAATAACCGAAAACGGATTTGTGCACTACAAGTATATTTCTCTATAATATTAAAATCAATTTAAAGTGCGGTTCATTGAGATGATGCCATGAAATTGCTCGTGGAGACGATTAACCAAACGATTTACAAAATTTGACAACAATTGGTCCAGCAGTTTAGGAGATTACAGACAGACAGACAGACGGAAACGGGAGATTACTTTTTTCGTACTGTAGAGGTCATGAAACGTCGAGAAAACATAAGTGGCAATTCATCCGATAGACTCGATTACTGTACTTCCTTAACGTATGCTCGCAAGTAAAAAAACGGATCAAATTCTATTATAGAGTATTTTTGAAGTACATGTACAAAAAAATTGGTAACGGGCCTGATCTTTTACTCAAAAATTGTTGTGCACTACTGGGTTAAAGAGATTAAAGGATAATTCTTTAATAGTTGAGCAATCGAATATTCATAGACCAACAACACATTTCTTGTTTTTTAGCAATAAACAATTTTTTTTGTTCCATGTAGATAATAAAATGTACTGTAAAAGCTGTCAGTCTTGTATAATAGTTTAAGATCATCAATGTCATCAAGAAAGAGCAGTTTTTGGCAGGTCAGCAAGTCCACAAATCATTTACGTATAGTAAAAAGAGTGATGGCTCTAAGTTGGACACTTGCGGCACCAGAAGTGGGACAAAAACCGTCAGAAACAAAATTCTAATATGTACTTAATACTTATCATTTTTATGTCGCTTTCAGAGAGGCCAACACATTTGTGAAGTACCGGATTACGATTTCGATTACGATTACGAGAATTTGTTCGCAGAAAGATCAAATCATTTTGGTGGTATTAGGAAATAGCAAAGGTACTTGGTACCTAAGGGCCTGTCAAGGTGACTTAAACACACAAGAGGGTCACGATCAGGAATATATGAAAAGACAAAGGATTAACCACTTAATAAGAAAAATTGCCGCTGCGTTCCGATACACAAAAACCTGCGTGGTATAGTCACAGCAAATTTATAGGTATTTCGCTAATAGTACGGTAGAAGAGATTGATGAGAAATCAAAGGATCAAACATAAAAAAAGCTTACAAGATATATCACACAGAAAATACGAAATAACGAAATACAACATCTTGTAGATGGTGAAGGAAACGTTCAAAGCACCATCTCCCTACTGGCAGTTGAAAAGAGGGCCTCTTTGCTTGCTACTCTCTTTGATCCTAACACTACAGTGGAACACATAAGGAAACATATCAATAGTCTGTGACAACTTTCGGCCAAAGGGTTATTTCGCAGGCAAAAGTAGCGTTAAAGTGTATTCACAACAACAGCCTACACTTGACCTGAAAATTTTGTAATTTTAACCACCACACTTAAGAGCCAAAACAGAATGATGACACGAATGACACACATAATGTGGACTGGAACATTTTCTTGACTATATATAAACGACACTATTGTGTTTGTAAATTTTGACGTAAATGACATTTCTTTGTCGCTAAGTTTTGTCCGCGATTTTATAATCAACACAACCTAAATAAAAATTGTATCCGAAAAAATATAATTTCGTTCAACCCAGCAAATCTAATCACGATCTCTTAAAATGCACGAATTGACCCTAGTTGTAACAGCCATCTTAATTTTACGTTCTGGTTCACAAGACTATATTGAAACAACATTACGAGTACCAGAGACAATAGAAAACATAGGAACCATAACAGGAGCTTATTTTCGTGAAATCATTGACTTCGTTAACCAAAATCACACCTCTTGGACAGCCGGTGAAAATTTTCCTGCCAATATAACAATCGAAAGTCTGAAACGTCTCAACGGAGCCCTTCGTCTCGAAGCGAAGCTTAAAGTGAAATACCATCGCATAAGCAGAAACGAAATTCCGGAATTCTTTGATGCCAGAGAAGAATGTAGTGAGTGTAACGACGTAATTGCTACAGTCCGAGATCAGTTTGAGTGTTGGTGTTTTCTATACAAGAAACTATAAATGTATATACTTTGTTTGTTTAATAGGCCTTTGCTTCTACAGAAGTGTTGGCTGATAGAATCTGCATAGCAACTGGTGGAAAATAGTATATTATTAGCCAAGGTTGCAAAGCCAAGCATTCTAGAGCGAGCGCAAATTAGAACCCGAGACGCGCAGCGTCGAGGGCTCTGAAGCGCGAGGTCTAGAAGTGGCTTTACAACCGTGGTTAATATACTATTTTTTTCACTAGTAGAAACCATAAGACAATAAATTGAAAAAAATAAACGTTCAATTTTTTGACTCAACATGATTTTGTTTTGATTTCTAATCAAACTTAATCTAAATCTTCAACACAAAGAAAACCGTTTCCATTTGTCGCTAATCATTTTATCTTCTACAGTCTACCAACTACCATGCGTATTATCAAGTAATGTTAGTAGCACACATTTATTCATTTTTTAAGAAATAATCACATCAAGTATTACGTACACAACTTCAATCTTCTTTTTGAACCCGTGGTCGCAAAAGTTGAATTTGCTACCTCTAAATGAGTCGACATTTGCATGCTTCATGGCTGCTAGTGAAAAAACTAAATTTCAGTTCTCTCCACAAGACTTACTAGAATGTTGTCGAGTTGTGTGGTGGGAGGTGTTGATAGATGTGTTGGAGGATTTGCTTATGAATTTTGGTTAACCAATGGTATAGTATCTGGAGGCGACCACAACGATAGTAAATATACGGTCAGTCGTTAGTTTCAAAAACCTTCGAAATCTTAGGACATTATTCAATCATCGAGTAATGATGGTTACTGGACTACTCTCGAGAATAGGTTGATTAATTACTATCTGGTTTCATTGAACAATTTGTGAAATTTATTAAGTAAGGAGTACTTAAGGAGTAAAATTAGAATTACAGTTTCTATCGTAAAATTATCTTTACCGACAAATACTTAGTGCGACGAAATTCCGTTGTGACGGACGGACGGTCCGGAATCTCGCCGATAACGTGTGGTGGCGGTGTACCTGGGTGCCAAGTCTTGGCCCGACTAGTGTCGCTGGTATAGGAAACACGTCTGGTCGACCTAGACTTATGCGGCGACCTTCACACCATGGTGGCTCGGGCAACAGCTCCATTTTCTGAGGAGGGAGCGCCGGGGTTGCTCTCAAACCGGAGACACGGATTTCAGGTGGTAAGCGCCCGCGAAAACAAAACAGTAAAATAAAATGGCAAGAAATATTTTACACAATAAATAGGGTTTATTCCCCGCACCAGCTACACGGCTAAAATAATAATAAATCTATAAAATTATTTACAGCAATAAAACACATCAAGAAAGATAATAACATGTCCGGCACGGTCGTTCCTCCTGGGCGGCGACTTCCTTCAGGACGGGCTCCTCCTGGATTTGGGAGCGGCGACCTTGAAACCTGGAAATAGTGCGGTGACGATAACGACGCGTGCATTCCAAAAAAACAGGTGACGGTGGTACGGTTTTTCGTTCGGGGGCGGCGATTCAAAAACCGGTACGCAAACGGGTAGACGACCCAAAATTTACTTACGGAGGTCGGAGGGTCGAACTGCACTTCGAAACTTCACTCTTCCAAAAAAAACAGCGACAACACAGGCAACACTGCTTCGCTGCTGAAGACTTCCAGCCAGAATCCTCTGCCCCAAAAATGATGACATCTTACAATTTCGCTAAATAAATTACGGAGGTATTACATACCCTAGACATGCAGATTTTGGAAAAAAAATTACAGTTGTATAACAACATTTTACAATATCTAAATTTATTCGTTTACCTCCTAGTTAGTCTTAGTTACACAGGGTGACACAAAACAATTAGTGAATTAGGAAATTGATTTTTTTGTCAAATCAAGAACTACTCAAACTATTTTCCAGAAAATGTGAGTGAGTATTGTGACGAGCCGTCACTAAATGCGTTCACGAGAAAATCGTAACAAAAAGACGAATAACAAATCCGCAAAACATAACAAAATTCGCAAATTTGCAAATCTTAATTACATAACACGCACGTCTTAATCTGCATATAGTACCATTCGAACAGACAATCAAACTCGACCACCAATCCCCGAACGTAAGAACAAATTTCGCATATTCGCAAATTGCAAATATCATTGCGCTTGTCAGACATTGCGAATAACATCCGCAGAACTGTACACCCATAAAAACCGCTAATCGCAATTATTTATGAATTTTCATTCGAATTCGTACCCAAACTAAATAAAACAGCTGCAGGCGAAACGCAGACGCATAAAGAAAAGATTAAAAAAAAACGCCTCCTTTACGAACAAATGCAACAGACTGACGGAACGTAGCGATTAAGACATGGGAACTATGATGCAAGTTGAAAAAAAAAACGACGAGATACGACACAGTAGTCGCATAAAAACGTCAGAAACAAAACCATATCCAAACGAAATTAAGACCGGCAGACAAGATAAATGTGTAAAAATCTCTATAAAAGCAGTAGCGTAGGAAGTGATTTTAATTCAAGTTCCGAGTTGCAGTAGGACACTGTCCGTTTCCGTACCGAATTTTTTTTTGCCTGAATTTTGAAGAAACCCGAACTTAGAAAAATTTGCTGAGACCGAGAAGAAGATAGAAAAATCTCTATGCTGCGTCTGCGTAAGTCTGCCTTTCAGTCATACTTAACTTTTCTCGCTTTCCCTCTGTCATAATGTGTTCTCGATTTCATTTCGATTACCTATTAAGTGTTTAATTTATCGTTTTGTCGGGGGTTTTCGATACGTTTGTTGTGAACAGATTTTTTAGCGTTAACAGATGCTCTCGTTTGCGGGTGGTACTCTCGGCCTTGCGTCAAATTTTGGTCGTCGGGGTGGCTTTTTCGATAATTTACCGATCGCTTTAGATGAAAATTAATCCAACGTTTTCTTAATTTGCGGACTCGACCCCTGCGTTCGTGACACGGATATTTTAGATGAGTTTTTGGGAAGTTTCCGAATCGAAGGCATTTTAATCTGATTTTCTTGCAGTTGATAATTTTATTTTGAATTTCTTGCCGTTCAATATGATCCTGTTTCTAATTATTATTTTGCCATAGTTTTGGGAAACCTCGCATTTCATTTTAATTTAATATTCTCACTGAAGTTTAGCGCATTTATGGTAGGTACTAATTTCTCAGCGTTTAGTTTTACTGAAAAATTGTGACTATCCATTTGTGTTTTTATATGATTATCCCGTAACCGCAGATTTTCTTATGAACAGTTAATTTTAGTTGTTTTCTTTATTCTAAGTGGAAAATTTCTTTGATTTGCACTGAATTATTATTAGTTTTAATTGTTTTTAGCTGTTTTAATAGTAGTTAATTAGCGGGTAACTGCCCAGTCGCAGATGTTTTGATTTGTTGGGGCTCGACCGTATTTGTAGGTTTATAAGGTTTAGTTTCGTTACGTTATGGGAATTTCTTTTAGTTAATTAGTGGAAACCACCTATCCTAATAAAGTGTTTGAAACATCACTATAATAAGAGCCAAAACATAGTCAAAACAGAATGACACAAGTGAGATATAACGCAGATTGGATTAATTGGAACCTTTATTGGAATATTCGCTTGACGTATAAATGACAATATGGCGTTTGAAAATGTTGACGCAAATGATATTTCTTTTTTGCTAATATTTGCTCCCGACTTTGTGATCAACACAACCCAGATAAAGATTATATCTGAAAAAAATTTAATCTCCGGTCAACTGAACAAATCTAATCAAGATCGAACTTTCCAAAAATGCACCAATTAACTTTTGTTGTGACAGCCATCTTAATTTTACGTTCAGATGGTACAGCACTAAGGGAAACACCAAATAGATGTCGTGAAATGATTAACTTCGTCAACAAAAATCGTACATGTTGGAGAGCCGGTGAAAATTTTCCTGAGAATATAACAATGGAAAGTCTGCAACGTCTCAACGGAGCCCTCTTTATCAAACCTCAGTTCCGCCCTAAAGTGAAATACTACGACATAAGCAGAAAAGATATTCCGGAATTCTTTGATGCCAGCGAAGAATGGAGTGAGTGTAACGACGTAATTGCTACAATCCGACATCAGGGTCAGTGTGGTGCTTGTTGGGTGAGTGTACGTGTTCTATACAACAAACTATAAATTTATACACTTTGTTTGTTTAATAGGCTTTTGCTTCTACTGAAGTGATGGCTGATAGACTCTGCATAGCAACTGGTGGAAAAACTAAATTTCAGTTCTCCCCACAAGATTTATTAGAATGTTGTAGCCAATGTGTGCCGCAAGGTCATGACAAATGTTTTGGAGGATACGTGGCATCTGCTTATAAATTTTGGTTCAACAATGGTATAGTATCTGGAGGCGACCACAACGATAGTAAATATACGGTCAGTAGTTAGTTTCAAAAACATTCGAAATCTTAGGACATTATTCAATCATCGAGTAATGATGATTACTACTCTCGAGAATAGGTTTATTAATTACTATCTGGTATCATTGAACAATTTGTGAAGTTTATTAAGTAAGGAGTAAGGAGTAAAATTAGAATTAGAGTTTCTATCTTAAAATTATCTTTATGGATAAATAGTGCGACGAAATTCCGGTGTGGCGGTGTACCTGGGTGCCAAGCCTTGGGCCGACTAGTGTCGCTGATATAGGAAACACGTCTGGTGGCCCTAGACTTATGCGGTGATCTTCACGCCGCGCGGGTGGCGTCTTCGATCAGGAGTGACGGTCGCTCGGGCGCCAGCTCCCTCTCCGTGGGAGGGAGCGCCGGGGTTACTCTCAAGCCGGAGACACGGATTTCAGGTGGTGTTCGCTCGCGAAAACAAGAGAATAAAATAAAATGGCAAGAAATATTTTACACAATAAATAGGGTTTATTCCCCGCCACCAGTAAAAATAATAAATCTTATGGCTAATCTTAATTATTTACAGCAATAAAACAAAACAAGAAAAATAATAACACGTCCGGCACGGTCGTTCTTCCTGGGCGGCGACTTCCTTCAGGACGGGCTCCTCCTGGACTTGGGAGCGGCGACCTTGAAACCTGGAAATCGTGCGGTGGCGGTAACGACGCGTGCATGCGAAAAAAACAGGTGACGGTGGTACGGTTTTTCGTTCGGGGGCGGCGATTCAAAAACCGGTACGCTAACGGGTAGACGACCCAAAAGTTACTTACGGAGGTCGGAGGGTCGAACTGCACTTCGAAACTTCACTCTTCCAAAAAAAAACAGCGACAACACAGGCAACACTGCTTCTCTGCTGAAGACTTCCAGCCAGAATCCTCTTCTTCCGCCGCGGCGGTGCGGCGATCGTGGATTTACCCCCGGCCCTTGCGGTACGCCTCACGGTTTCCGGCCCGCGAAAATTCGCTTCGTTACAATAGTGACAAACACGTTGTGTCACTGAGTTTATCATTTTTGCTTAGTGTGATGATTGTCACAATTTGCTTGCCCATTGCCGAAAATTTGTTTATTCCAATTCTTCGAACTCTTGTTTTAGCTTTTTTTGCAAATTCTGTTTTAGTGTTTGGTACCATTATCAACACCGAACCCAGATCTTCCACATCTAAAATTTTCATATTATGCAGTTCATTTGATAGGATTGCTCCCATGATTCCCCTTATTAGAACGACCTTTAAAAATTCCTATCTATTATTTTAAGATTTACAAGATTTGTAAGAATATGCTTTTCTGTTCATTTTTGATCTCCAAACAACAACTTGAGAACATTTTTATTTTAAAATTTTTCAGGGATGTAAACGATTTTCGACTGAAGCTTATGAAGACGCAGTGGGCCCGACTTCGTGCCAACAAAAATGCCATTCAGAATATGGCAACAGCTACGACAACGATAAAAAATTTGGAAGTAATGTTTACCAAATAGATACCCACGAGCCACAAATTCAAAACGAAATTATGACAAATGGTCCAGTGACAGCTATTCTTGAAGTTTATGAAGACTTCTATAACTACAAAAGTGGTGTTTACCGATATACAGCAGGAAAATCCATGGGTAATCACGCAGTTAAAATTGTGGGATGGGGAACGGAAGCTGGCATCCCATACTGGTTGGTAGCAAATTCGTGGGGAGCAGAGTGGGGTGATTTAAATGGATTTTTCAAGATATTGAGGGGTCAAAATCATTGTGAAATTGAACAGCACATTACAGCTGGAAAATCCTCTTCGGCTGTGTACCGTTCGATTCCAGGGCTTGTAATTTTTATTATCATACTTAAGTTTACTCTACTTTATAATTAATAAAGGTTTTTACACGATATTGTAAGCTAATAATATACCGCCAAATAGAATATTCACATGATCACAGGTTAGTTATATGTAGTTACGACTTTCCAAACAATGCTACAGATATGAATCAACACTGGGAGTAACAAATGTGCCAGATCCGTTTTTGTTTTCATAAATAAATGTGCAATTTACTATTCTAAATTCCCAAACGAGAAGTTACTAAAGGTAAATAACAACTTAGGGAAAACCATCGAGCCCATTAAAATAATTACACCTGAATAAGCGAAATTGTAACATTTATATCTCTACAATAATCATTTCACCAACAAAACTTATGAACTTATATTTCTGATACCAAAATTTTAGAAACCGCCGATTTGAGACAAACAAACCAGTTTCTGCGAATTGGTTCCTCCTCTAATCGTCTTTTTTCTCTCTCCGCTATACTCACTAACACATTATAATTAAAAAGAGAGCAAAACTTACACTAGAATGTATTGACTTCTCTCATTAGTAGTTCTTTATAACAAGTTCTCTATGTACCTACAAATTGATTGTTTAGATTTTAGCACGTGTAGCTATGATGCGCGTGGGAAATCCTCGTCAAAACAAGTAATACATAAGTAAGTATATCATCTCGGACTTCAGTTTTTGTCACTTTCGCTTGTATACCACACAACCACATCATGTATTACTTAGTGCCAGTTTTTCTAATATCGTTTCTTCCACTACTAGCCGCAAAATCGGAAACTGTGGCGGTAGATTATTTCGTAACATTAATAAACTCAAGACAAACATTCTGGAAAGCTGCAAGATCTTCACGTGAAAACACAACTCGAAGATCTTTAATGCATTCAAACAATCCGGTGATATTTTTAAAAGATGAAGATACAAAGATGAAGGCCTGTGACATTACAGGAAGAAAAATTCCCGAAACTTTTGATGCTAGATTAGAGTGGCCTGCTTGTAGGGCTTCAATTGAAAGGATTAACAACCAGGGAAACTGTAGCTCCTGTTGGGTAAGTTTCTAAATCAAGTTCCTAATTCTCTACTACTAATTATTACTTATCATTCAGGCTTTTGCTGCTATTGGTGTTATGTCAGACAGACTTTGTATTCAGACCAATGGAAAAGAAAATTTTCGATTTTCTCCCCAAGATCTCATTTCTTGTTGTCAATACTGTGATTTTGCTTGCACTGGGGGCATTGCATCCCGATCCTGGCATTACTACACTCACTTTGGAATTGAGGTATGTTTTTATTTGATATGGCGCAAGAAATTGTTTTAACACTTGTTCAACTGAAACAAACCAAAACAAAAAAAAATTAAGTTAATTGTTTTTCAAAATTTTGGCAAGCAGGACTATTCAGAATCAAAATAACCTTTCATGTAAGTTATTTATAAATAATGTTTATTCATTAACAACACAAATTAAGAGTTGGTGAACCCCTAGTAAGAGTAGACAACTTTTAATTTAGATTTAAAATTAAGAGATAATCGTTTTAGGGCTGTAAACCATACCAAGAATCCGAATATTTCTACAACAAGACGACCACATGCATAGCATCCTGTGAAAATCCATTTTATAACGTTTCCTACAAAGACGACAAACATTTTGGTTCAGAGTACTACATGGTGAACAAAACACCAGAGTGCATTCAAGCGGAAATTATGGAGAAAGGCCCAGTTCAAGCCTCCATGGCTGTTTATGAAGATTTCAATTACTACAGAGATGGTAACTCCTATAACTATTTTTAATGTCTCTTTATTTGTACAGTTTAGGTGTATATGTCTACACAATTGGCAAAAAACAAGCTCGACACGCTGTGCGAATAATCGGTTGGGGAAAAGAAAGAGGAATTCCATACTGGTTGGTCGCAAACTCTTGGGGATGCCAGTGGGCAAACTTAAAGGGCTTCTTTAAAATAAGAAGAGGTACCGATGAATGTGGTATTGAGCAACATGTCATCGCTGGAAATCCAAAATTTGATTCTGATGATAGGGTGCTTGAAATTTCTAGACACAGTTATGTTCCATGGGTGGTAACTTCAGCTGTTCTCATGTGTTTTGTGTTAATGACAGTTCTAGTAGGTTTGGTTATTATTCTAAATCATAAGGCTAAAGAGATGCTTGTTAAATATTTAGTTGATAAAAACTAATGATAGAAGTGAAGTAAAGTTTGCACTTTGTATACAATTTTTTTTTGTTATAACGGAGATATCTGCCTATTAAAATGTTTTATGTACATAATTTGCTACTTTTGTGAATTTACCAAGCATTGTTGGTAAAACGCACACGTGCCTTGAGCCAAATTAGGTAACCACATGTTTGTCTAGTTACTCCAGACTAAAAAAGCTACAGCTAGAAGATATTTTTTAATAGAATCTCAACTGGCTTTGACAATTTGATAAATCTGACAAGCGCAACAATCATAAATTTTATTTAAAAAAATGACACAAAAATGAAGGCTCTTATTATTTTTGTAATGATTAACAATTTTGCCCTCACCAAAAATGAAGAAACTACACATTATTTACACGAAGATATGATATCATTTATTAATAAAAAAGATTCCACTTGGACTGCTGGTGTAAATTTTCCTAAAAACCCGACGATGACTGAGCTACAAAGTTTAGTTCAAAACACTACAATGTATGATGATTCGAAAAACTCTGCTCTTATAACTCGTGACAAAAATTATTTTGAACTTGTTTTTTCCGTAAGTTTTGACGCCAGAGAAAAATGGCCTGGATGTGTAAATCAACCACCCAAACAGGGTAGTTGTGACACGTCTTGGGTAAGTTTATTAGTTTAAATAAAACTGCTACTTACAACAAAATACACTAAGGTTCTGGTTCCACTTTCTGTTATAAGCGACCGTCTATGCATCGGAACAAACCTCAAAAAAAAATTTACTTTTTCGGAGCAAGATGTACTCACATGTTGTAGGAAGTGCCAACAAGGCAAAAGCATTTGCAGTGGAGGCTGGACTTCTAGAGTGTGGGACTACTGGATCGAGAATGGAATAGTTTCAGGAGGACCCGAGGTAAAAAAAAACAGTGAAAACATAAATTAATAATTGAGATACAACTGTAGGGTTGCAAACCTTTGTCAAACTCCACTACCTGCCAAGACTATTGTACCAACAAAAAATACCCACTCTCTTACAGTGGAGATAAGTACTACGCTGCTAAAAAATACAAAATACCTAAAGACTCTGCTCAAATACAAATTGAACTTGCAATTTATGGCCCTGTGGTCGCCCAACTTAGAGTGTATTCAGATTTTTTCGTCTACAAAGAAGGTAATCCTAGCTTTGTCTTTATCTACTAAAAATCAAAACTTTATTTTTAGGTATTTACCAACATCTTGGTGGTAGTTTTGTTGGATATCATGTTGTGAAAATTGTGGGCTGGGGTGTAGAAGTGGGGAGATTTTATTGGCTATGTGCCAATACGTGGGGAATGGAATGGGGAGATTCGGGATACTTTAAAATTCTCCTGGGTGTCGATCACTGTGGCATTGAAAGTAATGTTCTGACAGGGAGAGATCATGCAAATTTTCTTAGGCACGAACGTATTCTTGATACGGACGTTACGCAGATTATGCCTTCAAATGGATGGAAGTTAGAACCTAATTTGATATTTTTGATGTATTGTGCTATAAATATCAGTATATTTGTTACCTTATAAGACAAAAAGTGGAAATATTAATACTATACTTTGATCTTAGCGGAAGTCTAGGTGTTTTTCACTTATTCAGTATAAGTGAAAGTAATAAAATTTATGGGTTAATCCATATTTCTAATAGATATATTAGTTAATCTCATTTTAGTCACAAAAATTTCTTTATCTAAGAAGTATTTCACAGATGATAATCTTTATCTGCACAAGTTTATTTCACCCTAGATCTTTTGTTTTTATAAATCTTTGCTAGTTTTGTTTTGTAAATATTTTGTTGATTAAATAAGATTTATTTGTTGTGTAAAATTCCACAAGATTGTGTGGCTAATTTAATTGTTGTCTATTCTTCTTTTGAAACTTTAATACTTGTTCAGTTGTCGTTAATATCAGAGTCATAAGGAATTGAACATTTAAAATGGAACCGAGGTTAAATAACACCGAAACATGTAGCAGAAGCGTAGGGCGCGGCTCCTAGTAGGGGCTAGCGGGATTTATCGCACCAGCTGCACCAGGGGTGCAGGATTTGTATAGAGTCAGTGGGAACGGTCTGGATGATGTGACGCTGTCAGCCTTGACATCCGACCAAGTTCCTCATGGAGATGTGCTGTGCGGTAGGCTTGCCGATAGATAGAATCACTGTCGCGGGGGAGACCAGCCCGGACCGGGAACCCCAAACTCAGCTTGTTCTAGAACGCCCCAGGGGTATTTTTGTTGTGCTCCTGTTAACTGTCGTAACTTTAAATTTGACGCCACACGCCCGTAAAAACTTGTGTTCAGTTACTTTAATTTAGATTTTGCTTTCTTTTATTAAATTTGTGATATTCAAATATTTGCATTGATTCAAAACATATGTGTAGGATTTTGTGTTTGTTCGATTTTCATATGCGTATGTCTGTCAATTCGCGAGTGTCTTTTCTTTCATATTTTAATGTGTTTCATTTGCGATGTATTATACCTTATGTCGGTGAATAAACCATAGGGGGTTTTTGAGGCTGAGGAGTGAATGCTCGCAACTCTTTTCCTCCTAGAGAGGGGATGCGAATTTTGGTCCCCCCCCCCCAAAATTTCGTCTATTATTTCTTGCGCTTTCGACTCACACGCAGTGTATGCTCACTTGTATGAAAGAACGTCTTCCCGCCATTAAAAAAAAAACAAGGTTTCCATTTTGTTAGACAATCACAGCCAAGACCAAATTTTGAATTTTTGAATTTTTCGCGGGCCTTTCAATTTTTTTTCAAGGCCAATTTAAGGCGCGAAGTTTGGTATTCTTTGAACAACATGATAAACAAAAAGATGTTTTACAAGGTAATTTCTTGTAGAGAAACACGGATTTTGCAATTATGCTCCACCCTCTTGGCTCACGACGAATAAAAAAAATCATCACAATTGAGACAGGGCGGGTGGGCGGGGCTTATATTTTGCCCTGTTTTCTTAATAGGTGTAGTCATCTTTTCACAACAAAAATTTACATATTTAAAATGGTACATTTTTGTACAGGATAATGGATTTTGCAGTTACACGTCGTCAGTGATGAAGTTTTCATTCATTGTCAGACCGAAGGGCGGAGTATAATTGCAAAATCCATGTTTCTATACAAAAATTTACCATTTTAAACATGTTTTAAGTTAAATATACATACTAGTACTTCACATGTACTCGTATTCCTTGATTTGGAACGTACCATATAATTCTATGTTGTATGTAATCGTTTATTGGTTGATCTGTTTTCACCCAAATTCCAAATTGTTTCATATAGAAATGACAACTTTCGTATCCACGAATAAAGGTATATACAATTTTTCATCAAAAATTTGCACTTTTTATACATTTGAAATTTGACAGCAATCAGTTCAGTGGGCTTAGAAATTATGTGTCTAATAAAATCGACACAGATCGACAGATAGACAGATGTCATTTGCCAAAATAAGACTTATGTTAGCAAGTACTAGCCCCGCCCACCCGCCCTTTATGTTCTCAGAGGGTAGTCCTTGCTAGTACTTGCTAAGATAAGTCTTATTTTGGCAAATAACATATCATCTGAGAAAATAGGGGCGGGCAGGCGGGGTTCTGGATTCTGGATTCTGGATTCTTAATTTATGGGGGCTGACCGTGGCCAGCCGGCACTTAGGCCTCGCCTTTGGGCCCATTGTACCTTCCCCAAGTCCATATCAGGGTGTTTTCCGCTCCTCTACTCGTCAAGCCACCCAACTGCTTGAATGTACTTGAGTAATGCAGAGGGTGGAAACTCCCTGATATTTGCCATACTAGGCCAGATGTCCCCTAGTATGGATTCCCTGTAGGAGGCTAGGGCTGGACACTCACGAAGAATGTGCTCAGCTGTTTCCTCTTCTTCATTGCATCCACGACAGATTGGGTCTGTTACCACCCCTATCGTATATAGATGTTTGTTAAACTGGTAATGTCCCGTAAGGAATCCTACCAGTTTACGCAGTTTGTCCCTTGAAAGTGAGAGATAAAATTTCGTCAACTTACGGTCTGGTGTCGCCATACAAGCTCTACTATGCCGACAGCTGTTCAACTTCACCCATATCTGCTCATGGCGTCTCTGGTTATATTGCTTTACGAGTTCGTTCGAGAGGGCGACCGAAGGCGTGATTACCGGTTCGGGTCCCCAGAAGGGCATGCGCGCGGCTCGCTTCGCCATCTCATCTGCCCTCTCGTTTCCTTCGTTGCCACTGTGTCCTTTGATCCAACAAAGTTCCACACTATTCCTCTGCGTTACATACTTTAGCGTTTGTCTGCACTCCCAAACCAGCCCGGATCGAACCATACAGCTGTCCAGGGCTAGTAGTGCAGACTTGCTGTCAGTAAGTATGCGTATTGATTTGTTGCCGATTTCACGTTCAGCAATGATTCTAGCTCCCAGCATTATTCCCATCAGTTCTGTTTGTAAGACAGACGTGTGGGTGCCGAGAGGTACACTAATTTGTGCGTTCAGTTGTTCGGAGTAGATGCCGGCTCCTGAACCACTATCTGTTTTGGCACCATCGACATAGATATCTATGTCGGCTCGTCCTTCTGAATTATCATTCATTGATATTCTATATGTCTTCTCATATATTAATTTTGTGCCCATTCGGTCACACCCCATCCTTAACAAGGGTATTCTGTTGAACGCCTCCGTTAAGATCCGAGTATGCTTCGTTGTGCGGCCTTGTTTGTTCCATACTCCCAGAGAGTGAAGTCTTAGAGACGTCGTCATTGCCGCTTCCTCTATGTAAAGGTTAAGAGGTGCTAAGCAAAGAAGAGTCTCCAGAGCCGCTGTGGGAGTGGTCCTCCTTGCTCCTGTAACACTGAGACACCCCCAGTAACATTTTATATGTAATAAATATTGAAGTTCTAACATTTAAAGAATATGGGTAACGACAGATTTTTTTTTAGAAAATCAATATTGGTTTTAAATATTGAATATATATTTATTTTCAATGTTTAATACTTATTTAGTTCAGAACATTTAATAAATGTTCTTCATATGAAAGGGGGTATGGATATAAAAAAACTTGCATGGAATACAATATAAAATTTATTAAACACAAAAAAGCATTGTCACTGGAAATAACAGTGTATTTGAAACGTTGGGGCAATATTTATACATTTAAAAATTATTTGTCCTAGAACCAATTCGTTGAAAATTTTTACGTACCAGGTGATTTTTTTTTATTTCTGCTGTAGTTACCCATGACACTTATGTCAGAAACTTCATGGGCAACCAGAGCATACATTTAAAAAATCACCTGATGTGAAACACAATATAAATTTTTTAAACATAAAATTAACAATGTTCTGCTACATTTCAATCGTTATACAGAAATATTTATTTAATAATTATTTGCTCTATAACCAATTCATTGAAAAGCGATATAATTAATTAAAATAAAAAAAATCATACCTCATGTTTTTTTCGATGAGAATTCATTCTTGCTTTTGTCTGCGCTTAATGAGGTCCTACCATTTTTTAAATTTCAGTAGTTGTGGATTTTTTGGGACGTTTCCGTGTGGTACCTACAATTATAGTGAACCAAGAGCTATAAGGTTATATGGCCATCATAAAAGTAGTTGACCGCAAATAAATACCCCCTTTGTGTGGTTCGCACTAAGCTTACCGGTTGGCAATAAATCATCTTCTAAACATTTCTTGCTTATATTTAACAGGGCCGGCTTTCAAAGCGAGTGGTTATTTCGGAACCCTCAGCGGCTGCAGGTAGTAAAGAAATAGTGGAGTGGTGGATTTTCATATTTAGTGAAAGCCGCCCCTGAACGAAACACAAGAGCCGGTCGAGCTGCAGTGGACACGTTATTTACGACCCTAAAACCGTTTCTATTGTAAACAACTTAATTTCGACACAATGGGATGATTTTATGATGGCCATATAACCTTATAACTCTTGGTTCACTATAAATTAACTTACAAAGTTCGTAATTTTTAAGAAATCACATAACTTGACATATTGTAGCCTTGTTAATTGTGAGTTCACTAAAAGAGAGCTTATTTTTTTCCTTGCCCTGAAAACTTGAAAGCAATTTGGTTCATTATTAATAATTTCTTCAAAATTGCATACATGTTTTTTACGTCTTCTCTTTCTGACAAATAAACATTATTATCAGTCTGAAACTAGTTTATAACTTAACTAGTAAGTTAATAATAATAATAATAATAAATGCTTACCAATTCATCCAATTTCTGCGTATCTCCCGCAATTTCTAACTCGATTTCTTCTTTTTTTTGGTTGCGCCCGGACATTCATCATTTTGTCTCTACATTAATAATATGCTTATATTCAGAAATATTAAACCTCTTAAATATACTTACGTGTTGAGAAATTGCATATTTCTACTTTGCGTTAACAATGGCCTCATTATTAAACCGAAAACAGTTTAATAATGGGATCAATTGTTAAACTGTATTTCAGGTGGCGTGCAAGCCCCCTTCTTCCATTTATTGAGGCAAACTTAGGTTAGATTGTTAGTGTTCGGTGGTTAGATGTCAAACTTTGACATTGTGAAGTCAGCCACAACGCTACAACTAACGTTTCGAATTAAAAGGCCCTTATAACCTTGAATTTTTATTAATTTTTTGTTTCCGATCAGATGCAAAGTAGAAAAAATAGTATATTATACTCGTTTAATAAGACGCATTGTGGCACTTATTCCTTTGGAGCACTCCTCGCTGCGCTCGTCGTGCCCCAAACCCATGCGTGCCACAATAAGACGTCTTATTAAACTAGTATAATAATATACTATTTCGGCATTGCATGTAGAAGTGAGGTTATGTAGGTTTAGTGCTGTTTTCTTGACAAATGACAAAACGGTATTTACTACACTATTCTGAATTTATCGCAGTACCGATAATCACAATTCACAATAGGACAAACACCATGAACTTACACAAAACACTTTTTGAACCACCAATAACAACAGAAAATATGTATATGTTGCACATTACGCAAACGCGTTCCAGCAGAGCAAGCGCATCTGTAGGTGAAACGCAAATTTAAGTAAGTTTATTAAAATGATGAATAAAATTGTTATTTTTTGTTTGCAAAAATAAAAAAAATATTACTTTTTAATGAGCAATTAATAGTGTGCAAAGCGAGATTTCGAATAGTGTCAATTTCACAATAGCTGGTATTTTTTCAAATCAATTTTTAATATTGCTCCAATAAAAATCCTATGAAATAAATTACCTACAAGTTGTCCCAACATGGTAGTTTTTTTTTCATTTTTGTTGTTCGGTGTCTTGATAAAAAGACATTTCATAAATATGTAATATATGTTGAAATTCATATATAAATTTATAAATATAAAATGAATATTATAAAAATATTTGTAATATCTAGTCAACATTTAATATTATATCAATCTTGTATAAATATTAGAAAAATATTGCTTGCTACTGGGGACGCCATTCTCTGAACGTGTTCAAGTTGCAGGGCTGTTGTTTTTTGTCTGGCTCTGGGCCACCAAACTAAAGCTCCATAGCACAGCATCGGTCTGACTATTGCCGTGTAGATCCAGAGGGCGATCTTGGGATTTAAACCCCACGACCTTCCCACCACCCTACGACATTGCCAAAGAGCCGAGCGTGCCTTTTCTACTTTATCATCTACATGCTTCTTCCAATTCAGTCGCCAGTCCAATACAACTCCCAGGTAATTGACTTCGTCCGAAAGTTGAAGCGTTGTGTTAAATATTTTTGGCATCTGTAGTGTGCCAATTTTCCTTTTCCTGGTGAACAGGATTAGTTTCGTCTTTTCTCCATTAACGGAGAGGGTATGTCTGCTGCACCATTCCTCGACTATTTTGACTGCAGCTTGCATTATCTCACATAATGTATCTGCGTTTTTTCCTGTTAGCAGAATGACTAGATCGTCCGCGTATCCAATTGTGTGGTAGCCAAGATCATTGAGGCGTCGTATCAGGCTGTCAACGACAGTATCCCACAGTACAGGAGAGAGAACTCCTCCCTGAGGACATCCCCTGTCTACAACAGCCTCGATCTCAGTGCCACCTACATTAATCATTACTTCCCTGTTCCTTAGCATACCGGCCACCCACCTACTCAGGGTGGGGTCCACGTCGTGCTCTCGTAGGGCTAGCTCTATGCTTTTGAAAGTCGTTTTATCAAACGCTCCTTCAATATCCAAAAACATTCCTAAGGTGAAGAGTTTGTTCTCCATCGCCCACTCTATACGGTTTACAACTGTGTGTAGGGCCGTATCGGTGGATCTTCCTTGGATGTAGGCATGTTGGTTCGGATGTAGAGGTTGCTTGCTCAAAGCAGTCTCCCGAATCTCTTTTTCGCTTAGTCTTTCTAGCGTTTTCAGCAAGAATGATGTTAAGCTAATTGGTCTGTAGGATTTAGCCAAGGTGTAATCTTGTCGTCCTGGCTTAGGTATAAAGATAACCTTTACTTTTCGCCATGCATTCGGTATGTAGCTGAAAGCCAGACACGCCCGAAGCATTGGCAACAAAATAGGGCGTAGTCTGCTCATTCCCCTCTGCAGGAGAGCGGGATAAATACCGTCAACTCCTGGAGATTTGTATGGGGAAAAGCTGTCCACTGCCCACTCCAGTCTTGCCTCCGTGACTACCTTTGCAGCCAGCGCCCAGTCCTTCGGGGAAGGTTGAGTACCGACTACATCCCTTTTGGAATGGGAGGTAGTCCGTGTGCTGCCTGGAAACATGGTCTGCAGCAAAAGTTCTGCGGACTCTTCTAAGGTGGCTGTAAAGGTGCCATCTTCTTTCTTTAGGAAACCTAGTTGATGTGTGTGGTCCTTCGAGAGAACTCTCTTCAGCCTTGCGGCCGAAGCAGTCGACGTTATGTCGCTGCAGAAGGATCTCCACGTTTCCCGTTTCCTCTTTCTTAATTCTTTCTTAAACTCTTTCCGGTGCTCTTTATAGGCTTCCCAGTCTTCAGTTTTCTTAGTGTTTTTTGCTCTGTTGAAAAGTTTTCTTAGCCCCGATTGAAGTAGGCTGAGCCTTCGGTTCCACCATGGTGTACCTTTGCCCAGACCTTCCTTCTTTAGGGGGCAACTTTTCTCATACGCTGACATTAGAGAGTCGTTGATAATGGTCAAGGTTTTCTCTATGTCTTCTGTCGAACTGTATTCTGTTGGTATAGACTGCACGGAGGTCCCCAGTCTGTCGTCCAGTTCTTCGTTGTATGAAGCCCAGTTCGTCAGCCTAGGGTTCCTGTACGTCTTTATCTCCATGTCTATACATTTTGATGTATACATGATCCATCTATGGTCTGACACTGACGCCTCTTTAGAGACGTGCCATCCCATTATATATTGTGAGATATCCCATGTAGCCAGTGTAATATCTATTACTGACTGACTACGCGATGTTACGAAAGTTGGTTCGCAGCCTCGGTTGAGAATCTCTAGATTTGTTGATAAAAGATATTCAGCTAGTGTTCTTCCTCTATCATTAGTGTCTTTGCTCCCCCACAACAGACAGTGGGCATTCGCATCGGCACCGATGATGAGGTTTATATTTCCGGTATCACAGTGTTCCACCAAGTTCGCCATTTCCCATGTTGGACATGGTTCCTGTGCTCTCTGTGGTAAGTACACGGATGCTATTACCAGTTGCTCTTCGCCTCTTCCTATGTCACACTTAACATTTACCGCAGTCACATCCCTGGAGCTGACCTGAGGTAGGAGGACGGCTTTAATTTTCCTCGGAATGTAGACGCATGTCCTTGGAGATTCTATTGTGGTACCTGAAACAACAGTGCCATTTAAATTGCTCAACCCTGCGATCCTGGATTTTACAATCCATGGTTCTTGGATTATTGCTATAGTGTTCTGCATCTTGTCTAGACGACGACACAAAACAGTCGTCGCCATGCGACAATGCTGCAGGTTAATCTGAATGAAATTTATCTGCTGCAGCGCCATCTCTGCAACCAAAAAATCCCATAATTGTCCTAGGAGACACGAGGCATATGTCTCAGGCGGGCCCGCCCCCACTGGTAGAGGCTTCACCCCCTGGGGTTTCTACCTCTTCCATAGGGGTCCGCCCTTCCTGAGCCGACGCCTCGTTCTCCTTGAGTTTCAGGTTGAAAGAGGACAGCATATAGTTAATTCTGCCCTCCCTCTCCCTGATTATCTTGGCCTCTTCCATCCCAAGACCAAACACAAAGAGGTTGCCCGGAGAGGCAGCCTCGGGTTTGGCCTCGCGATGGAAAAGAAGCCATTTTTTGACGTGGGCCCATTGGTTCTGACCCTCCAGGCGGCGAAGTACGACTCCTGCATCCACCGGTGGTCCCGGTATCCACAGGGTCGCCCTCACCAGCCTTGGTAGCTCAGCCAAGGGGACCACGCTAAGTTGTGCGCCCTCCCACAAGGGTGTTAGGGAGCGCACTGTTTGTTGTAGCCATTTCAGGGACAACTCGTCTTCACAGGTTATCCTTAGGATTTCCCCTGTGTACTTCATGCCCCTGAAAGTGGCTGCTTGTCTACCCGATGCCAAGCACTGGTCAAGTTGCCTGTCCAGCGCTCCCATCAGGCCCTTTTGTACTATCTCCACCTGGTCAGCAGTCAGCTTACCAAGTGGATGCTGCACATCAATCACAGCTACACGGAGATGACTTGCAGCCGCCTCCCTGTAGCTCTGTTCTCTAGAGGTAGTCTCCTGCCTCCTCATCCTCTTTTGCTTTTCAGCTGCCGGAGGTGTGGAGGTTGAAGACCTCACTCTTTTCTTTGACCCTGAGGTCTTTTTCCCCACGGGTTGTTTAGGGTTGGCTATCGTAGCCTGCCCTTTACCCTTGGGGTTTATCCCGGAGGAGGATGGACCCGGTTTCGGCGGGTCGGTATTCGCCGCCTCCGCCTGCAAACGAGCCTTCCTCCGCCTTTTTACCTCAGCCCCGCAGATTCGCTTCCTCCTAGGAGGCTGCGACCCCACATTGGCTGGGTTTCCTGTTTGAGGTGCACCCGAAGGCACTTCCTCAGTGGTTTTTTTGTTGTTATTCTCCATAGATCTGGATTTTAATTTCGTCCTTCTACTTCCCCACCCACCACGGAGTCCAACAAGGGGACGTCGAACTTCGACGTCAGGGCTAGCAGAAGGATATAGCCCCCAGGGAAGCTCATCCTGCAGTACGCAGCCTCAACTAGTGAGGTTACTCCTGCTCAGACTACACTTCCCCCAAGGACTCACCCTGTCGGCGGTCTGACCCGACGACACAGCCGATTGATCTGAGATGGGTTAGTCTCGACCTCCCGTTTTGGTGGAAATCCAGGCCAAAAAGGCGTGTTGCCCAGCCTTGGTGACACACTGCACCAAGGGGGGCTCAACCTCCAGGATTCCTTCATCCCACCTTACGGGTCTCCACGCACGGCACAAACACGCGGGAGCTTGTCCGTGGGGCTGTTTTGACGACCCCACGCCAGGGGTTTAATCCCGGGGGGGCACGTTTATTTCCAGCCCTCCTCTACTGAACCGCCTTCGCGGCCGTCTAAGCCGACAACCACCAAGGCATGTCCAGGCAAGACGAGCCTCAGCCCTAACCTACATATCTGGAGAAGAGAAAATCCAGGTCGGACTTCCACCACCCCCAGGAGTGTTTAGTTCCGAGGGGCATATCCGCCCTCCCCAGACCCCCCTCCCCAGACAATGCCGGTCTCCCCCTATCCGCAACCCTGGGGACGCGCCTGATAGGTAGCTCAACCCACAGGGGACAGGCGGGGTTAGTACTTGCTCAGATAAAACTGGTTTTGGCAAATGACATATCTTCTGAAAAAATAGGGGGCGGGTGAGCTGGGCTAGCACTTGCTGAGATAAGACTGAATTTGCCCCTTATAAAAATTTGTTAAATTTAAAAATTGTTAAATTGCAATTTTCCAAAGTAACGAGTTAAATTCCAAAATCTGATTGGGTGTTTATTTTTCAACAATTCAGTCATTAATTTTTTTGAATCACCCTGTTTAAGCCAATCTAAATCTAAAAAATATGAATGAAGTGATAAATCACAAGTATAGACTGATCATATTTTGCATATTTTAGATAATATTTATACGGCAAAATTTTTGGATGACGTCATCAAATTAAAAAATTCAAACCTAATAAATAATAATATTTAATTAAATCTAAGTCATGATTATAACAAATGTAGGATATAATAAAATTACATTGTTTAATATTAATTTCCACTGAAATCCATAGGTATTGTTCCCCGTTTTAGTCTAAAAGAAGGTTAGGTCATATAATAAATAAAAAATAATAATATAAAGAATAAATTTATTAAATGTTCTAAGAAAAAGAAGAGAACTGGATGGGCCTACATAGTTACTTGGTTACCAAGTCAGCATTGACTCAGTTGTCAGTTCTTCAACGAATAAAACGATAAAGTCGGAAATTAATGAAATTGTACATTAATTCGTATTTCGTGTTTCGACTGTTATCAACTTATCAATAGATTATTACATTTTTTGTATAATCTTGAGAATATGCAACACACCTGTCATCATGCTATATATTTAGTATACCTACATAAAACCCAATATCCTTGATACCACGTGATAATAACATAGGTATTTATTGTTGTGGTTTACAAAACGCCACATATTTTACATTTTATGAAAGATGCTCAAATCAACAACTAATGCTGATGCAAATTATTTAAAAGTAAGTATAAGCTTTCAATAGTTGTTTTAAAATGAAAGCATGTCAAATACCATAACCTCATTGTCATGCTTACCGCTTCTGACAGAGTGCCGTTGACATGTTCTACAATTTCTCTAAAAGCGGCTACATTAATATTTTGATAATTTATGTATACCGTTGGTATAAATATTTAGTGATTTTATGTTTATTGCGTACAAGTTTTATAATAATAATTAGCACAATCGTAAAATGTCTGTGGATTATTTATGTATGTAATGGAAACATGAACATGTAACATGTATTATACTTTATCGCGGATCGAAATATTCTAATCACTTTATACTTTACTTTACTTACACTTTAATGTTTTAACAAAAAAATCCAAATATATTTTGTTTATATGGGCAGCTATATTGACAAACCGTTTACTTATAATTCGTTTACTTTCACAGAGTGACATTAGTATTTTTTAATGTAAAACGAAAAAAATTGTAGGTTGAAAATATAAAGCCCCGTAACTGACGATGATATTAAACTTTTTTGTTTTATAATTAAGCTGCTTTGAATCATGTTACCTCGATTTAAGCTTGACACTGAAATGTTAATGTTAATGACAACAGTTCTTATAATAAGTCACATAAGTTGTTGTAATTGATCTGATTTATGAATATAAAACATTGTTCACTTATTATTATTAATTTTTAATTGGCGCTTATGTACATACTTCCAAAAAACTGAACATAAGGTTAAACCCATACCACAGTATACCCATACTTAGCGTTCATATGTTCAACATTAAAAAAATGTTCCAGTGTATAGGTACGAAAATATATTTTTTATTTTACTATTTAAAAACTAAAAAAAAATTTTATGCTGTGAAACTACACACCAAACATTTTGAAAATTTGATTACACGTTTTATGTAGGTAGAAAACAATTTTCGGATAAACAAACTATAGTACTGTTAAATTAGTAAGACAAATGACAAAAAATGACATAAATAGCTAAGAAAATAAATCAACAAAAAGTAAAACAAAAATACCTTGAAACATAGAATGTGATAACAATAGGTAGAAGAATATCATTTAAAAAATATGACAGTAAAAAACCAGATTTCCATCCAAATTTTACAAAATAAATTTACTGGGATCACCGTATGGACATCTTTTTGGAAAATAGATAAATTTTTAATAACCGACAGCACCAGAATATCTACATAAAATGTAGTGTTTATGAGTTTTATACAATATGACATTTTATTTATACAATACGAAGGAACCAGAAACCAAAAGATAATAAGAAAGAGAATAATTAAAATTTATTACCCTAATAAAACTGTAATTTCACTATGACGGTTATCCACTTAATAATAGTTATCATGAACAGTTTTAGAGTTGGTTAAATCTTACTCTATTATAAAAAAATTGACACTTTGATTGAAAGTTTAAAAATTGCATTAACACGAATTTATTTTCACATTTTCCTTTTTTAACAGGTAGTAGCTGCATACAGCAGGTTGCATAGGGTAGCACTCAAGTAGATAAGCATGCGATCGATTTAGAACCCACCCTTGCGAACAAGTAGCAACAAGTCTCACGTAAATTTGTGTTCGAAATGTAGTGTTGAAACGTGGTTCCGGAAGAACCGTTTGCAATAATAACGAGAGTAAGTACTGCTTTAAATAATTACATTTTTTATTAAACGTCACTGTTTGTAGTAAAATTAATAGACAAAATGTACTACAGTCTATCTTTGAAAACTAAACAAAAGAAACCGAAAATCGTAAATCTTCAGTACAACAACTTCGATTTAACACATTTGAACAACATTATAAACATCACACTAAAGAATTTAAGAAAAACGAAAAATTCGGAAACAAATTTAAGCTTCAAGATTTTGAAACTGCTAGACAAAATAATACCTGACGACTATTTTGGTAATAAACTCCACCGCAGACTCTTCTACAGAATAGTTGACAATATTTTAACTCAGTCTGCTTTTGAGTGCATTTATTCATCTACGCTTATCAAAGGCTACAACTGCGAATGCATACCTTGGTTGTCCGAAATTAAATGTCAATTAACAAAAACAACCTTGTTAAAAAAAGCAAACAAATTTCTTCTAGAATACGTCGTTAAGCCAATAGTCGTATTCTATTATAAATGCACAAAAACGTACAGCGGGCAAGAAATGCGATTCATTCGAATAGATCAGTGGGATTCGTTTCACACTAAGATCATAAACACACTCAAGAAGTCAAAATTTTTAGAAGAAGTTGAGCGCTCCTCTCAAGTACAACCCAGAGGCTATCTGAGGATCATTCCAAAAGACAACCTCGATGAGCTACGCTTTCGTTCTATAGTCAACAGTTTTCGAGACAACCCAAAACAAGCTTATCTCAAATCCTTGACTAAAAAAATTTACCAAGCTGCGAGGGCTATGAACAAACATTTTTCGTACTCTTTGTACGACGAGTGGTCTTCTTTTGTTGAAAGAGTGGGAAAACAAAAAATCTTCGGAACGAAAATAGATGTTGAAGATGCATATGGAAACGTGAACATTTCGATCCTAACCAACACCATCCGGTCACTTTCGTCCGAGTTTTTAAGCGACAGAGACAAGGACTTCGTGGCTGAATACGTGAAAAGTCAGTTTGTTATTTTCAGAGGGAAGTGTTACCAATGGAACCATGGACTTCTTCAAGGCGACATTCTTTCACCGTCCCTGTGCGAACTATACATGACTTATTATGATAAACTTTTCCTTTCAAAATTCGATTCCGATTGCTTTTTTCACCGAACCGTCGACGACTATTTTTTTTGTTCAACGGAAGGATTTAAAGTGGCTAATTTTGAGTCATATATGGAAAGTCTCCACAAAATCAACAAGGGTAAGACCATATCGAACGTATGGTTCACTTGCGAGCACATTCCTTATTGCGGCAAAATTTTTAATTTGGACACCAAAGAAGTAACAACTTTGTATAGTTTTAGTAAAGGTTACGAAATTCGACACAAATTTAAGTTGTGGAACATCCAGAGGCCTATTCCAGAGAGTGGCTGCAAAAATTTTCTTGCCAGAGCTGTGTCATGCAGTTTTAGCAGCAACTATTTTGGTAAAATGCAGCTGAATACGCTTTTTAATTCGCAGAAGACGGTCTTGGAGAACTTTTTCGATGGTATGGTTTATGTTGCGTATAAATTTGATGCGACTGTGATGGCACTGCGAAATAATTTTTTGACATTTTGTGTTTATTTTAATTTAAAACAGTGTGTAGAACAGTACTCCGCCAAAGTTAAGAAGTCTATAAGTCGATATAAAGGAAAATTTTACAAGACAAAGGTAAAATTTAAACTTCTCAAAGTTATAGGACTTAAGGCATTTATAGTAGTGTTGAAACGTAGAAACGAAGTTTACAAAAACTTGATAGCGCATATCAAAAAAGAAAATAAACTCAAAATAGATTTTCCAAAATCAGATGTTGATTTTGAATACTTTAACCGGTTGCCTCCGTATTTAAAACATGTAAAAGTTAGCCGGAAAAGTGCGATATAAGTGGAAAAAATCATTTATTTATACATTACCTTCAGTTTACTATCCATATCGACTTATTTTTAACAAAAATATAATAAGAGTGATAAATCAAAAAATTGTTTCTAGAATATAAAATGAACTATAATGACTTAACCTCGAAAAGGAAAAAAGTTCTAAGTCGAAACGTTGTTTTTGTATACATAAAAGATTTTGTAAAAAAATGCCAACGAATTGTACTACTGTTTTCTGTATATTATATACGTTGATTATTTCTATATAGATAAACAAACTTGAGTGCAATAAAAATAAAATCAATGTATTTCATTTTTAAAATGTAGATAAACTAATGTACATTATATATAATTTTAAATATTTATGTTGTTTAAATTTTATAAACCCTATTATTTTTGAATATTTACATAGATACATTCTTAAACTTCTTTTACGGTTAATTATATTCACATTTATTTATTATAATTGTGTTATATTTATATTTTGAGTAATATTCCGCGTCTGCGCATTTTATTTTCTTTGTTACTCAGTATACCAAATTTTCTTTCTTCTCCTATGCACCTATAATATAACTTTTTTTCGTTTTCACGTATCCATTACGAAAATAATATCATATAAAATTTACTTTTTTTAATATACGAAGTCTTCTTTTCACAACAAGAAACTTCAAACGTGTTCATAATGCAAAATTTTTGTTGGAAAATATGGATTTTGTAATTATACTTTGCCCTCGATCTGACAACGAATGAAAAATTCACCATAATTGAGATCAGGGTGGGTGGGTGGGGCTTATGTTTAACTTTTTTTTAATACGCATTCTTCTTTTCGTAACAAGAAAATTCAAATGTGTTCAAAATCGTAAATTTTTGTTGGGAAATATGGATTTTGCAATTATGCTCCACCTCTCGGTCTGACAACAAATGAAAAATACGTCACAGTTGATATCGGGGCGGGTATAGGTCGTATTTAATCTTTGGCTTTTTTTTTTATTTAATACCTATAGTTTTGTTTGAACAATGCGATTACTTAAACACATGTTCCACATGGTAATTTCTTGTAGAAAAATAACACAACGAATAAAAACAAATCATCAGAATTGAAATGGGTATGTGGGCGGGGCTTATATTTTGACCTTTTTTTCTAAATATACGTAGTCTTCTTTTCACAACAAGAAATTTAAAATATATTTAAAGTGGTAATTTTTTGGGGGGATGAAAATATGCATTTTGCAATTACACTCCGCCCCTCGGTCTGAAAACGAACGAAAAATTCATCACAATTGAGATCGGAGGGGGGGGGGAGCTTAACATTTGTGTTTTGTTCTTAATATATATATAGTTTTTTTTTAACAACACAATACTTAAAAACATGTTTCATATACGTATATTAAAAAGAAGTAGAAAGTCATCACAACTAAGATTAAAGGTGGGTGGGAGGAGTTTGTAATTTGCCTTTTTTCTTAATATATGTGCGCAGTTTTCTATTCACGACAAGAAACTGAAAAAATGTCTAAAAAAAAAAGAAAAACAAAAAGCAAATCATTAGCAAAATCTATATTACCCTACAAAAGTTTACCATTTCCAACATATTTTAAATTTCTCGTTGTGAAAAGAAGAGTATTAAGAAATAAAGGCAAAATGTAAGCCCCGCCCACCCGCCCTATCTAAATTGTGATGTTTTTTTTATTCGTCGTGAGCTATAGGGGCATAGCTTAATTGCAAAATTCGTATTTCTCTACAAAAAGTTACCATGTAAAACATGTTTTTGAGTATCGTGTTGTTCAAAAAATACTATGTATATTAAATAAAAAATAAAGCCAAAGATTAAGCTCCACCCATACCCGCCCCCATCTCAATTGTGACAAATTTATAATTCGCATACTTTCCGGCAAACATTTACAACTTTAAACATGTTTTAAGTGTTTTGTTGAGGAAGGAAGACTACGTATAAAACGATTTTTTTATTAATCGTGAGCCAAATGGACAGACCAATAGTTTAATTTACTTCGTTAACAAACATTTTCTTAAAGCTCATTTGAGAATCCAAGCCTTCCGGGAAGCCTTACCGAATTGTTGATTGTCTCCAGAACCTGTTCAAACAAGGTGGGCAATACATTACTGCGAAAACTCTTTCTAGAATACTTCTAGACTAATCTCTAAAAGTAGAACGTTTAGAATGCGAGCGCAACGAGCACGTTCAGATGTAATTTAAAAAAATATTCATGTGTGTCCTTGAGAAGCTAAATTATTTACGAGAGAATTTTTTAGCGTCTAAAAATAGTAAAACATCAAAATGTTTGTAAATATTAAAGCTGAAGTGACCCTAGCTACCTGAACGTGCTCGCTGCGCTCGCATTCTAATAGTGTCTTTTTTGAATCTAGACAGATACTATTATAATAAGTGAATTCAAAATAACTTCTATAAGACTCTTTCGTGGATATTTCTGAGACTGAGAATTTAAAAAAAAAAAAAAACGTTTAGAATGCGAGCGCAGCGAGCACGTTCAGGTATAATTTAAACAACTTTTCATTGGCGCCCGTGAGAAGCTAAATTATTAAGAAATATTTTACTGTTATTGAAATTTTGAAAATGTGAGAATGAAACATTCTGAATGGGCTCGCTTACGCTCGGGAAGTAAAAAGCAAAATATAAACCCCACCCACCCACCCTATCTCTGTTCTTACGATTTTTTTATTCGTCGTGTGTCAGAGGGGCAGAGCTTAATTGCAAAATCCTTATTTCTCTATAAAAAATAAGTCGGACAACGAACAGTTCATCATAATTGAGGTTGGGGCGGGTGGGTGGGGCTTATTTTTTGCTTTTTTTTCTTAACATATAGGAGTGTAATTTTCTTTCATTGATTCTTGAAAAACATGTAGTGGTAGTTTTTTGCAGAGAAATAAGATTTTGCAATTAAGCTTCGGCCCTCGGCTCACGACGAATAAAAAAGTGATCACAACTGAGATGAGGGCGGGTGACAGCATCGGCCTTAATAAATTTAATTACATTTTCTCCTATTTCGAATTTTTTCAGTTCTGGTTTTTTTATTATCCTTGAGAAAAACAGTTTTAGAATATTGCATTAAAATCCAAAGGCTCAGCGAAGATTTTTATTTGAAAAAGTTAAAAATAATGTAAAAATGCAAATTTTGATCATTTGAACCTGTTATCCTGTTTTATCTTATTTGTTTACATTTCATTAATTCGAAATGATTTTAATACTATTTTATATCCCACTCTTTGCAATCTCGGCATTGGAAAATTTTAAATTGGGGTGTATATTTTTGGTATTGATTTGTGATTTAAGTTATTGGTTAAATATTAGGAGTATAATATATTTAAAGGTAAGCGAAGAAAAATGTTGCTGCCTCGATGGGAATCGAACCGCACGCCCCCCGCTTGCTGGACAGGTATCCGCTTACGTGTTATTGTGCCGCCACATATTCTCACTGACCAGGTTTACATGAAATTGTTTCGAAATTTTGATGCGACGTTGCTAAGTTATCCCTGTATTTTATTTCTGCATCTTATTTCGTATTTTGTTCTCTTTTCTTTTCTGTTAAGTAGTTTCTACATTTATTAAAGTCGACCATTTTTGAGATTTTTTACTTTTTTAAGAAACCCACCTACGTATTGAAAGAAAGAGAAGAAAAAATACAAGGTGTTCTTCTTGAAAAGACTGAAATATTGATATTTGAAAGTACATTGTGAAGTTTAAAATTTGCTTGGTCGTGATATTGGACGATTTTTCAGATCGGTCCATGGCCTGGTATTCTACCATATTGGTATGAAATGTGATAATAACCGGTTACCCCATTACGTCGCGAAAAAATGCGTCCATTCCATTACGCAATATTTTGACAGCTAGTCCTTTAAAGTCAAAATTTAAAGGTATTAAAAGTTAGGTTAGGATCAACGTGACAAAGTAAACAAGTTTTTAATGATAAATCTCTAAAGTATACATAAATATAGGATCAATGTGTTCAAACGCGGATCGACAAAATTACGCCAAAAAAATAATACAAGGTAAAGGTAGAGATGTTATTGCACAAAGAACCGATCGACGACAGGTAAATTTTAACATTTTAATATATCATTCTAAAGTTTGGTTTTCAGCGGCTTATACAAAGATTCAAGTCGTTGAGAATACAGTCTATTGATAGTTTAAGACATCTAAACGAAAATGAAATCACATATGAAGTTTTAAGTGAATTGAAAAAATTAATTTTGTCAACTCTAGATCAAGGGAATCTTCTACATGAAGACGATGTAGATTTTTTCCTAAAAGATTTGGAAGAAGAACTGAAATTAGGTGAACATGAGCAGTATGAAAAGTTATGCATGGAGGAAATTGAATCAATCACAAACAATTTAATGGGCAGATGTGATATTTGTGAAAATTTGATCATAAATAATGGTATTTGTGACTCTTGTTCATCAAGACATTTCACTGCTCAATTTTGATACACCAGCCGCATTTGTGTAAATAAATAAAGGTTAATAAAAAGACATTTATTTTTATACAAATAAACTATGACCTTCTCATTGTTAACATAGTATTAATTTCCCATATAATTCGCCTTAAGTGATCAATAACATCTTTTAGTTGTTTGTTTTTCAGTATAACTTGCTCCATTACTTCTTTGCACTCTTCACAGGCTAACCTATAAGCCTCAGAGTTCTTTTTCTCATCATGTTTAGGATCATGTTCATCCTTAAAAGGTATTAAACTCTCAATATGTGTATATTCCATTCCTTGAAGTTGACAATTTTCGTTACACTTCTCATAGATTAGCCTTAACCTTTTAAACAAAACCCTTATGGTACGAAGCTGCTCCTGCACCTTTGCTTTCTTTTCATTACTAGCATTGGAAGATTGTGGAGTTCCATTAGGAGGCTACAACCAACTTCAGTATAAATCAGCCTCACATTTTAACATCATACCTGTATTGTTTTTAAAGTTTGAAAAACTTCCTGTGTTCTACTAACAATATCTTGCACAGTTTCCTGCCCTATCCTACATAAAGATGCCGTATTAAACTCTTTAGACTGCTGTTGCTGTTGTTGAGCCTGAACTGGAGGTGTCGGGGCTACTCCTGTGGGTGTTTGTTGCATAACTTGTGACTGATTAGTCTGCATAGCATGATGCTGTAAATTACTTGAGAACTCTAAAACACGCATGTAGCACAAGTTCTAAAGAGCACCACCACATTACCCATCGAACCCTGCTGCATTTGTAGAGGATTAGCTCCCTGATGCTGTGCCATTTGGTTTCCCGGATTCATTGCATATTGTTGGTTCAGTTGACCCAGAAGTTGATTATTGCCCTGCATGGCTGGGTTCAGACCAGAACTGTTTAAAGTGGATGCCATCTGTGCTATCATAGGATTGCTCATTTGGTTACCCATTGTGTTTTGCATATGAACCGGCATCTGGTTTCCTAGTTGACTTTGCATGGTGTTGCCCATTGGGTTCTGCATTGAGGTCGAAAATTGATTTCTTAGGGCCCCTTGTTGGGAATTGTTCAGGCCCGGGATGAAGTGATGCTGTGGTGCAGACATTTTGCTAGAACGGTAGTTATGAAGTGATTCTTTTAGGACTTGGAATTGAGAAGGGCTTACCTTTTTGCTACTTTCACAACAGAGTAAAAAAATTATTATTCAAGACTCAGAATAATAATTACCGATTTTAATCTCATAATAACACAACCACTGTTTTGATGTACGTAATTGACCCCAAACATAACCTATAACGAGCTAGAACCAGAGATTTTAGAACTTTTGTGATGTGTCAAATCTGACATTTCTTTTTCAAACTACTCCCCATTCTAAATCAAGAAAGATGACGAACTATATTGACCAGTAAAGTGAATGACGCGCGAAATTTGAACTCAGTTCATAACACGAGAGCCGTATTTCAGTTCCCCGTGTAATCCTTATGGGTGAAATCGAGGCGTCACTTTAACGCTTAAATTCTACCATTAAAGTAATTTTCTTATATATCCCACTACCTGTACCATTAAGACTGATATTTTTACTATTGATCTTGATACCAAACATGAACGGAACCGGTGGTATTTAATAAATATTTAAATTCAACTTTTACCACGACATTTGCCTCGAACGTATGTCGTACAGTGGTTCATACTGCCATTGACGTCCCCCTCCACATAAATGGCTTTGATTTTGAGATACTACAGATACGGCTGTGAATTTAAAATAATACATAAAGGAGATCTCATATTTGCAAATGTTTTCAATCAATTGCCAAATTTTGATTTAAGAATCATCATCAATCCCAAGCTTTTTTCTTTTCACACATTTTTGCTAGAAAAGGAAAAACTTAGCATTCCTGATTAGACCTTTCATGTATAAGTAAAAATCACTTTCATTTTAGTACGACTTGGGTGTGAAACACCCATTTAAAAAAAATCACAATTTAAAGAACAATTTATTTCAAAACAAAAAAAATATTCAACAATAAAAAATTGCACTTCCTAATGCAAAATAATCTGATTCACTTTTGGTGAAAAACTGACCCGCAAACTGTTGATGGGCCATTTAATAGTCCTCGGACACTAATAGTTCTTCGACACTGTGAAGTAGGTTTTCTTCAGATCTTTCTGGTTCAAGGCCCAATAGCCAACGCAGTGCTTCGCTCCCATCAGTTTGTCGTAAGCTTTCATGAAGTTGTACCTCAACATTAGCTGTTTTTAGGCTGATTTGGGGATTAAAAGAATTTTCAGAGACAACAGCTCTGACTTCAGCTGATTCACTTTTCTTCAGATGTACGTCCCAAGCACGCAAATTATTGGTCCAAAATACATTATAACGTCCGTGTAGGGCAGGTGTAGCCAATTAGCCATATGGTGACATACAAATGCACCTCTTGGGGTTTCACATGTTGCCTCTCTTAAGGAATATCTATGCATAATAAAACAAAATACGTCATAATTTTACTTGATACAGAATTTATCAATATACATTAACTTACCATAATCTTCTCGCATTATAGCTCGAATAAACTCTTCAAGCACATTTAATTCAGTATACCAATTGACTTTCACTACATTATTTGACTGTAAAGAATTTTCTCCAACAAAAAAAAATGGCAATTACCCCTATTGTTAACACATGTCTTTCTGTCATTATTAATAACAAATACAAAAAAACCAGTCCACAGATACATACAACCTAATGTGAATCAATATCACAGAACTAATATATCATCCAAAAATTGTGGTTATGACATAGAATACCCTCTCTATAGAACACGATCTCTAATGCTTTTATGTTGGTCACAATGTCAGCATCTACTGGCTGGGTCGGGAACTAAAACTGGCGCTAAATTTGAAAGCGAATTTTTAAGGTGAATTTTTTATAATTGAAGGGAAAAATATGGTTTGTGTATTTTATATGTTAGTTTCAAAACGTGTAAATACGTTTTGAAGCTGACATATAAAAAACACAAACAGTGTAAAAAAAGTAGATAAAATATTTGACACAGTATATTTAAAACTTAACATTCAGTTGTAAATGTAAATACAATAATAACAATAAATAAATAAATACATTGATAATATCCTAAAAATATCTTAAGAGAAAATTAGAAAAGTAAGTAAAAGTCAAACAAAATAGTGCAAAATAAAATAACATTTTAAATATTAAATGTTCAAAATTGATAACCAAATATGTTTCCCAGTACTTTGTTATGGTATGAACAAACAAAATAACCTGCAAAATCCAAAATTATACAAACGTTCTACTTTCTTTCTGTAAAACGTAAATATAACTGTTGCATTTCTGTTTCCAATGGAATTGATTTGTTAGGCTCTTCCTTACCAAATACTACATTGCTGACTTTTTTCATAGATCTAAAGATAGACTCTCTTAAAAATAAATGAAAAAGTTGAGTTTTTAGTTCTTCGATATGCAAAACACTCCCGAAAATCAAAATCAATCGCTGTTGCCCCTTTCATAACCGTTTTATAAAAAAATGGGCAGTGTTTACGCCAGGCATGGAATTTTTACAAAAAGCAAAAACAACAGGTTGCTTCTACCTTCCGAAAATTCCTCTGAGTACGCAAATATGGTCTGCAATTTTTTCCGTTCTTGTTGAACCGTCATCTTCAAAAACCACAACTATCCTCACAAGGCAAGTGGTCCAGATGAGGCTGAATGAACATCTCATCAAAGATGAGAGTACATACTTAGGGTTAATTTTGCGACTTACTTGCTTTCTGAGAACTTCGAATATAGGTTTGATGATACCCGGTTCTATTGGAACTTTATTTAGGGTTGCCCTCAAAGTGTTAATAGATAGCAACATAAACATTCTTGGCAGAAGTTTATACGATTTTGAACCATACTTCCAAATGGCAATGGCATCTGCTTTCACCTCAAATGTAAAACTCCTGCTTTTCGATTTACGTTTCTAATCTAGTTTTCAAAAAATTCTCGCTGAAAAGAAGCCAATCCTTTCACGATACCAACCAAACGTTGATCTCCTAGAAACTTCTTAGCGGAGCGAAAGGCGTTCTTGTGATTGCCACATCAATGTGGTTTGCTTCGAGTGATGCTGTAGCAAGTTCACTATCAGCTGTGAATAAAAATATCTTAATATTGGTTTTGTAGTGACTTTCAATTTGTTTTACCGTGGAAAGGCAAAATAGCTGGTACTGCAAATCTATGCGGCTTTTGCGTTCCTGGTATGTATAGTCTTTGTCTGGTCGAAAATGATGGAAGCCAGTGTACCCTCTGCTATAAATTTGGTTGTTGTTTAAAACCACCAGTTTTTGGTTATTCACGGCTTTATTATTTGCGCCATAAACCGATTTGGATGTGGAACCCAAAGATCGGCTTAACTCTCGTCGTATATCCGCAACATGTTGTTGTCTTGCATTTTTGTTCTACAAAAATTGGGTATAATAATCTAGTCAAGGCAAAGTTATATACTTACATTTGGCAATTACACTCTACAATGTACAATGTAAACACATAAATTAAGAAAACTTTGAGAAGCACTATCCCACTATGAAATCACGCGAATACAACACAGGAAATGTGTCAAATGATAAACACTGCCGTTGCTAGGAGATCTAAACGAATTCTCAAAAATTTTGAAAATCACAGCTTTTACAGATTTCTTTTCATTACGACTCCTGGCGGGCGGGTCGGAAAACTTCGCATGAAAGGGTAAGGTGAAGGCTATCTCATTTCAAGACCCCTGGGTTATGATTGTTTGTTGTGATGAAAATACGAAATCAACTGTCATATTTTGGGGATTTTCACGATACAAACGTCACTAGCCCCGCAAAATATTCGCGTTCTTTTTCTGTCCGGCATGTTTCTGGATTTTCCGTTTCACTCATGCGCAAGGCATTAGAAACGATGTACGTTACTTTGATGAACATCGTTGTTTTTAATTTGCGATATTTCTTTAACAGAAGCTTTTTATATAGTTAAACCTTCAGTAATAGGAAGATAATTGAACAGTCTTTATCGCTTGTAGCATGAACTAGTTAAGATTTCTACCTGTGCGGTGTATTTTGCCTGTAAAATCAAGCTCCCATAAGAAACCCATAGTAGAATTTTTGAATTATGAACTGCCGCGCATTCTAAATTCTAACCTTACTTTACTGGTCAATTACGTTTCAAGTCAATCAAACACTGGTTTATTGCTTTGCTTTAAATGATGAGTGGTACGCAATAATTACTGGACAAAAAGTTGTCCTAAATAAGCGTTCTTGGTATCACTAGAACAAAATTGATAAGGACATTTATTTACAATGTCACAGCAAAATAATTCACGTGTGTACAAATATTAAACAATTTCATACTCTGGTTTCTAGATAAATAAATTAAACAAAAACCTTTTGTGAAAATCGTCAGTCACAACTAGTGGCATAAATGTCAAGACCTACGCTTCTCTACTATGATCCCAACAGAACGCTACAGTAAAATACATGACACATTTTTTTATAGTTTTTATTATTGCGTTACAATTTTAAATATATTTAATAAAAAATAAGTACCTGTAAAAATAAAGGAAATTAATACCAAAATAAATACATTTCATTAGAAAAATCTGTATCCAGGAAACAAGAGCCTCAAAGCGCCACTGAGATTGTGATTAACTTTACTTAAAAGTTTCTTCTCCACTTTAAGTCGGCAACAAGGGCAGTAATAAATTTCAGAATGAAAACATTTTTTCAGACATTCCTGAGACAAACACGTAACACATTTTTACGTAATTTTAAAAATCTAAAACCAACTACCTACTTACATGACAAATATTATGTTTACAGTGTGTTGTGATGGGCATGTGAACTATATCGTGACAGCAAACACAAGTAAACATCTCCTTCACTTTTTTAACAAATGCTTCTTCTCCAAGCTCGGTTATTTCTACACATTCGTTCCATACTTTTTCATTGACAACATCGGCCTTAATAAATTTAATTACATTTTCACCTATTTCGAATTTTTCCAGTTTCGGTTTTTTACGTACATGATCCTCTCCGATTCTCGAGATCTATAAAACATTTTATGATTTAAAAAAATCTGGCGTGCAATGATGGTAAAACTACTACAGGAACAAACTTGTGCTCTGTAATTTTCCAAGGTACTGGATTCGGGTCATCTCTTTTCATAAGAAAACGCCAAACAATACATCCTGTTGCATCTATATGTGGAAAATATTCCACGACTTTGTAGATTCCGTCGTATCTAAAACCATTTTCAGGGGCAAATTTTGAGATGTTCCTCAGTTTGTCACTTCTGACAATCCTGATTGGTTTTCCGCGTTCCCAGATATCAGCTTTGCCGAAACTGCAATTTTCTCTTTTATAATTGTGGCAGTTTGAAGTTAATTGTCTAAAAACATCTGTGTCTAAACAACATGGACGAAATCCGGATATCTGTACTTACTTGGCCATTTTGGTAATGTGTTGTATAAATACTTTTGTGGTAATCGTTCGCGGTTTCATAGTAGAACGACTAAAAATGTTGTAGTAGAATTCGTCTCCACAATCTTGTAATACTTCATGAGGATTCTCTAATACAATGCTGTAAACACCTTCTTCCGCTCCACAGACATTGCTCGCGGAATTTGTGTGAACACCCGCCTCAAATATCTGCAAAGTTCATATGACTGTATATCTTCCAGAAAAATGTAATTCGTTAACCGTCTTCAAGTTAGCGTTAGACGTGCAAGCTGGTTTTCTGATCCCTGGTTGTTTGTAACAAACAAGAAAGTTGATGTTAAATCGTTACCAAAGGTGAAAACATTTTAAGCAACTGGGATTACAATATAAAAATCAAATATCATACTTTCAAAAAAGTGTATTTCGTTATTAATATATCGTAAGTGTCGCAAACTACTATGTACATACCTAAACTACAAAGCGGCGTCCATGCATTTCATACAGTCATGCTTCAGGTTTTAGAAGGAAAAGCAGAAAATAAAAGATCTCTACCTGAGATTTGTCGTTCCACACAGTACCTACTTGTATTCCCAGGATGGGACCAAAGGAATTTTTTGGTGTACAGGTTCGTACTTGTGTTTTAGTCTCATTTCCATTGTGAAATTTATTCAAATTTTCTCCTGGTTTAACAATTTCATTCTCATCATTTTTACAATCCGGACAATACCTAAATGAGACAATTCCTTAACAGCCGATTGACATTCTATAAAACGGCGTTACGGAAAAATAGATCAAAAAATTTAACCCTCACAGTTTTTGACAGCCTGTTAGTTGGTTCCACAGTAAAAACTGAAGTAACTTAAAAACCGGAACAAATACATTCATAATGTAAAAAATTGGCATTGTGCTTCAGGGTATAATAAATTTAATGTCTCTGTTATCCAGACTTTGCTATTAAATAGTATACATATTACATACCGAGGCGGAAAGTATTCCATTTCTGTCGAGAGACACAGGAATCGTACTTTTGCCGAGGTTTGTACACTATTTTATTCACTTGCAATTTGATTCGATTTTCGTCGCATTTATTCGGATCCTTTCAGCACAATAATCACCCGTATTGGTCAAACGCAAGCACCGCAAGAAATTTGCGTCGTTTACGGACCCGCTTCCGGATGCGGAATAGCCATAAATCCAGCTTTAATGACACATACGTAACATTTGAAGGTCGAAAGTGACATTCACTTCCATCTCTTGAGTGGAAAGTGACAGTTACTTCCATTGCTTGGGTGGAAAGTGGCAGATAAGTGGCATTTGTCACTTTCCACCATTGAGATTGAAATGAAGTATGCAATAACTAACTTTTAAACTTTTAAAAAATTAGTAAGGCTATATCTTGACAAAGTATGCTGCTTCCTACCTTCCTGGTAATTCTGGTATTTATTCAGATATTGTTCTAATAAAAGCACAATACTTTTTTTTCATGGCGAAAGCGGAATGTATGGTTTCTAATCATAGATAGTTGGCGGTCTTTTTTTCTCTGATCATTTGGCCAAATTGATTTTTAGTTGTAAACTTCAGGGGGAAAATTGATTATGCAAAGACGGGGTATAAAGCATAATACGCGACAGGTTTTTTGGGCATAAAGTGTAGTGTGAGTGTACACCTGTCAACAGAGTAACATCGTCAAGAAAGGGTGACAGAATCCAGATTTTGGTTTTTTGTGTGTTTAAATTTGTGATATTCAAATAAATATTTGTATTATTTCATTTGATTTTATTTTTGAACGGTGGAAAAGGCTTTTTGCACCTGGGGAATAAATACTTTCTAGGTTATTTGAACAACAAGATTTTGCATTTTGATTTACGGCGACTTTTCAACCTTGGGTTTCACCACACAACGTTTAGGGTTTCATTTTGTTGACGATCACAGTTGAAGACCAAATTTTGAATTTTTCGCAGGTTTCATAATTTTGTACACGTCTAAGTAGTACCTATTCTTTTATTTTTTTACTTTAAACTCTTTGTTTTTTTTCATATACTCATTATTTTGACAGAATTCCCTTTCAGTTTAGAAAAATGGGGTTATATGTGCATTCTTGCACAAGTTGATTTTTTTACCAACAGTGGAAGAGGCACTAGGACTGACTGAAGAAGACGATTCTCAAGATGTTCGCTGCATTTATACAGAACCTCCTCAATCGAGTAGTCTTAGGGGACGAACAACATGGAGCTGACCTTGTTTTGGCGAACTTACCTGATAAGTTTCTAATTTAGAACCAGAAGTAGAAATAGACTCCGAAAGCACGGTTGACAATAAAAATCCAACATCTCCGAAAAAATAAAATAAAAATAGAAAAGCAGAAAAACTATAATTACATATATAGGGTGAGTCACTAAGCGTGCGGTCTGTTTTTTGAGTAATATGCATTAAAATTTTTCTGGACTATACAGTGTTTTGTTTTGAGGGATGGCACAGCTTGTTTTTTTTTTTTTAATAGAACACTATATATTTTTTATATTTTCTAGCCTTTTTCTAGGATTTAGAACAACAGTTTATTTTTGAAATTCTAATGCGACATTGCCACATTATTCGAGTTTAATTAAAATTTTTCGTAATGCAAGCGCTCAAAAAAAAAATCGCCAGAATGTTCTGTGTTACAATATTTTAAGAAGAGATAAACAGAAGTACGCGTTTTATTGCGGTATGCATAAAATCCAGTTTTAATATAAAGTGTGACAATTTTCAAAATACATACAATTTCAGTTTTTTCAAATAAAACACCCTATACTTTGTAGCCTTGTCAACGGAAAATTTAGGTAGAAGCGAGCCATACACAAGAAAGAGCTTATTTAATTTTGGGATGGTGTCATAAATTTGCATGTAATAAACTGCGTTATTCATTGACAAGGTCACTGAACGAGTCAAAGCTGTAAAACTACTATATCTCTTATGCCACTATACTATATGTATTAAAGTTCACATTTTTATTTCGTTGTCTCAAAATTGTAATTTTGAATGGATTTTTATGTAATCCACTTCAATGTAATATTTCACTTTGCTCCTGCATAATCGCAAAATTTTAAAAAATCTACCAGTACTCTGACCTTATACAATTATGCATACCTATTATCACTCAGGATATACGAAATTTCGAAAAACCCTTTGAAAAAGTCTAGCAGGACATTTTATGAACAAATCGTCCCTACAGATTTTCATCACGTCAAAATTTTAGACTAAAAAAAAACGTTCGCGGGTTAATAGTGGGGTAATTTCATATTTTACAATTTAATAGTTTTAAATAAATAATGTACTCTCTGGCAAGTATTACATTACCTCAGAAGTACACACTATAAACCTATACATACCATTCTGGATCTGTTGGAATATCATCCAATGGTGGTTGAAGACAAAATAAATGGTAAGTGTATTCACACTCATCGCATATAATTAACTTATCAATGAAGTTTTTTTTGCCGCAAATGTTACAGCTGCACTCTTTACAATCTTTTACAGAAACATCTTTACATTTTTTGCAATAAAGAGGCAATTTTCCTACAAAATATATGATTTAAACAAGAAATTAAAATTTTGTTTTCATTACTTAAAGGGATTGTTTTAGTTTCACTTCCCCTTTCACAGATCAAGGTTGGCTTTTCAATTTTCATGACCTCGTTGGCGAACTTGACTGTGCAATTAATGTCCTCAAGGTCTCCACCTAGCATCAGAGTCCCAACCAGAGTACATTTTTTTATATTTATCTCTCCTATTTTAAAATCATACCTGAAATGTTATTTATTTATTTAGCAGAACGCCCAAATAAGATTTTTACCAGTATCCTGTCTCTCTTGGTTTATTTATGTTATAATTGACAAAAACAACCATTTCTGGTTTTAGTTCTGACAATTGGTATAAATATTTTGCTCTTGGTCGAATATCATGAAAATTAACGTTTAACGGGGCTGTCTGCTCGTCTCTGTCCATAACTACTTGAAATAACAAATCTTCTTCATCAGTACTGGTGGTCACTTCTGTATAAATACTAACAATTTTAGCCTCAAACCAAGCACCGATTTCTTTATACACAACATCAACTAAATCGCCAATTTTGTAATATTTACTTGTTGTATTTATAACATCACTATCTCTTACACTAGCGTCATCAGAGTCAATCTTTGTGGATTTCTTTTCAGTATTGTCAGTTGTCACTAATAACTGAATAACATCATTATTTTTAATTTTGTAGTCTGCTATTGAATGGTCAGATATCAACTGTAACAAAATACTTTTACTAACAGTATAAGCGATTTTATTCAAGTGTACTTGTTTTCCTCCATAGTACAATTTTTGTTTGGCAACATCCACCTGAAGCTCATTTTTTATTAGTTTTTGAAGTGCTGCTATTTCCAGAGTGTGATTTATGTTAAAAATGACATCACTTTTTATCTTCAGAGGCACAGTGACCTGTCTAATTCTCACAGACTGCATTTTCTAACTTTAATGGGACAGGTTTCAACAAGTGGTTGTATGGCACTTATCTTCGGCTCCGGGTAAAGCTGGCTTAAATAAAACGAGTGCACGTGACATGCTTAATAATATCGGAAAACGGAACGCGAAGTCGGGAATTATTGCAACACGAAACTAATAAACTCTCTTGCGAACGAAAACAATAACAGTTGCAGTAACCCAATACACTGGAACAAGTAATAACACAAAACAAATTACGTCATGGAGTAAAAAAAAAACAAGAGCAACGCACCACGTGTTCCCACATGTGTTCCATTTCTTTTTGATTGATATGCAACACACAATACAGGTTTGCATTGATGAGGAAAGGAATTGGGGAATCAAATTACCAGCACCGAATTTTCTTCGCCTTTGAAGCACCAGCACCAGCAATGGTAAACGCCGTATTTTCCAACAAAGATTTCTCTGATAATTTTTTCAATTTGGGGCAAAATTCTACAATTCTAAATCAGGTAATGTCTAAAAAATTGGTAGCAGTTTTGGTAAAAATTTTATACAGTTTTCAAATCCTGCTACATATATACATTACGCTGATCGTCAATGCAGTGCAAATTTTGGTGACGCAAATTAATCCTTGTTTTCAACATTATTTATACATAATAAAATATCTCAAAACCAGTGGCGGCTCGTGACCTAAAATTTTGGTGAGGCCACACCTTATGACGTAAAAATAGTTAAATACATATAATTTTTTTTTATATCTGTAAATTACTCTACTCTGTCAGTTGAAAGTGATACCTGAGACTAAAAAAATTTCCACTTCCATTTTTCCCACACTTGGCGACTTACTTAAGAAATTTGGAATTGTAAGTTGATTTTATACGTCAATACTAGATGAAAATGTATTTTATTAGGAAATTTGAACATAAAAAAATATTAACAAAAATGCACCACATAATCAACTGTCCGGCAAGAACCGACGTGGAGGTGTAGAGTTTTCTTGCCAAGAAAGAAGGATAGGGCAGAATAGGAAACAAGAATGATAACAAGTGGAAGGTTTAAAACAAAGGTAAATCAAAAATGTGGCAAAACAATAGTAATATAAGTAAAATGAAAACTTAATAAAAATTGTAGTTTTCGAACAACCGCTTCAAAGCCGTGGTAAATAACAAAAAAAAGATTTATAAATAATATAAACAATAACAATACTTATGGATTAATTTATCTTGTAGGTTGTATTTACTGAAATTATTTAGTAATTGAAATAAATCTTCAGAAGTTGGTCCAGAACTAACATCGAAAAACCCCATGAATCTTTCGACAATTTTACCGGAGATAACGTAACGAAAAATAACTGACAATTGCGATTTACAACTTATGTCAGTCGTTTCATCAATCTGCCAGGAAAAAAAAGGGGCTTCAAAAATTTGTTTGCTAATGTTCTTGTTTATGACAAAAGAAATTGATTCAGCTAACTCGTTCTGAATCATTTTTGAAGTACCGGAAAACACGGGTTTATTGTCAAAATCTTTTTCCAAAAAATTTCCCATATAAGTGTCATATCTATTCAACAATGAAATTAATTCTTTGAAATTTCCGCGATTGAAAGACGTTTCTGACTCGTCATGTCCTCTAAAGGTAAGCTCTTGTGTGCATAAAAATATAGCAACATCAATTAACCTTTTAATAATTTTCCTATTTTCGCGAACTTTGACATTAAAATTTTCTATTTCAATTTTGCGAGCAGAATCTAGAGTACTGGCAATATTCTGTTGGCCGAGAAGAACAAACTTGGAAGAAGATGATATGTGATCTTTACTTTTGGAATATTTTTCCAAGGAACGCGACAAATTTTTCAAATCTGCATATCAAGTTTCTCACCAAACCGATTCTCCACTATTCGAGAATAAAATACATGGCCAACAGAAAAGTTTATTCACAGTTGTACTCCCAGCAAGCCAATCATATTTTGTATACCAATTGAGACTGAACACCCTGTTTTTTTGTTTTTCTCTTTGAATTAATGTTAAGCTTATATCTGGACATGGACGTTTGCTTTACTTTACAAACAGTTTATCTTCGTATGTTAACTTATTGGAGGGACATTTATTCACGAGAACGTTAATAACAATGTCATTTGTATTTCGAACCGTGGAGATTACCTGAGTACCAGATGGGCCTGCGTCCATGTTCATTATTATTTAATTACAAATAAAATTAATCGGAGTATCCACAATCCACTGCTTAACCAAGTACCGAACTCTTTAACGACAACGACTGAAATTTAAAATTTATGCACTCTGCAAAATGCAAAACGCACGTGCATGTGGACTGAGCTGAGAAGGAGAACCAATCAGACAAGAGCTGCGGCCGGCCTCAAAACTATCTGTCCTAAAGCATTTGATTCCCATAATAAACGGAACCGGTAATACTGTGCGTTGTAAAAACATCCAGCCTCCTATTCCCACATTTTAATCAACCCGTGAGGCCGGCCTAAACGCATGAAAATACATGATTGGTTAGAATAACGCTGCGCCTTGATTTTGTGGTTGGCATAGAAAGTTCAGTTGTCGCGCTAATTTTAAATTCCCCCGTACAAAAAATCCATATTTCATACTAATGACTGCTAATGGAAGAAAAACATTTTTTATGATTATGTAAGGTGAGGCCCTGCCTCACCTGCCTCACCTGAGAAGCCGCCACTGCTCAAAACTTTTGGTTCATTCGTTTTCTGAAATAATAAGAAATAAATATATTTATGTAGAGTGTAAATCTCAGAAAAAGTGAATACAAAAGTGTCACATCATGTTTTAATCCGTCTGGACGAGTTTTTTTTTTTTTTGACTTTGCTACTACCTACATATAAATACATATGTCTATACCAAAAAAACTATAAAAAGACGTAGAAGGACGTCTTGTTTCTTTTGAGAGATTATAATTGCAATAACGTAGTTTCTCTTCTAAAAACAAGTTGTTTATGTCAAAGTTAGATTTCTTTTTAAAACTCAAGCCACCACCCTATAATAAAAAATATTTTGGTCCATTCTCTCGGTACTGTAATGGCTGATTGATAACCCAATATCCTGCCAGAATGAGACATGTGCACAAAGTTATAAAACCCGCGAAAACTTTAAAATTTGGTCTTGAGCTGCGATCGTCAACAAAATGGAACCCTACGTTGTGTTTTTAAAATAGCGGAATGCGTTCAAATGTCAAAACTGGAAAAGGGATATTGAATCAAAATGCAAAATATAGAGCGAAAAGCTGCAAAAACCTCACCAGCTTTCAAAAATCAACCAATACTACAAAACGACACAAATATTTAAATAAAACGAATTTAAACACGCAAAGAAAAAGGAGAATTCGGCATTAAAATAGTTGGATGGTAATTATCAAAAACCAAAGACTGCATCGTGAGTCGAAAACATAGATCACGGCTACGGGATCGATGTCTCTGATCAAGGCGATCGAGCTCTTTTAGTTTTTATGAGCACACAGCATACTAGCTATGAAATTTGAATTTGAATAATGTACTAACTAAAAGCATCCAGAACTTTAAAATATATCATCATTCATTACTGAAGTGAATTTCCGCTACGTGGTTTACGTGAACACTTTTATCATCGTTGTAAAATTGCACGAGAACCATGAACGGTTAAAAAGTTTACGTGAACTGTGAATTTACAAACAGTGAAATAAAAATTATATGTGTTAACGGCAAAATTTCTCATTGCAGATTAGAAAATCGTCAAATCTAAAAAAAGAAACTTTTTGTAATCCCCAGAAATGAAAACACACGTCCCTAAATTAATTTTTCTGTTGATCACAAATCTGCTTTTAGATTTTGTCTACCACGTTTAGTTTTCCAAAATATTTATAACAAGAAGATCATAAAAATGACGCATTTACGCGAAACAAATCTTAATCATCTTCGCAAGGAGATACAATTCAATTAGTCAGTCATTAGTTAATCATAAATTAAACGAAAATTTGCCTAACACGCTAAATATGCATGGGTATTTTTTAAATTTTCAAATGCGATTTTGTGGCCTTGTTTTTTCTCGGCGCGAAATTTAACTTTTAAATCGGGACACCACAGTACCATTAATTTATTGTAATTTGTCATGAGTGAAGGTTTATTTATTTTTACAGACATTTTACATACATTTTTACATACAGCTGTAACAAATTAAATAAATAATAATAATAAATTATCTTTTCACTTTAGATTTTTTTTCTGCCAGTATAAAATTATATCCGAAACGATTAATGATTCCTTTTCTTTTCATGTAATTACAACTATTTATTGAACAATCGCGTGGTATTCTATTTTCACTAATTATTCCTATATCGTGGTATCTTCTGTTATGTAGTGCAGATAAAAAATTCAAATTAGCAAAAAATTGATTAAAATACATTTTTCATATAAGGAGCCTCACATTTCTCGTAGTGTTTTCATAAATATTATTTCTGTTTGTATTTTACTTTGAACAGTCGGGGTCAGAAAATCTTGGACGTCAATAACATTCCATACGCCGCCCCGGTACGACGCCTATGAGTTCTAGTATGTACAGCGATGATGGGTGACTCATCGTCGGTGACAGCGGCCGGGCGACGTTCGCTAAAGAAAAGCCTGGAAGTGTAACTCGCGATGGGTATTCCAGAAAGACCTCGATCGCTGAACATCTACAAGGAAGTATGGGTTTAAATGGAGGTCCCCTTGGGGAACGATGGTTATTCAGTCAGCAGCCGAGTCCAGTGAATTAATTCAGTCAAGTTGCGCTAGAATTATTTTGTACATAATCGCTATGTAATTAGTCGTGTAAATTTGAGTTACTAAGAAACAAATTGTTGAGTTTTACCCACGTCGATTTTGAAAAATGTGTTAATCTTGAAACGTCAAAGTGACATGATGCATATAACACTTTCTCGAAAATTTCAAAATGAAAGAAAAATGACGTCCAAGATTTTCTGCGCCCGATTGTAATCACATAGTTATACATATAAAAACGGCCTGTTTCTAAAATAAAGACTAGAGCGCGGAGATGCGGAGTAATCCCGAAGCGTGCTTACCTTGAGTTGTAAATCTCAAGGCCGGGCGTTTACGTTGACAATTATTATTCTGAAAATTTTTCTTTTAGCTTACAGCTGTTATTCAAATAAACGTATATACTCGTATATATGGGGAAATCACAGCTGTATACAAAGCATTAACGCAAAAAATAAATGAATAAGTACCTGAAGCACGCCTATATTTTTTATATATTAATTGATATGTGTTCCAAGATTTTACTTAGTTGCGTCTGCGTCCTGATAATGACTAAACGAAAAAAAAAACAAAATCTTAAAAGTAAAAAGAATACTTATTCAACTGCTGACAGAAGTTAAAAAGAAATATATCCACGTATGGAAACGAAAAATACAACACTTGCAACTCTCCCATAAAACTGACTGTTTACGAATTATATGTACTTATACAGGGTGTTATCGAAAGGTACGTACAAAATAAAATCGGCAGTTGGTCTCGAAGTTTGGGTGCTAAAAGTTAAACAAAATTCAGGTAAATGTGTTCTTCTTTTAAAGATAAACATTATTAAAATTTATGTTCAAATTCGTTGTACGTCTATGAAAAAAGATTATCTTTCGTTTCTATAGCAACATTTAGTCTTGATAAAATTTTTATTGTTACAGTTACTAGGATTTACTAAAATAAGTTAATTTTACCTATTTATCTTTCAGTAGCGTCAAAAAAGGTTGGATAAGGGTTAATTTTCCCCTTATAATTTTGATAATACAAAATAAATTTTCAGATTTCTTAGACTACGCGAATAACTGTCAATTTTGGTCTACGGACCTTTCAATAACACCCTGTATTAAACGTATGTTCATATTTAAGGTTACAAAAAAGTTTAGAAACAAGCTCAAACTGCAGAAAAACCAAAAGTAACTAGTTTGCTTTAGAATATGTATATGTATAATTTTCGAAGGCAATACTTTGGGAACACATAAATATTAAATTTATTTATTATATTTATATAATTAATTTCACATCACCATAAATGATCAAAGTCTTCCTAAATATGACATTAATTATACTGTTACGTTGATCGGTGAGTAAAATCGGCGTGGGTAAAACTCAACAATTTATTTCTTAATAACTCGAATTTATAGCGATTCTGTACAAAATAATTCCGGCGCACTTCACTGGACTCTCTTTGAGAAGTGTTCAAAGTTGGTTTACATAGAAGTTCTCGCGCCTCTGAAGTACAATACATCATATACAGTTTTTCAAAAAAAAAAAATTTGACTTTGCGAATTTTATTTTTTTATGATAATTCTTATAAGTTAAAATAAAGATATGTTTGTAATGTTAAAGTAAAGGTAAAGAGGCATGCTGTGTGTATATTTCAAGTGAGTTTTTCTATTACAAAATTTTATCACGGAGACGTATGTCAGTTTGGATAGTTAATGATATAAGATGTAATAGTGACAGTACTGTATTTCCAAATTTGGGCGAAAATATGTTGGTCTTGATTTGTTCAACAAAATAATTTGTGTCATTCATTAATTTTTTTTAGTCAGCGTGTATAAGCATTTATGAAATACATATTCGTTTTTTAAGTATCAAAGTTAAATTGTAAAATGTTACACAATTTAAATTTTTTCAGAAAAATCTGGATGTCACTAGTATAGGAATATGTAATTTTATTGCATTTAAAAAATATTAACCATGAAAAATTTTCAGATGACACCATTACATTGTTGGTGACAAAGATCGGACCAATTTTGGTTACCTTTTTATAATCTACATTCTACATGATATTCCTAAAATATACATATATAAAATTTTACAATAAGTCCAATAATTTCGATAAAAATCGACACATAGCAGACAGACGTCAGACTACAGACAAACGTACAGACGAAAAGGGGAGACCTCTTTTTTAGTAGGTACTCTAGGAGACATGAAATAATGGAATAATGTCTTTACAACGTAAACATTGAAATCATACACATGAATTTGCAAGAATCTTTTACTTTTATTGAATGCACTATTTTGACGACTAATATACGTCTTTTGAAATTTGTAGTAATTATAAAAATCTTCCACTTTCTTCATCGGGCGAATTTTAGTCGATTGCTAGATTCTTGAAAGTACCGTCTACCCCAAAACATTCATTTGGTTTACTTTCCAAAGGTCGTAAATGCTCCATAGAAACGTTATTGTAATTTTCCACAAAAAAATCATGATGGTCTTCTATAGCCTGATCCCACTTTTCTATAAAGTAATATACATTTAAAAATCATTAGCTTATCCATAATCAATTTAAAAATTACTTAATTGCTCAGCAATGGGCGTCAACGTTCCACCATAATCAAACGGAAGGCATTCTTTCGGTATTACTTTGTACACAGATTCCATATTTTCATGAATTCTTACCTGAAAAGCTTACATGTATATATAACACTTTACTCAAAATAATCTTACTCTTTCATAAATTTTGGGCCTCAACACTAACTTCATCAGAGCTAGAATTTTGTTAGCAAAGGAAGGGAAGTTAATGAGTTCTAGTCCTAATATTCTTTGCGAATAGGCTTTCTGCAATCAAAAGTCATTTAACGTTATACTACATAGGGTGTCTCACATAAGATTGCGAGAGCTTATATGTGAAAATGTGTTTTTGGCATAAAGAGCATCTTATTTACTTCTATTAAATTGATGTGCTTGCCAAGTGGTAGAGGATTTATCCTCAACAAATGGTTTAGTGTGAATCCGCTAAAATCGAAGAGGTAACGAATACCAACAGAATAATCATGCTGCAAAGAAAGTTCTTCAATTCCCAAATTGACCTTAATTACTTCATATATGTCATATGCGATAGGACTTGGATTCATTATCTTCATAATAACGATTCGTTCTAGGTTCGGCGTTAAATTGGGCATAGGCAAATAAATTCTGAAACAATTTTAAACACTCACTCTTAGAGCACTGGAATTTTTCGAAATAACTTACGTCACATGTTTTGACGGCACAATAGATTCAAAATCACGAATAAGGTTTTTGTTGTGGCCTCTAAGCGAATAGTAGTTGTCCAGCTTCTGTTTAGTTCGTTCCACACGACATTTATTTCTCAAGAGGATTTTTTCAATAAAGTCGTCTAAATAAAAAATACATTTAAATATAGTCTCCCGGTCCAGTTGAAATATACTAACCTGACAATGTTGGAGGCAAATGTGGTTGTTTTTCTTTCCATGTTTGAATAATTGCTACGTCTTCTTTTATGTTATTCTCAGTGACATTATAGTATTTGAGGATTTGTTTTTTATCTTCTGAAGTTACAACGAGTAAGGACTCCATTAGTTTGGCTATGGGAAAATTGCAGACTTATGATTAGTAACAAAAAAATCTAGGGTCTATTTGTTAATAATAATCAACTAATTTTTTATACAATTAATTCATTTGTCTGTTTATTTATTTAGATGATTTTGAGATGACGTCATCAACTTTTTGGAAAAGATTAATGAATAAAAATTTTGTGGTCAAACTTAATTTAGAGCATCCGATATATTCATAACGAAAAAAATAGAAACAGATTGTTAAATCCAAGTAACGGAGTATGAAATAAAATTTTGTTTAGCATCTTGCCATTCACATGTCTTTCGTATCCTACCTGTCAAAAAACATAAATGAGACATTCGTCAAAATGATGATAAACTGTCGCCCAGTAAATAAAAATTATCTAAATACATATATCACATAATCTATTTCAGTAAAAAATTGTTTTGTGATAAAAACACAACTTACCTCTTTGTGTTAACTGTAGTTCAAAACCAACTGACTGAAAGTCAGATTTTGTTCTTTGATTTACTCCGTTAATGACCAAGGAACCTTGACAGTTATAGATGGGTTTTAGTGACTTGGCCTGTTTAAAACTTTCTAGTATACTGCATTTTAATTTGTTTACTACGGGTATTGTTACTATTATAATGTCCCAGAGGGGTATTTTTACAAGATAGCCTCTATATAAACATGGTAATGAAAACTTTGTTTCAAAAAATTCTGATAGAATTGTGTAAAGGAGTGGCTTTAATTAAAAAGCATATAAACTTTTTGTATTAATTAATTCTTGGAAACGCCTCGTTGCTACAAACATATTATGAAATTGAATATGAAGAAGATATGTGTCACAAGAACGACTTTCAAAAACCAGCATCTCGTACCATGAACTGGTTGGGTAACTGGAATATAAAATCCTGACAAATTTCAGATAATGTAATATCATTATTATAATTTTTAAATTTTGAGTTATTTCTGTAAAAAAGTAGCTCTGCTCTTCTAATGCTAAAACCATAACAAAAAATTTGTTTCTTTATTGCTCTATTTTTGTTGTACGGAAAAATGGACTGTATTTTCGGGACAGAGAAGGCACGAACTCACCTCAAAGGTGCCCTTTTGGAGTTTCACCGGACAGGAACGGTAACGAGCAGAGCAAAAACGAAGAGCTGCGAAGAATTGCACTTGGTGGAAATAACACACCTGAGTTTATGAGATACACTGATCGTGTGCTTGACACGTACATACTGAATACGGAAAATAAAACGAATAAAAAATGAAGCGGCACTGACCAGAGAATTCCTTTCTTTGAGGTTAAAATAACTATAACCCGCATAAACCCATTAAATAAAAAATTGGTCGAAAGTTCGACAAGACTTCCCTCGCTCCCGAAGTACCACTGATACATTTTTGTTGTGCAGATTTTTTAAATAACTGAGTGTTATTGTTAAATCTGTAATAAATTAAACACCACACCTGGAGTTTCTTGAGGACCCAACTAGACAAACAAGGTCATAAAAATTCCTCGATTCTTTTCGGTGACGGATGAACCGCCGTCAGTAGCACCCTCCGAATCCCTGCGCCAGGGAAACGAAAATTTCAAATATTATTTTGTCATTGTTAAATATCGTCGGGTGCATTATCTACATTTGAATGTGTTTATCGCCACAAAACAGGGGAGTAAAATTATTGATACAGTCACAATAGGAGCGAGGGAAGTTCTGTCGAAACAACTTTCGACCAACTTTTTTATTACTGAAACTTTGATGAACAATTTACCATGTTTCTGAGTACCTTAGATTCCAAAACATCCGGTTTTGCAATTTCAACGTTAAATAGTAAAATGTTAGTATAGAGTTTTTATTTTTTTCCAAAAATCTGGATGTCAAGGGTAAAATCTGAACACAAACTCATAAACCCGAACTGCAGGAATATAAATATTGTTACAGCATTTTAAGTTTTTTTTTCCAAAAATCTGGAACTCAACACGGATTTATGAACCACAAGTGGGTTATGTTATTTTATGAAATTTAAATAATAATATTTATTCGGCAAAATTTTGTGATGAGGTCATTTACAATAACTAGAGAGCGGATTTCTAGGTTTAATGCTTTTTGTGAAAAATGTAAGCACTTCAAAACTTTTTTATATCTGTAACTATGATACAATTTGGAGTCATTTGACACATTTTTTTTTATGCTTATTTACTTTTTTTTCAATTTTATGCATATTAAAACTTATATGCTTATTTAATGCTTTTTTTCACTAGCAGCCTGGACGCATGCAAATATCGACTCATTTAGTGGTAGCAAATTCAACTTTTGCTACCACGGGTTCAAAAAGAAAAATTGAGGTTATGTACGCAATGTTTGATGTGATTATTTCTTAAAAAATGAACAAATGTGTGCTACAAACATTACTTGAGTATACGCATGATAGTTGGTAGACGGTAGAAGATAAAATGATTAACTCAGCGACAAGAGTATAAACGGTTTTCTTTGTGTTGAAGATTTAGATCAAGTTTGATTAGAAATCAAAACAAAATCATGTTGCGTCAAAAAATTGAACGTTTATTTTTCAGTTTATTGTCTTATGGTTTCTACTAGTGAAAAAAATAGTATATTAACCACGGTTGCAAAGCCACTTCTAGACCTCGCACTTAGAGCCCTCGACGCTGCGCGTCTCGGGTTCTAATTTGCGCTCGGTCTAGAATGCTTGGCTCTGCAACCTTGGCTAATAATATACTATTTTCGACGAATATGAGTTTTAATGCATATTTTGTTCAAACGCCGGCCTTGTCGGGATGACAAATACTTGTTAGTTAGCCGTATCGTATCGTATGCATTTTACCTGGACTTGACCATTGAAGTACACTTACTCAAGACCCTTTCTGTGAATAGGTTCCGGTCGTTTGGGTAATAAAATTTTATTATAGGATTGGAAAAATACTCCATAGATTTTATGACTTTAAATACTTACTTCCGTTGATAATGAATCAAGCTTTTAACCAGATGTTCTTTTTCGGCATTTTGCGGCAAGACCGTTGAAGATTTTCTAGAAAAAAGGATTATTGTACCCAACTACCTACCTTAACTTTTCTAATGGAAACTTTTAAGTAAATGAACCGTTTATTTCACAACCATCAGTCCATCGCATCTGTCGTAGTACAGTGTTATACGTGGTTCTCCCTTGTTACATGTTGACTTCTTTTTGGTAATATTACTAATATTTTAAAAGAATGCCGAAAGTAAAATCGCCGCCGGATGAGTGGATAAAAAATCCTGAAATCCTCGAAACACCAAAATTCCCGAATTTTCAAAACTCCAAAATTTTCAAATCTTCAGAACACCAAAAACCTCAGACCGTCTAAACACCAAAATTCTCAAATTCTCAACTCCTCAAAACACCAACATCTTCAAATATTCAAACCATCAAAATTTTCAAATCCTTGAAACACCAAATTCTTCAAAACGCAAAATCCTCAAATCTTCAAAACACCAAAATCTTCAAATTCTTAAAACATCAAATTCCTCAATTCCTCAAAACACCAAAATCTCCAGATCTTCAAAACATCAAAATCCTGAAATCCTCGAAATATCAAAATTCCCGAATTTTCAAAACTCTAAAATTTTCAAATCTTCAGAACACCAAAAACCTCAGACCGTCTAAACACCAAAGTTCTCAAATTCTCAACTCCTCAAAACACCAACATCTTCAAATATTCAAACCATCAAAATTTTCAAATCCTTGAAACACCAAATTCTTCAAAACGCAATATCCTCAAATCTTCAAAACACCAAAATCTTCAAATTCTTAAAACATCAAATTCCTCAATTCCTCAAAACACCAAAATCTCCAGATCTTCAAAACATCAAAATCCTGAAATCTTCGAAATATCAAAATTCCCGAATTTTCAAAACTCTAAAATTTTCAAATCTTCAGAACACCAAAAACCTCAGACCGTCTAAACACCAAAGTTCTCAAATTCTGAACTCCTCAAAACACCAACATCTTCAAACATTCAAACCATCAAAATTTTCAAATCCTTGAAACACCAAATTCTTCAAAACGCAAAATCCTCAAATCTTCAAAACACCAAAATCTTCAAATTCTTAAAACATCAAATTCCTCAATTCCTCAAAACACCAAAATCTCCAGATCTTCAAAACATCAAAATCCTGAAATCCTCGAAATATCAAAATTCCCGAATTTTCAAAACTCTAAAATTTTCAAATCTTCAGAATATCAAAAACCTCAGATCTTCTAAACATCAAAGTTCTCAAATTCTCCACTCCTCAAAACACCAACATCTCTAAATATTCAAAACATCAAAATTTTCAAATCCTTGAAACACCAAATTCTTCAAAACGCAAAATCCTCAAATCTTCAAAACACCAAAATCTTCAAAATCTTAAAACATCAAATTCCTCAATTCCTCAAAACACCAAAATCTCCAGATCTTCAAAACATCAAAATCCTGAAATCCTCGAAACATCAAAATTCCCGACTTTTCAAAACTCCAAAATTTTCAAATCTTTAGAATATCAAAAACCTCAGATCTTCTAAACATCAAAGTTCTCAAATTCTCCACTCCTCAAAACACCAACATCTCTAAATATTCAAAACATCAAAATTTTCAAATCCTTGAAACACCAAATTCTTCAAAACGCAAAATCCTCAAATCTTCAAAACACCAAAATCTTCAAAATCTTAAAACATCAAATTCCTCAATTCCTCAAAACACCAAAATCTCCAGATCTTCAAAACATCAAAATCCTGAAATCCTCGAAACATCAAAATTCCCGAATTTTCAAAACTCCAAAATTTTCAAATCTTTAGAATATCAAAAACCTCAGATCTTCTAAACATCAAAGTTCTCAAATTCTCAACTCCTCAAAACACCAACATCTCTAAATATTCAAAACATCAAAATTTTCAAATCCTTGAAACACCAAATTCTTCAAAACGCAAAATCCTCAAATCTTCAAAACACCAAAATCTTCAAATTCTTAAAACATCAAATTCCTCAATTCCTCAAAACACCAAAATCTCCAGATCTTCAAAACATCAAAATCCTGAAATCCTCGAAACATCAAAATTCCCGAATTTTCAAAACTCCAAAATTTTCAAATCTTCAGAATATCAAAAACCTCAGATCTTCTAAACATCAAAGTTCTCAAATTCTCAACTCCTCAAAACACCAACATCTCTAAATATTCAAAACATCAAAATTTGCAAATCCTTGAAACACCAAATTCTTCAAAACGCAAAATTCTCAAATCTTCAAAACACCAAAATCTTCAAATTCTTAAAACATCAAATTCCTCAATTCCTCAAAACACCAAAATCTCCAGATCTTCAAAACATCAAAATCCTGAAATCCTCGAAACATCAAAATTCCCGAATTTTCAAAACTCCAAAATTTTCAAATCTTCAGAATATCAAAAACCTCAGATCTTCTAAACATCAAAGTTCTCAAATTCTCAACTCCTCAAAACACCAACATCTCTAAATATTCAAAACATCAAAATTTGCAAATCCTTGAAACACCAAATTCTTCAAAACGCAAAATTCTCAAATCTTCAAAACACCAAAATCTTTAAATTCTTAAAACATCAAATTCCTCAATTCCTCAAAACACCAAAATCTCCAGATCTTCAAAACATCAAAATCCTGAAATCCGCGAAACATTAAAATTCCCGAATTTTCAAAACTCCAAAATTTTCAAATCTTCAGAATATCAAAAACCTCAGATCTTCTAAACATCAAAGTTGTCAAATTCTTATCTCCTCGACACACCAACATCTTCAAATATTCAAACCATCAATAATCTAAAAATATTGTACCCCAATTTAATTCACTCTACTTGCATTGCCCACGGTTTAAACAGAGTGGCTGAAGGAATACGTTTGCAGTTTCCTACTGTTAATAAATTAGTGGCAAATGGTAAAAAGATTTTTGTTAAAGCCCGACTAAGAGTGCAACATTTTAAGGAAAAATTTCCAAACATACCATTGCCCCCAGAGCCGATTATAACGAGGTGGGGAACATTTTATTATGACAAATATATCAAAGAATTTGAGGAAGTAGTTACGGAGTTTAGCGAAGATTCTTCTCAATCGATTAAAGATTGCATAAATATTTTGGAAAACAAAGATTTGCGACAAGATCTAGCTTTTCTAAGAAGCAATTATCAATTCGTATGTGAGGTAATAGAAAAGTTAGAAAAACCCAACATGTTGCTGGTGGATGCCATAAACTTATTAGTGAAAGAATTTAAACAACAAGCAAACGCAGTAAGGGGTGATATTGGTACTAGAGTATCTCAAAAACTTGACGAAGTGTTAAATAAAAATGCAGGTTTCGGTGTTCTTTCCGACGTTGCTCGTGTTTTACAAGGCCAGAAGGTGGAAAATTTGGAGTTAGATTCAACATTAGTTGCAAAATTCAAATTTGCGCCAACGACGAGTGTGGATGTTGAACGCACATTCTCCAATTTTAAACACATTTTAAATGATCGGCGAAAAAAATTTACAGTGGACAACTTGGAACATATTACAATCATAAATTGTTTTAAAGAAAACTGAAATACGTGTGTAAAATATAAAGTCTAGAATTACTGTAATAATATTTTATCCAAAGTTCTAAGAAGTGTTCTTTGATTTGTAATATGATTATGTTTTTAATGCTTTTTTGTTTAAAATAAAACTTTTTTATTGAAAATGTTGTGCTTATTTAAGCGCTTATTCTTAATTTTTTTGTGCTTATAAATCCGCTCTCTAACAATAACCTTCAAACGTTTTCAAAAATTCAGAGCATTTGGTTTTGCAGTCAGATACATATGTGGAAAAGAACTAATGTGTAATAAATTATTAATATAAAGTGAATGAAAAAAAACATGAAAATTAAAAAAAACCGCATAAAAAACACAAACGTTATGTTAATTTTTATATCCAACTCATAATTTTCTATAAACAAATCAGGAAATTTTGATCGTTCACTTTATTCTATCTAAGTGTTTAGGGATTATGGAAACTTGTACTGAGGAGGCGAAGCTGCTTCATATCGACAATATTTTTTCGTGCGATAGTAAGTTTCGACAATTAATTCATAGATCTTTTTTAGCAAATCGTTTATTAGTGAATGTTCTAATAAGTTGGGCAGATACCAAGAAGAAAAATTAAAGAATGTTTGCCAGTAAAAAAAGTAAAAAAAAAACAAATAAATTGCAACTAGAAAGTATGGTAGATAGTAGATAACAATTTATGGCGAACTAACTACGTTGTAAAGGACACTTGCGAAGGACACAGTCTGGTATTAAAAAAATTTAAATTAGTGAGTCACTGTATGCATTTTGCTTTTTACTTAGCTAATTATACAAAGAGAAGTACAAAAAAGTTACAAAAAAATTAAAAATAAATGGAAATATTACTAATGAAAAACAAGAACTTCATACTGTTTGTAAGCAACTTCTTTACCATCATACGGTACATAAAGACATCCATGAGATGGGTGTACTTTTCCGACAACTGTAACGTTACGCAAAGACGTCCTTCCAATATAGAGAGTTTCACCATTGATTGTTCTTCCTGCAGGTATTGCTCCTTTCGGTACACCTCCATTGCTACTGGGCAACCAACGTAATGCCTTTTCGCACAAAATCTGCAACAAAATTCCAGTACAGAGAGTTTTGTTAAAAAAAAACTTTTTCAAATTATAAACGAGACCCTCATAACTTAAAAAAAAATGTATGTGTTATAATGTCCTGAGGTTAAATGATTAAAAACACAAAAATAGCTCCAGCGTTGCGACGTTTAAACACACACAAATTTTTAAATAGCAGCTATATTTACCTTAAATTCCGATACTGTTATCTCCTTTCCATTGTGTGATATATACGCTACCCTCCGTCTAGGTACAATTTTGCACGGAAGTTCATCGCCATTGTAGTGACTTAAGCCCACGTAAATTTCGCTTCCGTCCAGATCGGTGCCACATTTGACCGCATTATGCGGAATGTTGAAGTTATAGCAAGGAACCCAGTCGTAACCTATGAAAAATTGAAAAGAATTAATTGGTTTTCAAAAACTGTAAATACGAACCTGACATGTTTACAGTGTACAACAATGTGCGACTTTTTTAAAACTCGGTGGAAATTTATAGTAAGCATAGGTACTGATAATGATAATGGTACTGATATGCTACGTGCCTGCGAGGGCTTGTACTTCGAGTAAATACTTAAGTATTTGAGGAAAATAATCACTTCCAGTTACAAATGTTAGTAATTAGGAAGTCATCCTAGGATTGGCTAAGGTGTGACAAATGTGTTCTTATGTTTCACGTAAATTATAATGAAAACTTTGTTTGTGATGATGATAAATAAACGACATATGGTTTAGAGAAATGGATCGCAGGTACCTTTCTAACGTAGTACCTACTGGAAATTATATGACGCACAAATAATCGCGAGTTCCGTTGTGACAAATTTTATCAATAGTAAGATTCTAAGGACGCATAAAATATGCAATTGCGTACCTTAAAGGCGTAATTTAACACATTGCACATTTTATGTGTACATTTCAGTAATACTATGTTGGCTATGTTACCAAATTTGTCTACATACATAATTTCTAGTCATTAATTCCAAAAGAAAGAAGAAGAGGGACATACAAAAAGATTTTCCCTAGTAGAAATAAAAATGGATGAAGTAGATCTTAATTAGTCAGTATGGCAAAATTTAATAATGGTAAATAAATAAAAATAATAAATATAAATATCTCTAAAATGTGTTTTAAATTTTTGAAAGTTTGAGTGCAAAAATTATTCTTTTTATCTCAGTAGTGGCAAATATCATAGTTCTAACACTTTTATTAGATAGGTACTGGATAATAAAATTAATCGTTAAAATTTTTATTTTATGTTTTAAATATTGTATAAGAAATGCAATTTGAACTACTGTTTTTTTTAGTTGCAGATTAAATAATATGTTGTATTTGTATTTATAACACACAAATGTTGCTACATATTTTGTCTATCTCTATGTTCAATAAAAAAAATTGGTTGAAGTTTATTTCGACAGAACTTTCTTCGCTCCTGAAGTCCAACAAATCCCGTTTCTTTGAAAAATTATAAAATTACATTTTGCGATGTTTGCTTTGTGATAACCTCTACAAAATAAAAACCAGCGGCATAAATAACACCCTGCACAATAATAGGCTTTAGTTTCAAGTGTTTCTTTTTAGATCGGAAGAATGTCACGTAGAAATTTGTTTGATTTGAATGAGTTTGTCGCTTCAATACAGAGGACTAAAATTATTAACACAGAGTGAAACAGAATGTTCTGAATATTATTATTATTCAAGAAAATAGGGTGACTAGTTTTTAAGGTGACCAAAAAAAAAATAGTTAAAATGATGAACATAGGCAATACACAGCGTGAGAGAAAAATCGAATGAGCGGGTGGTAACATGTTTTTATATTGTGTTTATTTCTTTTGTGAACATTTGGCCGTTTAGGGAAAAAATTCAAAGCGGATGCGTAGACTACAAGTATAGAAGTTTATTATTGTATATATATAACAGTTAAATAATTTTAAAATAGAATTCTTTGAAATGATGGCATTAAGTTGTTGGTGGGGATAATTAACCAAATTTTGGTTAGCACTTAACTATTTACAAGATATTCCTAATATACACAAAATGTACAAAATTTAGCAAAAACTGCATCGGTCCAGTGTCCAGTAGTTTCGGAGATTACGTGTCTACTAAAATGTTACATCAATAATATATACTTGATTTTGTAAAACAAGAAATTCCAAACTCGTTGGAATATTTAATGACGTCGATTTCACACGAAATCACCGGAGCCCTGACTTCTATTCTAAGGTCTGCATTTTTCATGCAGATGGCGTCACCACCAGCTCGACTAGGAATCGCGCACTCCGCTTCCGCCACGTGATATCGTGTTATCTACCTCAATTCCATTTAAATGTTGTTCGCTTTCTATATCTCTGACATTAAACTACAACCGAACAAGTGTTAATGTTTCAAAAGACCAATGAACAACTTTTAAATTCGCCATACACTCCTGTGAAGTTTTAAACAGCAAATAATTCTTATCTGGGATTAAGATTGGACAGCAGACAATTTATATGATGAAATCAACAAAATATTTACGTGATCAAAAAAACTAGCAAAGATTTATAAAAACAAAAAAAGATCGATTTAAATTATACAGCAAAGAAAATTACTGACGCTAAAATTGCGAGATAGAGAAAAATTGCATGAGGTTAATATTTTATGTCCATTCGAGTTATTGGATAATTTTTAAAACTGAAGTTATTCAGCTGCATTATGGGCCATCGTTTTACATTCCCCAAAAAAAAAACGCAAAAAAAACATAGCAGGCTATCTGGATTATAAAAAATATGTCTCCCACAAATGTGATGAATTCTGTGGCGCTGTGCAAATAATGGTCTAAATCAAAGGAATAAAATGCACGTCCCACAATGTTGTTAATTTGTTCAACGAGATTTTACAGTTCAAACATGTGCTTAGTTTGAAAATACGCTTTCAACATGGCCGCTGCTAGAACAAAGGATTTACCTGTTGTTAAATTATGCCACACTTTATCATCGATTCAAACAAAGAATTTACATTATGTTAAATGATGCCTTGATCCAGTGACTGGTTGCTTAAAACTATTAGCTTTGAGAGTTTACATCGTGGGCTGTCCCCAGCTTATCTCAAACAAACACATGATAAATAAACACAAAATGTGTGTGGTGTAATTTAAAAAAAGGAACTAAACTTGAAGATGGTTGCCTATATTTAACGATTTTCTTGATTTGAATTTTTTGAATTCAAATTATTCAAATGCGATTTCGCGCTGCTGTTTTTTTTCAGCGCGAAATTTTAATTCATATGTGGTCACCACAATAAATTTCCAGTAACTTTTTATTTTTGAAGATAGATTCTTTGTTCTTGGTACAAATTTGTATCCTAATTCGTATGAGATGATCTGTCTGATGGTAAACACATTCTTTACTTGATATTTCATTATTTATTTATCAACTTTAGATCTCTAAATGGAATACCCAATATATTTTTTAATAAATGTGTCGTTAGCATTTTTTACCATAAAATTCAACTACCAATATCCTAAAATTTATATTAAATATCTTTAGGAAATCTATTAGCCTGAAAAATTAACCACCATGTTTTCATTCGCACAGTTTTACTAAATTTAAATAAAACAATTAATATTGTACAAATCTCTATGATGCGTCGTTGCAAGAGATCTTTGCCTCTCCATTTATCAAAGTGAACATTATCTTTTATGAAATTCCAAAAGAAATAATCACGGGGTTCAAATCAGGTGATCTTGGAGGCCATCTCATTGGGTCGCTATTCCGGTCTTGAAACATTTCTGTTAAAAAAATATCCACGTTTCTCACGTTGTGAGGTGACCCATCCTGCAGAAAATATAAGTTGTGGACATGATTCAAGGGTAAGTTATCTACATAATCTTCTTGATGTCAAAAAAGTATGGTCCAGTTATGGTATTATTTACATTAAATTTCAAAACTCTTTGGTTTGACTTTGGTTTGAGTAAATGCACGTTTTCAGTAGATCAATAGTGAGTATTGCATTTACTAAAAATGCTTTTATTGGTGAACGAAGCTTCGTCGCTTCAAATATTTTTTTTCAAAAAATAAATGTACTTTTTGGATTCTGATTAGTACTTTGCAAATTTCTATCATCTAGCAAAATCATCTGCTTCAAAATGTTGATGTTTTCCATATTTAAACGAACGCCGACCGTTTTTCTTCAAAATACGATTAATACTGCACCGGGAAATACAAAATTTTTATATAAAAACTGTTAATTTTCAACAACAGCTAACAAAACTGAACACTGTGTCATCATTTTCGGTGATATTTGCGAGTCTTCTATTTTCTATTTTAAACTGACCTCTATTTATTTTTTAATTATCAATAATTTGTTTCAAATATCTCGGGCATAATTTGTGAACCTTTGGCAAGTGTGGTTCAAGCTTTCGTTGCAACACGATCATACGAAAGCAGTCTTCGTTATTGAACTTTTACAAAACTTCTACAGTATTATTGTTTTGAGCGACTACAACAAATGATAAAGCTCCAAAAATACGAACAACCTTTCGAATTATTGATTTTAGAATATTTTCTTGTCGCATACTTACACATTTTTTCTACGAAAAAATCAAAATAGTATTTCATATGCTCGTTAAAAATTTACGCATTGTATCGTATCGAGAACTATGCCATTTTCAATTAAATATATAATTTTTTAACAGCCTCTTAAACGTCAAATTATTTTCTACATATTGTAAAATTTCAAAATAATTTTTTTCCTAGAGTAACTCACATAATTTTTTGAACCAAAGTAAACTTTCAATTGTTCAGCAGGTGAACTTTTCTATAATATCCGGAATTTTATTTAAATAAAAATCTAGAGACAAATAAAAATACTGATTTTAAAAAAATTATACAATAAGTCTGATACTGGAGGGGTAATTTACATCGTATACCATCATGGTTTTGGTATCTGTTGTAACGTAGTATGTTCATAGTTCACGGCTATGTAACTGCATAACAGCGAGTGGCCAGCCAGCCAAACAACCTAGACTGGGTCAAACATACCTGAAAGATTCATATATGCACAAGAATTAGTGTGAACACAACCAGAACATCAACTGTTCGATAACCATTCCTGCGACGGTACCATCAGCAGTGTTGAAAATTTCCAGTAAACCGATACGGTACTTTTGTCCTAGAAAAGGTATGTATTCAAATTTGGCTCATTATAATTGCTCGTATACAATACATTGTAGAGGTGCTTATTTTACTAATACTTTGGATGAACACAAAACTTTAATTTTATAAATCTAGTCATAAGTCGATAATTTATTTGATGCTCTCCAGAAATTAATGAAATTAATATAACAATTACTTTTTCTGTTTTTTCTTACTTTTAGAATAAATCTCAATGAGTAGTGTGTATAAAAGTATCTGACTTGATTCTTGTTTTTTTCGTTTTTTACACGTAAAAGTTGACCTCCAAGACTCCTATTATGCGAAGCCTAGAAAAAATTGTTATGTAATAAGGTGACGTAAACTTGATTAACAACGGCTACATTTTGTTTTTAATTTCTCAAAACAACGAAAAAGAAGATGCAGTTGTAAACTGCATAAACAGCAAGTCAATGAAATAATAATTGCAATAATAATACTAATTTTAATTTAATGAATTCAGGTTTTTTTACTCGTATTCCGTGTTACAACGTGTTATAATGACGGAAATTTACAAGTTATTGGAAATATTTCTTGATAGTTTTCATAGAACCTATGTCTGGGCCTACTTTTTAAGTCTCCATTGTAAACTTGGAAAGTATTACAGTTGTTTCACCGCTTTTATCTGTCTGTCGTCTGCCTGTGATCTGCTGATAGTTTTATAGCGGATAATCTTCGAAATTGCTGGACTGATTATTGTAAAATTTTAGACACCACCACGAAAAATTTTATGACGTCATTTTGTTACGTAAATCCTGATGAATTATGCAAAATTCTGTATTTGTGGTGATTTATTAACCTATCTTACTTTTAAATTTCTATGTGTAAATAATTTCTGTGCATAAAGTACTTAGACTGTGAATAATGTATATCAAAAACAACGTATCAATAATTTAGAAATACATTATAATTTGTTTCCGGAAATCGTGATAGCGATTTACAAAAACATTTTTGATGTTATTATGGAAACTTGTCAAACGAAAGTTGATAAGTCATTATCTGCTACCATGTATAAGGAATTCACGTTCGGTAGATGTAACTAGATTTGGTAACTTTTTTTTTTAAGCTGTGTAACTGCGGACATAATTGTTCTAGTGTATAATGTATCAGAAAGTAGGTATCAAAAATGTGACATGTAACCCGTAGTAAATGTCAAACATCGAAAATGTGATGGTTTTGTGGTAATCTGCTGAATCTATTTTTCAATCAAGGAGAAAATCACATCCCTCTAAAAGCCCAAAGAGGAACCCGCATGTAAAATTGTGAATCTTTTCCCTTCACTAGTTTTTTTAGGAGGACAAGATTTGATGTCATCATCATGAATCCACAATTTTACCATAGATCCGTTTTGATATATCCATGTCTCATCCAAGGAAATGAAAAGTAAATCTTCATCACTATCACGCAATTGGAGATACCGCCTTAGAAATTTGATTCTGGGAGCGTGGTAGCTATAACGTGTTTAAAATGTGAAAAACTTTGCCTTCGGAAGCCTAAATTTATACGTGTATTACGTACAATTATTCTCAAAGCCGAATGTTTTCCCTCTTACAAAACAATAACGATTATATAAAACTTAAAAACCAATTGTAGAGTGGAACCAACAAAGCATGTAGGTATATAAATCTGCGCAGTCGTCTTTCTGATTCTGATTATAATATTAACGGCACCGGCGCCATTGTATCGGTATTATTTTAAAATTCGAAAATCACTCGTCAACATCAGCGAACTTTACGGAAAATATTTCTGCCACCAGTTTAACTGTTTCCGTTTTACTCAAGCGTTGTCCATTTTTCTCTGTAATTTTTTGATAACCACGAAATATTTCTTGTCTCTTTTCCTTTAAAATGGGCTTTCTTGTGACTACTTTTGTGGAAATTGTTTCCACGCTGTATTTAAGGATTTTCTTGAAACGAAGCGTGTTGAAACTAGAAAAACTGTGTTTTTTCCACACAAGTCAGATTTGACATTTGAATTAGAAAATTAGACAGTTGATGCCAATCTTTAGTTTATAGTGATCTTAAGATTGCAACTTAACCACAGAAAAGTTTCTGTTAGCTACTTCTACCGAACGTGAATGCTTATTAAGTGTAAGTTTTACTGTGAACATGAAGTCATTAAAACGTCACTTATATGACATTTGAATCGTGCACGCTATTTTTTTAATGGTATGTACACGCAGGGCTATGAAAGTCTCAGCTGATTCCATAAGAAATACATGGGGAGCTTACGGAACGACATAAAGAGGTCACTAGCGTCACTAAAGGTGCTCCGACCTTGAAGAACATAGTTTCTTTTTCATTTTCAGGTTTTCGGTGAACGTTTTGTTTGGTTTTGTCAACAAGAAATGTCATATTAATTACGGAATCATAGGGGATGTTGGGTTATGGGATTAAAAACAAACGTAAAATTTATGTTAACAAAGTAATAGATACTTACGATACATGTAAAAAATACTAGAAAATTCCAGGCTAAAGAGGTCAACAAACTGCAGGTTAAACGAAATAGTTTAATTTTCGATATGTGCGTGTTTGAGCGGTCCAAGATTTATTTTTAAATTTTAGTGTGTAAAAAATTCTAACTAATAAAAACTGAAACGAGGTAGTCAAGAGGAAAGTCTTTGCAGGGGTGGTGGAATGGTATTTTTGTGTGGTTCGTGTTTTAGCCGCAAACCAGTTAACGACTACGGTGCATAAATTGGGAAAAACTCACAAAATGTATTACCCATTACCGGAGTATAAACTGCAAAATGTTTAGGTGGCATCATTAAATCGCCAAAAATCACATCTTCATTGAAGACTTTAAAATGTCACACAATTAAAACAGGATGTACCACTTCGTAAGAATGTGCAAAGTTCACAACAAACTTCGCAGAAGTGGTGGTGTAAGAATTTTCGTATTAATGAGTATTCACAGACATACCATAAACAGTTGTGTTCTTTCAAGGTGAGTTTCCGGTAACTCACATCACTTAATGATTGTTGAAGAGGCTGGAATACAGGGGAGATGTGTTGTGGAAGTTTGTTTAAAAGGACACCTTAGCAAATTTTTCATTTCAAATAAAATAGTGTTTCACAGTTGGTTCTTGCACTCGTATCGAAATAATCTGTAGTAAATAGTTTCCGAAACACACTTTGGAATTGTATTGGTGTGGGATTTATACAATTCCAAATTGACGTCTCACAGAGCCAAACAAATATGTCAAACAATACTGATTTAGTTGCAGCAACCTTTTAGTGAAAATTGTAAACAAACTGTATTCTGTGAAAACTATTAAAAATAATAAGCAAAATGTTTATGTTCCTGAAGTTGTTTTTTATTTTTTTGTGAGTGATTTAAAAATATTAAGAGTGAAATAAAAATTTTGCAATTCACTTGTGGATAACAACTTATTTGTCAGACTTGTTAAGGATTTAATAAACGCAGTTTAAAACGTCAAAATTGAATAAAAATGTTTTGCTTGAATATATTAATAATTTATAAGAAAGAAAAAAATGGCCAATGTCACTAGTACATGCCATCCATTTTTATTTTTGTGTACAATTATTAGTATTATATGAATCACATACGAATGCTACGAAATATTTGAATCTTCGTGTTTCCCGGGAACGGGCTCCCAAGGTCACACCCGTTCCGCAAATATTGCTGAAGTTTCGTTACTGATCTACTGTGGTACACGTGTATGTACGTTTTAAAAGCTTTCTTATGTTAAGGTTATTATTATTATGACGCATTAAAAGTCAGCTGATTATTAATAAAATGTTTAGAATTTTGTACATTAAGAGAAAGCGAATTTTAAATCCACGTATTTTATTTAGTTAATTGTAGCTTCTTTTGCTATATTCATTGAAACTGATTTTGTTGATTTGAAAAATTCGGTCTTTAAATTTTGGAAACAAACCGTAGCTGAATTTATAAAAACAAATATTATTACGAAAGAAACCCATACGCCTCCCGGTACGACGCCTATGGGTCTTCTAGTATGTATGTGTTTATTCTGATATGTACGCAAAGTCATTTAATAGATAAGGTTGCCACATTGGGATGCCATATTGATACGTCACAAGGGGCTCTCAAATGGCGCGAAAATCGCCCGTTTTAAATACTCGAGTAACGCACTAAAAACGGAAACTTTTAATCAAGTGACCGCTTCTACTTCGCAAATTTCAATCCTGTGTAAAGAACAATTTAATAAACCTCAAGAACAATGTTTTGCTGCCAGTAGAACTTGAAAATAACAAATGCGACACTATTAACAGATTTTTTTTTATGCAAAAAAATCTGAAAATCTGCATTTACTGGTTTACTTTTTCCTTTCTAGTAATAATCAAAACATTTCATTTTAGCTTAAACACAAATAAATTTAATTTAAGGCAAAATAGGGTTACACGAGTCGCAGTACTAACACCAAACGTCAGAATTAGCGGTACAGATCGTACAGATTAAAGGCATCAGCTGATCGGTCACACCAACTCAAAATTACAAGTTACTAAAAATTCCCAAGTAATACCAACCTCATTTTGACGTCACATGGGGCTGACACCTCTCCTCCCCCGTAAGCGATTTTGCCCACATACTCGTTTATGTGGTAACCTGTTCTCTATTAACTAACCTTGATATGTACGCTGACGAAAAGCTTGGAAGCGGAAGTCGCGATGGGGAACCTAGAAAACCCTCGAAGCGGCGTTTTCGAACCATCCAGATGAATGTATAAGTTTAAGTAGAGGCCACCGTCGGGAACAAGGATTATTCAGCGAATTTCTGATTAGAACCGATCACGCAGCCCTCACATGGTTGCTTCAGATGAAGAATCCCTAGGGACAAGTGCTAGATGGCTCGAACGACTCCAACAGTATCAGTTCAAAATTCGACACAGGGCTGAAAAGCTCGACAATAATGCAGACTCTTTGTCGAGAAGACCGTGTAAACACTGCGACAAGATCGGCCAGCGTGAAACGTCGTTCGACTGTGAAAGGACAGAAGTTTGGTCGGAAATATCAGGCCAGTCACCCTCTTTCAAGGCATTATGGGCTCAGTGGCACTCCCTGCGTGTCGAGAATGGATGGCTTAAGCGAGCTTGGGAAAGTCCGGATGGAAAACATACCACCATGCAGTTGGTAGTTCCGACCATTAGAACCAAGGAAGTACTTCGAGAGATGCATAACGGTGGTTCTGGTGCTCATTTCGGAATCAACAAGACGCTTTCTAGAGTCAGGGAGAGATTTTACTGGGTCTGTTGTCGAGAAGATGTCCAGAACTGGTGCAAGAAATGCCTGTTGACTTGCGGAGCGGTTAAGGGACCGAGGACTACAGCGAGAGGGCCGATGCAACAATATAACGTCGGTTCGCCTTTCGAAATAATTGCAGTGGACATAGCAGGACCTTTTCCGGTGACCGAGAACGGCAATAAGTACGTAATGGTCGTCAGCGATTACTTCAGCAAGTGGCCCGAAGTCTATGCCATACGGAACCAAGAAGCGACGACCGTTGCAACAACGCTGATTGATAATAATTGGAGCAGCAGGTTTGGGTTTCCAGTGGAACTCCATTCGGACCAAGGCAGAAACTTCGAGTCAAACCTATTTCAAAGAGAAGAGAAATTCGTCTGCCTTGTGACATTTTGTTCGACTCTCCGAGTGAAGAACCAAAGGAGGTCATAGATTACGTCGATGACTTGAAGGAGAAGCTGCTGCGCCACAAGATCTGGTTTGCGAGTGACAGAATGAAGACAGGCTACGACCTTAAGGGTAACTCAGTAGGATTCCAGGCAGGGCTTTATAATCGCCGGAGAAGGAAAGGTCGTTGCCCGAAATTATCACCAGACTGGGAAGGTCCATATACTGTAGTGACGAGAATCAACGATGTCGTTTTCAGATTTCGACGAGGGTCGAAACGAAAATGAAGATCGTCCATTTAGACCGTCTCATGGAGTACAACAGAGACACCGTCGACATTTCTGATCGGGACTATCAGAGCTAAGGAGGGGGCAATGTTACGAAATAAATCCATTTGCCGTCCCGGTGCGACACCTATGGCCGTGGAGACCTTTCTGGTCTATACGTCGAACATCATGACTCATCGTCATTCCAGAGAAGTCGAGAGGAGGTGACGTAGGGCTTTGAAAAGGACCGCGAGCTGTTTAAATAGAGTCCATCTTTGGGGAACGGATTATTCAGCCAATTGAGAGTCCGGTCAGCAAGTCGAGTGAACGAATACATTCTGTATATAATCGCTGTAATAGTCCGTATGTAATTCGAGTTATTAAGGAATAAATTGTTGAGTTTAATCCACGCCAATTTCAATCACCCGCCAAACTTAACTATCTTCTACCAACAACTTTGTTTGAATCTTAAGCAGCACCTTCTTGTGGAGAATTGCCACACTACGTACCAAAGCGTCGGATATTTTCTGGACTTTTACAGGCAATTGTGAAGTCCAAGAATAAATTTCAAAAATTTTATTAAACTCGGGTAAACTGATTATAATACTATTTATACTTTATAATAATCCTGGCTCCTTCTTGATAGTGATACATTTCCTGTTTCGAACTTTTTATGAAATTATATTACATTTTTTTTTTAATAGGAGACCAAAATTTCTTACTTTGTTTATGGAGAAAAAATGTTAATTTTAATGTACTTTAACAATCTGCATAGATGCTTATCTTAACTTTAGGAGTTAACATAAAAAACCTTAGACTAACTTTTAGCTTTAACTACAGCGGTCAAAATAAAGTAGGACACCTCGTGAAATGATTTTTTCAAAAAATTTAGTTGTGTAAACTGGACTCACTTGAACTATTCAATGAAAATGACATTTAAACGTGAATACAAATTGAAAGTTACACTAGGGAAAGAAAAGTGTCCAACTTTAATTTGGTCGCCACTTTATATACATATATATTTAATATTAGGTTATTGTAAAAATAATATGCACGTAATAAGTTGCCTTGTACTTTAAACTGGACTATGTATTACAATACACAATAATTTGTATACTTACTTAAAAATAATAGGTTTCAATTAAACAGAATTACCCAGACTAGTTTCAAAGTGACACAAGCTTTTCATTTTTGCTTCAGAATTCACGACTTCGTTCATTCGTCTGTAATTTTTCAGCATATCTACATCCCTGCAATGGAATTGCTGTCGATTTCTTCTAACGAAAGGGCAGAAATTTTAAAACATTACGATGTTTCCGAAGCACAGGTAACAGAAGACGTAGAAATAATCAAATCTTGGAAGCAAAAACAACCACATCTACCGGAGAACATATCAGGTATGACAATAAAATAATGTCTTGTTGAAAGCAAAAATGTATACATTTTCAGATGGCTTCATTGCGAGAATGTTACTGAGAAATAAATTTAGAGTCGAGCGTACGAAAGAAAAACTAGAGAATTACTTTACACTTCGAAACTACCACCATGATCTTGTTCGGGATTTTGAAAACATTGTCCCGTCGAAGCACTTCATGTAAAAATCAAATAAGTAAACACATAACGGCTGTTAATAGTCTGCTTTTAGCACGCACCTGCCAATGCCAAAACTGACACCAAACTACGAACGTGTTATTATAATGAAGTTAATTAACACAGACACTGATGTTTATGACATAATGGAACTTGTAAAGTTGGATTTGGCTGTGACAGAAATACTACTGCAGTATGATGATAGTATCGGGGTTCGGTATGTGTTCGATTTTGAAGGATTTACGTTGAAACATCTGACTAAATGGAATCCAGTTATAATACTTAAAAATGTAACACTCATTGAAGTAAGTGTTTTGATTTTTCACTATTCTCGAACTTACATTTGTAATGCAAATTCTAGAAGGCATATTCTTGTCGTGTAATGAGTGTTCACTGTATCAATTTCCCTGAATTCGCTAGCAAGATCCAAGGAATATTTAAAATTGTATTGAGACCGAAGATTTATGATAAGGTAAAACGAAACTTGAATGATTTCTTTCAGAAACGGAAACTACAGTTTTGACATTCATAATTGTTATTGTTATTTACTTTTTGTAATAAGTAATACAAAAAGAAATAAACAGAATTAATCCCTCTACAGTAGCACAGAAACGCTTACTTCCATACGTTAGTTGTAGCACACGTGATATTAAAGGAGGAGTTCCACAAGGCCCAATTTTAGATCCTCTCTTGCTTTTGTGTTTATATCCGATGTTCAGTTTGTGCCTCTAAGCACTTTACTTTGCATTTGCATATTTAACTTTTCAACTCCGAGATACAACAGCTCAGTTTAAGACTAATTAAGACTCGGCAGAAATTTTCAATTGGACTTGATGCAATTGTGTTTATTTATGTTTTTTTTAAATTAAGTTTAATTAAGTTTTAATCAATCTAATTTCAGTCATCTTTTTCTTATTTAACACTATATTTTTGCTTAATAATGTCTTGGAATACTTAAATGCATGTAATTCTACATAAAAAAAAAATAATCCGGTCAGATAGTTTAAGTGGTCAAGGTCATAATATCAAATTAATGTTCGTCGAATTTAAATAATATGAGAGTATATTATTGGATTATTATTTTTTTATTCGTATAAGTACTGTATTTTTTAATGTATTTTATAAACGGTTTTTTATTATAGTTGAAAATTGACAGCGACCTAGAGTCTCTCTATCAGGTGATACCGAAAGAATGTTTACCTTCCGAATATGGTGGTTCTTGTAGCAGCATCCAGAGTTTGTTGAGTGGGTAGAAATATTTAATAAAAGTGAATAACTCGCTCAAAATCTTTTTCTTTCAGAAAAATGGGATGAAGTTTTGCAAACCCACCATAATTTTTTTTTAGAAAATTACAAAAACGTTTCCTTGGAGCATTTACGACCAGCTGATTTTAACAAAAGTGATGCATTTGGACCTGACGGTACTTTCAAAAAGTTAGGCATCGACTAATAGAATAATAGATGGCATATGATAACATAAATTATATACCTACATGTTTAATATGTTGTCATAATTGCTGTTTTACTAGTACAATAATAGCACCATTATTTTTTCTTTGTTTTAGTAAAATTACAAAATTAAAATTTGTTGACCTTGTAGGCAATAAAATGTTAACTAAAGTGTGTCTAGCTTGTCTCCTCCAAAAATTGATGACATCATCTGAAAGTGTTAGATAGGTTTACGTTAAATGTGAACCTTTGTGATTTAACAAATTATCGATTTTATTAATGCTGAGTATACGACTTATCTTAAAAAATGGTTTCAATAATTAAATTTTGACTGATTATGGTGAAATTTTGACGTCATATGCGATAAGTACAGGTTTTAAGAAAATAATTTTATGGAAGTGACAGAAAACTATCAAGTGTCTCCTTACGAAAATTTATTTTCTTTCAGTTTTTGAAGTGGTTCGTACAATCGGCCTAAAAAACTAGACTCAACTATACGAATGTTGACCATTTCGGCTTCAAAACAATAATTGTAGAAATTTTCAAAACTAACTACAATAACAAAAAGTAGCCAATAGTGGTATAGAATACTAAGTAAAATTTCCAGATTAACTGAGGTATTTACTTTATTTTTAATTATTATAAGTAAATATTATTTCTTAAATTATGTAAGAGTTGTTGATACCCTGTTTATTCTAGCTAATTATCGACGTCTGCCATGAAAAGATAATAAAATGTTGCATCGGAATGTAGTAAACAACAAAACACTTGTGAATTTTCCTCGTTTGTTTTTATCTTTGAATAACAACAAGAGCAATAATAATATTAATAACGATACACCTTAATTTTTAAAAACAGTGCTGTAAGTTTTTCTATTCTATTTAATTTCTAGTGTGCAAAAATGGAAAAAATAACAGAAATAAAGAAACTAAATTTAACCTACAAATAAATAAAAATGGTTGGGACAACTTCCCTTGCCTCTAAAGTACAGTCGAATAAATATACCTTCGCAAAATAAAAAAAAAAGATATTTGTTTTTTAATCAACTTGTTTGTATAAACAATTAAAATAAATTGGTGGAAAGTTTTGGGTCAACATTATTTTGTCGCCCGAGAACTTGTTTGATCTACAAACCAGAGCGCGCTCAGGCCAGTGTCGACTCTAACCGTTCAGGAGCGATTTGGTTGGTTTGGACTATAATTCCTGCGGGAAATAAGTAGTTGTTTGGTCGGATTTTATAACGAATAAGTGAACATTTTTGGTCCATATTTATGTTTTATTTACAAATATAGTAACACAGGTCACACGTTTCACTCGATTTTGACATGCAACTATTTTTTTGTTTAATTAATAGCTAATTCTTTAATTGTGTTTTATACTAGCAAAACGTCTTAAATTAACAATATGAAAATTTTTATGTTTTGGAAACATAGTACTCCGTTTTGTATCAATTTTTAAACGTTTTTAGTGACAACGTCTGTGATTATTTTCGATACATTGTATGATACTGAGACTGAGAAAAAGTTTAAAAATTAAAATAATCTAAAATTTGAACAATCTGAAATTTAAAAAATCGAAAAATAGAAAAATGGAAATATGGAAGAACTAAAAATCGAAACATCAAAAAATCAAGTGAAGTGAAAAATTTAAAAGTCTAAAATGTAAAAACCGGAAAACGAAAAATCGAGAAATCAAAACTCCTAAATTTAAAAAATCAGATAATTGAAAAACATCAAAAAACTGGAAAATCTAAAATCTGAAAATCCGGAAAGCAAAAAATCGAAAAACCGAGAAATCGAAAACTCATGAAGTCGAAAAATTGAAAAACCGAAAATCGAAGAAACGAAAAGTTAAAGTTGAAAAATTGGAAAATCTAAAAGCGGAAAAATAAAAAAACGGAAAAATGGAAAAACTGAGAAACCGAAATAGGCCGAAATAATAAATCTAAAAGTTATATATATATAAACTGAAAAACTCAAATCGAGAAACTGAACATCCAAATCTCGATAAATCGAGATATCAAAACATTGAAAAATCGAAAATTTGAAAAAGTGAAAAATTGAAAAACAGAAAATCTAAAACCGGCAAGTCAAAAATCGAAATATTAAGAATTCGAAACGTTTGAAATATTCGAAAACTTGAAAAATTGGAATGTCTGAACTGAAATGAAAAATCAAAAATTTAGAATTTTAAAAATTGAAAAATTAAAATATCAAAAAATTGAAAAATCTAAAATAAAAAAATCGAAAAATTGAAAAATCGAAAAAGTAAAAAAATCGACACATCGAAAAATCCAGAAGTCAAAATTCGAAAAGTCGAAGAATTGAAATATTGAATAATCTCAAAACTGAAAAGTGAAAGAAAAATTGAAAAATTCCAAAGCTGAAATGTCCAAAGACTCAGATTCTAAAAAATTGAAAAATTGAGAAATCGAAAAATTCAAAAAGTGAAGTCGACACCCTAAAAAAAATCGAAAAATTGAAAAATCAAAAACCTGAAAAATTGAAGAATTGAAGAATTGGAAAATCGAAACAGGTGAAAGTCAAGAAACAGGAAAATCAAAACATCGATTAATTAAAAAATCGAAAAATGGAGAATTTAGAAAAGTCAAAAATTGAAAAATCGAAATCTTTAAAATCGTAAAATTGAAGAGAAAAATTGAAAAATGTATAACTGAAACATAGGATTGAGAAATCGAAACATTGAAAATCGAGAAAATTGTACAATCGAAAAATTGAAACATTAAAGAAAAACTGAAGAATGGAAAAATTGAGAAATCAAAAAGTCAAAAAAGTGATGAATTGAAGAAACGAAAAATCGAAAAACTGAGAGCTTATAAAAGTCAAATTTGAAAAATTGCATATTTAAAAATCGTAAAATTGAAGAAGAGAAAATTTGAGAATTTAGAAAAGTCAGGAATTAAAAATTGAAAAATCTAAATATTTAAAAATCGTAAAATTGAAGAGAACAATTTAAAAAACGTAAAACTGAAACATCGGAAAATTGACAAATCGAAAAATTGAAAATTGAGAAATTGTAATATCGAAAAATTGAATAATGAAAAACTGAAAAATCCCAAAACTTAAATTTCGAAAAATTGAAAAATGGAAGAAAAACTGAAGAATGGAAAAACTGGAAAATCTCAAAACTGAAATATCCAAAAACTGAGAAATTAAAAAAACTGAAATTTGAGAAATTGAAAAATTGAGAAATTGTAGAATCGAAAAATTGAATAATAAATAAACTGAAAAATCCCAAAACTGAAATTTCGAAAAATTGAAGAATGAAAGAAAAACTGAAGAATGGAAAAACTGGAAAATTTCAAAACTGAAATATCCCAAAACTGAGAAATTAAAAAAATTGAAAAATTAAGAAATCAAATATCGCTAAATTGAAGAATTGAAGAACTGGAAAACCGAAACAGGTGAAAGTCAAGAAATAGGAAAATCAAAACATCGATTAATTGAAAAATCGAAAAATCGAGAATTTAGAAAAGTCAAAAATTAAAAAATCGAAATATTTAAAATCGTAAAATTGAAGAGAAAAATTGAAAAACATATAACTGAAAAATTAAAAATGGAGAAAATTGTAAAATCGAAAAACTGAATAATAAATAATCTGAAAAATCCAAAACTAAATTTTCGAAAAACTGAAAAATTAAAGAAAAACTAAAGAATGGAAAAATTGAAAAATTGGAAAGTTGGGAAATCAAAAAGTCAAAAAAGTGAAGTCGAAAAATAAAAAGTTGAAAAATTTAAGAATTGAAGAAATGAAATATCGGAAAACTGAGAGTTTATAAAAGTCAAATTTGAAAAATTGCATATTTAAAAATCGTAAAATTGAAGAGCAGAAAAATTGGAAGATAAAAGTGAAACATCGGAACATTGAGAAATCGAAAAATTGAAAATCGTGAAATTGAAAAATTGAGGAAATGTAAAATCGAAAAATTGAAAAAGAAATAAACTGAAAAATCCCAAAACTGAAATTTAGAAAAATTGACAAGTGAAAGAAAAACTTAAAACATTTCAAAAATTTTGAGGTGTCTTGAGATTGCTAGGGAGATTGGGCAAATTTTGGTTAGTGTTTTACCATCTACACGATATTTCTAACATACATATAAAATTAGGCAACAATCAGTCCGGTAGTTTTGGGATTCTCTCCCTAATAAAAATGTGGACAGACGGCAGACAGACTGAACCAGGAGACCTAATTTTTCATACTCTATGGGCCATGAAATGTTGAGAAAACATAAAAGTAGCCAATCGCGCGCTGATAGACTGGATTACAATACTTTTTTTCTTACGCTCAGAACGTGCAAAATTAATATTTTTAATTTTTAGAACATTGCATTGATTGATGCGTACGCTCGGGGAGTAAAAATATTGTTACGTTTTGCGTGTGTTAAAATCGGCATGGATAAAACTCAACAGTTTATTTCTCAGTAATACAAATTTAACAATTAATTCTCTCCCTGACTCACTGCCCGTTTCCGACGATGGTCTTTATTTAAACCGCGATATTTTCTTCTAGAGATTTCGCGAACTCCGCTTTCGAGGTTGTTCTGGAGTTCGCCATCCAGACTTCCGGCCCCACATCCAGGCTTTTCACTATTCGGACGCCGCCGTCACAGATGATGAGTCACCGCCGCTTCTCACCCTACATACTAGAAAACCCATAGGTGTTGTACCGGCGCTGCGTAACAATATGAAAACATTCATAACAAAAAAAAATAAAAGGAATTTTTGTTGATAATATAATTATGGGCGACATAATATGAAAAATTATAGGATGTAAAACTTTGATAGAGTCTTCTCAAATGAATTTTTTCCAGGCGAAATCAATGTGACGATGTGTAAGTGTGTAAAACGCTACGACTGAAGCTACAAAAACTTTTCATCCTTTAGTTTTTTATATTTTTTGTTCGTAACCTTTTCAATAATAACAATAACACAGAGTAACTTAACTAGCTCCAGCAATTCTGGGGTACCAATAAGACTTTCTGTTGAATCACTTGCTCTAACTTTCTTCAGTGCTCTATCTTAGATAACGATATTCCTTAGTCCAGAGATAAATCGAGAGGAGCCTGATTTTAGTGATTACTGTTTATGGCTTTTTGTTGCTAGGGTTTAATAAATAAATAAATTATCCCTATTTATCCTCCAGTAGTGTCTAAAAAGGTTGGATAAGGGTTCATTTTTGCCTTTATAATTTTGTTAAAAAAATAGGTTTGTCATGCTTGTTAAACTTCGCGTACATACGTTTCCAACACGCTGTATACAATTCTTGGCCATTATGACGCAAGTAACAGCGAATCCAGCACGGGGTCAAACGTAAGTCTGGAAGATTCGTACCAGGGTAATTCGAAGAACAACACTGCCTGAAGAACTTGAACTTGAACAACAGACAAATGTGACTGCATTCGTGAACTCGAATAACCTAAACTTTCGGCTTAGAAATGGTCACGGTTTTTTTTTTTCTGAGTAATGGTAATGTTGGGAATCAACGGGATATTGTAAGCTATGATGATGGCGAACCCGAAGAAGACGAAGACGAGCGTAATCCACCAACGAGAATAGCAACATTGACAATTTTTCAATCAGCACAATCTTTAACTTTAGAGTTCGCTGATGTGCCCCAAAAACGCCTATTTATTAGGGTTCTAGAGCGATTTTTAAATTTAAGGTGAGAAAATGCATAATAGGTTTATTCATTGTGTTCTATTCTTTTTGTAGCCGAGCCAGTTCCACTTCCCCCGACTCTGGAAGATTATCGATGATGAATAATGAATGATATTCAAAAGTGTTTCTTTCAATAAATAAAAACATTTAGTAAGTAAAATCAGTTGTTGATCGTTCTTTTTTCTAACTGTCTCTATTCTATTGTCTCTAATTGAAGCATAAATGTTCAAAATTAAAGCGTATTCATATAATAATAATAATAATAATAAACTTCTTTATTTCAGATATATATACAGTACCTCTCGGAGGCGAAGTTTAGCTTATAGCTATTCTTACACACAGAAATTCTAGAAATGAGATAATTATAAGAGAAAAGAAAAATGATGAGATAAAAAAACAATTATAAATTTACAGAAGCTTATATGAAAAACAACCACATGATTCATTAATACGTGTATAAGATAATCTAATACGTAACCTAATAGTTTAAGAATTTTTTTTTTTAATAAGATTTGAATAAGTGATTTCTTAAATCGGACAGTGCGAAGATTCTTAATGTTACAGTCTACAGCATTACATATCATTATATAACAGCATTGTAACTAAAACAGCGTTTAAATTTTTTGACAAATCGTCGTGTTCTCTGATATTCGATATAAAGCCATAAATTTTTGATCTTTTCCGGTCTACTTTTATGTATGGGATACAAACAAAGGTAATAAACAGTAATGATGTAAAATAAAACCGAGAGAATTAATGATTCCGTTATTTTTTTTTTTCTAATTTTGAAGTTTAGGAGAAACCTGGAAGCACATAATATTTTAACCTTAAGTAGACCGATTTAAGTAAGTAAGCAACATGTGATATAAAATGTAAATCATAATCAAAGTGAAATGCCTAATATTCGAGCAGAATCAGTCCAATTTAAGACATTACCAATAAGTTTGACTGTTATTACATTTTTGATCCTTTATTTGAATTACTACGTAGTATCTTTTTTTGAATTTGTTTTGAATCTGTCTTAATTAGGCTTGTGGGAACTGTAACTATATTAGGTGAAAAGTTAGTGACATTGTTTTCAATATTTAACTTGTTTTTGGTCGGAAATACTTCATCAATATTTACCGTTCTATCTGGTGTCATTGTTGGCGGAGTACTTTTTGACTTTAAAAAAATCTCCGGTTGTTCAGTTTCTTCTAAATCATTTGCAGTGTATACATCATCATTAACATATAACTTATTTCCTTTAATATAAGCTTTCAGTTTCTTTTGTTTAGCCAAACTAAGATGAGTTCTTAAAATTTTGTTTTCCTTAATTTCATCCGTGGTTAAATCGTTATTTATATAAATCCTCGAGCCTTTCAAATTTATGCGAGCTTGGAGTACTTCATATTTTTTAATACGTGAGATAAATTCAATAATTACCGGTCTTTTGGTTTGGTTTTTTCGTATTAAGTAGACATTATTTACGTCAGAAATGCCAATTTGAATGTGTAGAAACTCCTTTAATTTCTCACATACAAAGGATGCTAGTTCCGGTGAGGGTAAACGTTCATTTGTCACTTCCAATCCAAAGATGATGATGATATTGTTTTTTTTGTTTGCTTTTTCTAGATACTTAATTTTTATTTTAAGTACTCGTTTTCTCTTAATAACTGGCGACTTACGTTGGACAATATACTAGATTCAGCCTGATCAATTTTGTGATTTAGATCCTCACGTAATTTACGAATTTCGTTGAAAAGGTCTGCATTTGAAATACTCATTTCGAGGTTTTATCAGTTACTGACAAAAGAAACCGATTTATAAAAATGTATTCAGGTTTTTCACATATGTAGATGGGCAGATGCTATCAGCTACATCTGTCCCCTGATAGGGATTCTCTTGTGAAATTGTTTTTTTTTTATTTATATATTTTGTTTATATATTTTGTCGCAGTAATGTGTATAATTAGTAATTACTATATTAGTAGGAGTACTCACACAATACACCTGCACACCGCACACTTCTTTGTATCGCACACACAAAAACGAAGCCAGCACCAGGAAAAAAACGCCGAATAAATTATTTCGTTCAATTACTCGAAAATAACTGAATTGTTGAAAGAGTCACTTATACCACTGCAATGACTGGCCAAAAACACACAAAATGGCACTAAATTCAAAAATATACGCCAAGAACAACCCGACCAAACTTAGTAAAAACGAAGACCACTGTCACAGCGACTTATCTACTCTTATCTTTTCTTTTTAAGACATATGTGCTGAAATGGCCCAACAGAAAAAAACAGGATAAAAAAACGAATTTTAAGTGTTTTTAAATGGTAACTTTTCTTGGCCGAAACCGTATTCACGTTTGATAAAACAGGATATATTTCTTAAAATTTTGACTTTTTTAAAACGGGTGACTTCAAAAAATCGAGCAAATTCTTTAAATTTTTTAACTTTTTTTAAAAGTTATCTTGAAAACCAGGCTGAAATCATTAAAAATGTGTTGTGTTCTGACGGGACAACAAAGTATTTCGAAAAACCGGGCAATTTCTTTAAAAAATTCAACTTTTTAAAAGTTACTTCGAAAACCAGGCCAAAACCGTATTAATTTTTGTTCTGAAGTAGCCCAACAGAAAAACAGGGTTAAAAGACGAATTTTAAGTGTTTTTAAATGGTAACTTTTCTTGGCCGAAACCATATTCACGTTTGATAAAGCAGGATATATTTCTTAAAATTTTGACTTTTTTAAAAAAGGGTGACTTCGAAAACTCGGGCAAATTCTTTAAAAATTTTAACTTTTCAAAAGTTACTTTGAAAACCAGGCTGAAATCATTAAAAATGTGTGGTGTTCTGACGGGGCCTGTATAGTAGTGTGTTATTATAATGAAGTTAATTAACACAGACACTGATGTTTATGACATAATGGAACTTGCAGTATGATGACAGTATCGGGGTTCGGTATGTGTTCGATTTTGAAGGATTTACGTTGAAACATCTGACTAAATGGAATCCAATTTTATTACTCAAAACTGTTACACTCATTGAAGTAAGTGTTTTGATTTTCCACTAATCTGGAACTTACATAGTAATGCAAACTCTAGAAGGCATATTCCTGTCGTATAATGAGTGTTCACTGTATCAATTTCCCTGAATTCGTTAGTAGGATCCAAGGAATATTTAAAATGGTGTTGAGACCGAAGATTTATGATAAGGTAACTTGAATGATTTTTTTTCAGTAACGAAAACTACAGTTTTGACATCCATAATTGTTATTGCTATTAATCCCTCTGCAGTAGCACAGAAACGCTTACTTCCATACGTTAGTTTTAACACACGTGATATTAAAGAGGAGTTCCACAAGGTCCAATTTTAGATCCTCTCTTGCTGTTGCGATAACTCGAAGGACCAATTGTAATAAATACAATAAAAATACGGTGGCGCTTGAATATGTATATTTGTACGATGTTAACAGTCTCAAGTCCAAATTCTTACTCTTCTATTTTTACAAACTATACCTAATTATAAAGACTTGGCCCCACAAAAGGGTGCCGCACCCTCACATTGGGTGATTAAGAAATTCGCTGCAGTCGGGTGAGAGAGCCGCCGTGCAGGTGGCTCGAACATACTCCCCCCGTTGAAGTATTCAAAAGTTATAAATCATATTAAAATGTGCCCTTAAATTAGAAATTCACATAGTTAAAACAAATAACACTAAATTATAAGGACATAATTAAAAACAGCATAAATGACAAAAGGTACAAAACACAATTTTTACAAACACACAATGAAGACATCACCAATATGACCAAAGAGCATAAAATACAACTCCAAACATTATATTAATGAAAGATAAGATATATACAGTATACAGCGAGAATAACGCAATGACAATTGTTTGGTAATGAAACATAATGTAATTTTTATAGAATTTTTTGATGCGAACATTAAACACAATTTTTTATTTTCACTATTTGTTTGAATTCACGGTATTTTACGTTTCACTGTCTTTTTATTTTAATCAACAACTTCGTCCACTGGGAGCACACAAATCCGATTAACCGCACGTTTCACTACACCGCTGCTCGTCTTCAGCGACACTACTCTCACTACGTTGTCTTTTCCTGGGTGCAGCTCTACGACACGGCCTAGTCTCCACATCAGCGGCGGGGTGTTCTCGTCACGTAAAACCACCATGGATCCTTTGCTTATGGAATTCGCGTTTCGTTGACTCCAACGGTTCCGTGGCTGTAGTTGGGTCAGATATTCTGCAGTCCACCTTCTCCAGAACGTTTGACGCAGCTGCTCGACTCGCTGCCATCTCGTCAATCGGTTTTCTTTTATCGCAAGTAGGCATGGTTCAGGTAGATCGGTTAATGCAGATCCGATGAGGAAGTGACCCGGCGTTAGTGGTTCCAAGTCATTGGGGTCATTGCTCAAAGGTGTTAAGGGGCGAGAATTCAGAATTGATTCAATTTGGGTAAGAAGTGTATACATCTCTTCTGCCGTAAGCAAAGAGGTTCCCGCTATTCGTTTGTAATGGTGCTTAAAAGATTTGACCCCTGCTTCCCAAATACCACCCATATGTGGCGAATTTGGTGGAATAAATTGCCATTTAATTCCCTGCTCTGTGATATTATCAATGACTGATCTTTGAAATTCGTCACTATCGAACAATTTCTTTAAATCTTTTAGTTCTCGATTCGCGCCTACAAAATTAGTCCCGTTATCCGAGTACATATGTAAAATCTTACCGCGTCTGGATATCATACGTTTCAGACAATTAAGAAAAGATTGTGACGTATAATCGAGTACTAAATCTAAATGAATAGCTTTTGTGACGAGGCAAACAAAAACTACGACATAACACTTGATGCTTCTTTTTCCGCGACCACGTCCATCTTTTATCATGATAGGACCCGCGTAATCTACGCCACAATTTGAAAATGGTCTAGATGGATTGACTCGATCAAAAGGTAAATTACCCATCAATTGTTCATAGGTAATGGGTTTCACTCGACGACATTTTACGCAATTGTGTATTATCTTTTTGATAGTTGTTTTTCCACATACGGGCCAAAATTGCCTTCTTACTGCCGCCAGAGTTGCCTGGGTTCCTGCGTGTAGTGTGTCCGTGTGCGCGTCACGTATGATAATTTTTGTCACATAATGATTTTTTGGAAGGAGGATTTGATGTTTCATATCGTAATTTATTTTTGCGTTTTGCAAGCGCCCTCCCACTCTCAAAATGCCGTTGTCATCCATAAATATATTTAGCGATTTCAAATGGCTATTGTTGTTTATGAACCCGTTGCTTTGCAGCTCTTTTATTTCGGATGAAAATTGATCTTTTTGAACTAACTTTATGGTATTAATATGCGCTGCGTCTAATTCTTCCACCGATAATTCATCTGAATAATTACACTGTTTTTTCTGCAATTTATTAATAAATCTGTAACAGTATGCTACAATGCGTTTTAGTTTTTTATATGTACTAACTCTCGTAAACAATGAAGAAAGCGAAGATTCGTCTGAAGTGCAATGTGAAACTAGTGAAATTTTGCGCTCTTCAGGTAAATTCTTATTTAAAACGCTTTTTGGTACTGGCCATTCGTTTAAATCTTTAGTTAAAAAAGACGGACCGTGCCACCATAAGTCACATGATTTTAGCTCACTTGGGTCCATTCCTCTTGAAATTATATCTGCGGGATTTTCGTTGCTGATTACATGACGCCATTTACAATTATTAGTAAGAGTTTGAATTTCTGACACACGGTTAGCAACAAATGTTTGCCAACGATTTGGTGATGCCGCTATCCAAGATAATGCAATTGTTGAATCGCTCCATAAGTAACAGTCGTCAAAATTAATTTTCATCGCATTTTTGACTTTAGACATTAATTTGGCAAGTAAAGTAGCGGCGCATAATTCTAACCTAGGTAGGGTAATTTGTTTAATTGGAGCAACTCGTGTCTTCGAACAAAGAAGTTTCACAGTATGCGAATTTGATATATCAGTCGTTCTTATATAAACTGCCGCCCCGTAGGCCTTTGTACTCGCGTCGCTAAATCCGTGAATTTGTATTTTTTGATACGGATAATCTGCAACTACCTTCCGAGGAATTTGAATTTCATTTACATGCTGTAGTTCAGCGAGAAAGTGCTCAAATTGTTTATTTAGTTCAGGTGGCAATTCGTCATCCCAGTCGGATTGTAATTGACATAATTTTTGTAATATTAATTTTGCTGACACTAGGACAGGACCTAAGATGCCTATGGGGTCATACACCGTGGCTATTGTGCTTAGAACGGATCGTTTAGTAATTTTAATTGGATGTTGTAGTTTGAAGTCATATTTTAAATTATCATTCGCACAATCCCAACTTAGGCCTAACGTTTTTGTTTGCATATTTTCATCTAAACGCACGAGTGCAGTGTTGTCACTGTGACACTGTGGCAGAACAGCGTCATTATTAGAAGCCCACTTTGTGATTTCGAAACCGCCACTACCTAAAATATTTATTAAATTATCGCGAAGTGTGATTGCTTCGCTTTCGTCATTTGTACCCGTTAGAAGATCATCCATGTAAAAGTCTTCCAAAATGATCCTGCTAGCGTGTGGATAAGAGTCCGCGGTTTTTACTGCTAATTGTCGCAAACATCGCATGGCTAAATAAGGCGCACAAGCCATGCCATATGACACTGTTTTCAAGCAATATATCCGTATGGGTTCGTCTAGATTTGAACGCCATAAAACTTTTTGATATTTCCAGTCGTCTGGTGCCACCCAAATTTGCCGAAACATTTTTACAATATCAGCAGATAGCACAAACTGGTATTGTCTGGACCTCACCAATAATGAAAATATATCGGTTTGAAGATTTTGTCCCGGTAGTAGATAATCATTGAGACTAAATCCGGATGACGACTTTGTGCTGGCATCAAAAACGGCTCGTACTTTTGTCGTTGGGCTCGAATCCTTAATCACACCGTGATGCGGCAGGAAACAACCTTCGTGAATATTTTGATCTGTTGCCAGTTGCATATGATTAAGTGCAATGTAATCGGCCATGAAAGTGCAATATTGATTCCTAAATTCATAATTGTTTTCAAATTTCTTTTCGAGAGACCTAAATCGCTTGTACGCTATTTCCTTTGTAGAACCTAAATTGGGAGGATTTGCCTTAAATGGTAAGCGCACAATAAATTTCCCATTGCGATCTCTGCTGTGTTGTTTTACGAATAAATTTTCGCACAACTGATCCTCAGAACTTAAGTTTTCGATGGGGTTGTCATAATTTTCGACCTCCCAAAATTTTGTTACTTGTTTGTCTAAATGTTCTAATGCACAGGTGTTTAAATTACCGCAAAATATACTATTAATCTGGATTGCTGCCGCTGTAAATGGTCCACCCAATATCCACCCCAAACATGTGTTATGAAGAAAAGTCTGTTCGTTCGACAATTTCATGCGTCCGTCTCGAAGTAGTTCCCAAAACAAAGCCGCGCCAATTAAAATGTCTATAGGACTTGAAATGTTGTAATTAGGATCTGCTAAATTTAAATTTTGGGGAACCGGAATCTCGGATTTCTCGAACGTATCTATGGGATAATTTCGATTTATATTGGGGACTACCAAACATGCAATTTTTTCGGTATAATTATCGTGCAATGATTTAAAGTGAAGCGTAGTAGAATGTTTAATTTCATTGTAACTACCACAGACCGAACTTATGCCTGCATGCACAGATTTTGTAGTTAAGTTTAATCTTTTACACATTTCTTCCGTAATTAAATGTTGTTGCGATCCTTGATCAAGCAAAGCTCTACAGGTGTAAACCTTTCCATTTGAATCTGAACACTGAACCAATGCTGTTGACAAAATTACTTGAACATTAGAATTTAATTGATAATTGTTTATGCTAAGGTTTGCAGTCTGACTCTGATTATTATAATTTGGACCTCTTGATTGATGCAGTAACGAATTGTGTCGGTTTGAACATATCTTGCACGTCATAGAACGGCAAGTTCTTGAATCATGACCACCTTTTAAACAATTGAAGCATATTTTCCATCTTTTAACGTGCTCAATGCGCTCGTTTATGCTGAGTTCGAGGAATTTGGGACAGTGAAATAAATTGTGATGGCCTTTACACATAACGCACGCGATTGTATTTTGATTATTAACAAATTGATAGTTTTTCCTTACAGGAAGTTCTGTATTCTGTGTTTTCTTTAAAGGTGCAGAGTTCACGCTATGGTTACTTAAATTGAATTCCATTGATTCTAGTGTTAAACATCGTTGTTTTAAAAATTCGACCATTTGTTTCCACGTGGGTAATTCGTTGGCCTTTAAACGTGACTCCCATTCGCGTTTAGTTAAAAAATCAAATTTTGTTGTTGTTAGATATATTAATAAGGCATCCCATGACGTTACGTCCACATTTTGTGTTGTTAAAGCCGCTAAGTGCGTACTTATACCGTCTAATAATTCCCTTAAGGAACTGGGTGACTTGTTCATTGGTTGTAGATTAAAAATCGCGTGAATATGGTTTTGTACAATAAGTCTTTTATTTTTGTAACGGTCAGTTAAAAGGTTCCATGCGGATTGGTAACTTTCGGCCGAAATTGGTAATAAATCTATGGTACGTTTTGCATCTCCTAACAGGCAACCCTTTAGGTAATGAAATTTTTGAATATTAGAAAGACTACTATTTTCGTGAATAAGAGAAATGAAACTGTCGTAAAATGTCGTCCACTCTGTATATTCGCCGCTGAATTTAGGTAGATTAATTATCGGTAACTGTACGGCGATATTACTAGAATTTTGCGTTTGATTAGGAGCTTCGGTCTCCGGAGTTTGTGCACCGGGTTTTGTTTTTAGTTCAATAATTTTTCGTGCTCTAACTAATAATTCATAATACCTATCTTCAAATGCTTCACGAACATCTGCTTCTTCGTCAGATTGACGTAAAATTTCAACTTTTGATTGTACTTCCTCAAACTGTTTTAATAATGGCTTATAATTTATTAATCGTTCTTCCAACAGTAGATAATTGATGTTATTTGCCTCAAATTTGTCTAGAAATGATTCAAAACGCGTTACTGCCGATTTCGTTTGTTTACGAGTTTCCTTTAATTCTTCTACTGTTGGCATTTTGATATAAAAATTCGATCTGAGCAACGGAATGAACTGCAAGTCTGCTGAACTGAAATGTGCGATTTCTAAATCGTTTAAGCACCACAAAACGAATTAAGTACGTATAAAATTTGAATTACTGATGTATAAACTATCGCACGAAGAAATGTATACGGTAAAAATTGGAGTAGGACTTGAGGGAAGCAATGACCACTAACCTGATGTGCTGCTGTTATCCACGATTTTTCTCGTGATTTTTCCACCTGTTTCGATGTGGAAATCCTGCTGTTGATTCTGAATTCGCCACTAACACTGTTATTCTTGCTGCGGGTTTGTTTCGCCCCAAAACGCAATTGCAAATACGGGATTGTTTCACCCAAAACACAAAATTGTTGAAGTACGGGATTGTTTCACCCAAGACACAAAATTGTTGAAGTACGGGATTGTTTCACCCAAAACACAATCGCTGATTCACTATCCGACTCGATCGGACCAAAAATATGTTGCGATAACTCGAAGGACCAATTGTAATAAATACAATAAAAATACGGTGGCGCTTGAATATGTATATTTGTACGATGTTAACAGTCTCAAGTCCAAATTCTTACTCTTCTATTTTTACAAACTATACCTAATTATAAAGACTTGGCCCCACAAAAGGGTGCCGCACCCTCACATTGGGTGATTAAGAAATTCGCTGCAGTCGGGTGAGAGAGCCGCCGTGCAGGTGGCTCGAACACTTGCTTTTAGTGTTTATATCGGATGTTCAGTTTGTGCCTAAACACTTTACTTTCCATTTGCATATTTAACTTTTCAACTCCGAGATACAACAGCTCAGTTTAAAACTAATCAAGAGTCGGTAGAAATTTTCAATTGGACTGCATGCAATTGTGTTTATTTATGTTTTTTTTTAATGATTTAATTTATTGTACTCAAGTCCATGGTCCGTAAATTTACTTTGGTTTAATTAAGTTTTAATTAATCTAATTTCAGTTATCTTTTTTTTATTTAGCACCATATTTTTGTTTAATAATGTCCTGGAAAACTTAATTGCATGCAATTCTACATAAAAAAATAACCCGTCTGATAGTTTAAGTGGTCATAATATTAAATTAATGTTCGTCGAATTAAAATAATATGACAGTATATTACTGGATTATTTTATTTTATAAACAACGGTTTTTTATTATAGTTGAAAATTGACAGCGACCTGGAGTCTCTCTATCAGGTGATACCGAAAGAATGTTTACCTTCCGAATATGGTGGTTCTTGTAGCAGCATCCAGAGTTTGTTGAGTGGGTAGAAATATTTAATAAAAGTGGTTAACTAACTCAAAATCTTTTTCTTTTAGAAAAATGGGATGAAGTTTTGCAAACCCACCGTGATTTTTTTTTAGAAAATTACAAAAACGTTTCGTTGGAGCATTTATGACCAGCTGATTTTAACAAAAGTGATGCATTTGGACCTGAAGGTACTTTCAAAAAGTTAAGCATTGACTAATAGAATAATACAGGGCATATGATAACATTAATTATATACCTACATGTTTAATATGTTGTCATAATTTCTGTTTTACTAGTATAATAATAGCACCATTATTTTGTCTTTGATTTAGTAAAATTACAAAATTAAAATTTGTTGAACTTGTAGGTAATAAAATGTTAACTAAAGTGTGTCTAGTTTGTCTCCTCCAAAAATTGATGACGTCATCTGAAAGTGTTAGGTAGGTTTACGTTAAATGTGAACCTTTGTGATTTAACAAATTATCGTTTTTATTAATGCTGAGTATACGACTTATCTTAAAAAATGGTTTCAATAATCAAATTTTGACTGATTATGGTGAAATTTTGACGTCATATGCGATAAGTACAGGTTTTAAGAAAAGAATTTTACGGAAGTGACAGAAAACTATCAAGTGTCTCGTACGAAAATTTATTTTCTTTCAGTTTTTGTGGTTCGTACAATCGGCCTAAAAAGCCAGACTCAACTAAGTATATACGAATATTGACCACTTCGGCTTTAAAACAATAATTCTAGAAATTTTCAAAATCTGGAACTAACAATAACAAAAAGTAGCCAATAGTGGTATAGAATACTAAGTAAAATTTCCAGATTAATTGAGGTATTTACTTTATTTTTAATTATTATAAGTAAATATTAGGTATTTCTTAAATTATGCAAGAGTTGTTGATACCCTATTTATTCTAGCTAATTATCGACGTCTGCCATAAAAAGATAATAAAATGTTGCATCGGAATGTAGTAAACAACAAAAGACTTGTAAATGTTCCTCGTTTGTTTTCATCTTTGAATAACAACAAAAGCAATAATAATATTAATAACGATACACCGTAATTTTTAAAAACAGTGCTGTAAGTTTTGCTATTCTATTTAATTTCTAGTGTGCAAAAATGGGAAAAATAACAGAAATAAAGAAACGAAATTTAACCTACAAATAAATAAAAACGGTTGGCAGAACTTCCCTTGCCTCTAAGGTGCAGTCGAACAAATATACCTTCGAAAAATAAAAAAAATGATATATTTTTAATCACCTTGTTTGTACAAACAATTAAAATAAATTGGTGGAAAGTTTTGAGTCAACATTATTTTGTCGCTTGAGAATCTACAAACCAGAGCGCGCTCAGGCCAGTGTTGATTCTAAGCGTTCAGGAGCGATTTGGTTGGTTTGGACTATAATTCCTGCGGGAAATAAGTAGTTGTTTGGTCGGATTTTATAACGAATAAGCGAACACTTTTGGCCCATATTTATGTTTTATTTACAAATATAGTAACACGGGTCACACGTTTCACTCGATTTTGACATGCAACTATTTTTTTGTTTAATTAATAACTAATTCTTTAATTGTGTTTTATACTAGCAAAACGTCTTAAATTAACAATATGAAAATTTTTATGTTTTGGAAACATTGTGCTCCGTTTTGTATCAATTTTTAAACGTTTTTAGTGACAATGTTTGTGATTATTTTCGATACATTGTATGATACTGAGACTGAGAAAAAATTAAAAAATTAAAATAATCGAAAATTTGAAAAACCTAAAATTTAAAAAATCGAAAATTAGAAAAATAGAAATCTGGAAGAAAAATCGAAACATCAAAAAATCAAAAAAGCGAAAAATTTAAAAATCTAAAGTGTAAAAACCGGAAAACGAAAAATCGAGAAATCAAAACTCCTAAATTTAAAAAATCAGATAATTGAAAAAACATCAAAAAACTGGAAAATCTAAAATCTGAAAATCCGGAAAGCAAAAAATCGAAAAACCGAGAAATCGAAAACTCATGAAGTCGACAAATTGAAAAACCGAAAATCGAAGAAACGAAAAGTTAAAGTTGAAAAATTGGAAAATCTAAAAGCGGAAAAATAAAAAAACGGAAAAATGGAAAAACTGAGAAACCGAAATAGGCCGAAATAATAAATCTAAAAGTTATATATATAAATTGAAAAACTCAAATCGAGAAACTGAACATCAAAATCTCGATAAATCGACAAATCAAAACATTGAAAAATTGAAAATTTGAAAAATGAAAAATTGAAAAACAGAAAATCTAAAACCACCAAGTCAAAAAATATTAAGAATTCGAAACGTTTGAAATATTCGAAAACTTGAAAAATTGGAATATCTAAGAACTGAAATGAAAAATCAAAAATTTAGAATTTTAAAAATTGAAAAATTAGAATATCAAAAAATTGAAAAATCTAAAATAAAAAAATCGAAAAATTGAAAAATCGAAAAAGTAAAAAAATCGACACATCGAAAAATCCAGAAGTCAAAATTCGAAAAGTCGAAGAATTGAAATATTGAATAATCTCAAAACTGAAAAGTGAAAGAAAAACTGAAGAAAGGACGAACTGAAAAATTCCAAAGCTGAAATGTCCAAAAACTCAGATTCTAAAAAACTGAAAAATTAAGAAATCGAAAAATTCAAAAAGTGAAGTCGACACCCTAAAAAATCGAAAAATTGAAAAATCAAAAACCTGAAAAATTGAAGAATTGAAGAATTGGAAAATCGAAACAGGTGAAAGTCAAGAAATAGAAAAATCAAAACATCGATTAATTGAAAAATCGAAAAATCGAGAATTCAGAAAAGTCAAAAATTGAAAAATCGAAATATTTAAAATCGTAAAATTGAAGAGAAAAATTGAAAAACGTATAACTGAAACATAGGATTGAGAAATCGAAAAATTGAAAATCGAGAAAATTGTACAATCGAAAAATTGAATAATAAATAAACTGAAAAATCCAAAACTAAAATTTCGAAAAATTGAAAAATGAAAGAAAAACTGAAGAATGGAAAAACAGGAAAATCTCAAAATTAAAAAATCGAGAAATTGTAAAATCGAAAAATTGAATTTTAAATAAACTGAAAAATCCCAAAACTAAAATTTCGAAAAATTGAAAAATAAAAGAAAATCTGAAGAATGGAAAAACTGGAAAATCTCAAAACTGAAATATCCAAAAACTAAGAAATTAATAAAATTCAAAATTGATTAAAAATTGAGAAATTGTAATATCGAAAAATTGAATAATAAATAAACTGAAAAACCCAACACTGAAATTTCGAAAAATTGAAAAATGAAAGAAAAACTAAAGAATGGAAAAACTGGAAAATCTCAAAACTAAAATATCCAAAAACTGAGAAATTAAAAAAATTGAAAATGGAAAAATTGAAAAATTGAGAAATTGTAAAATCGAAAAATTGAATAATAAATAATCTGAAAAATCCCAAAACTGAAATTTCGAAAAATGAAAGAAAAACTGAAGAATGGAAAAACTAAAATCTCAAAACTGAAATATCCAAAAACTTAGAAATGAAAAAAATTTAAAAATTTAGAAATCGAAAAATCGCAAAATTGAAGAACTGGAAAATCAAAACATCGATTAATTGAAAAATCGAAAAATTGAGATTTTAGAAAAGTCAAAAATTGGAAAATCGAAATATTTAAAACTGTATAACTGAAATATAGGATTGAGAAATCGAAAAATTTAAAATCGAGAAAATTGTAAAATCGAAAAAGTGAATTATAAATAATTTGAAAAATCCAAAACTAAAATTTCGAAAAATTGAAAAATTAAAGAAAAACTGGAGAATGGAAAAATGAAAAATTGAGAAATCAAAAAATCCAAAAAGGTGAAGTCGAAAAATCAAAACTTTAAAAAATTGAAAAATCAAAAACTTAAAAAATTGCACATTTAAAAATCGTCAAATTGAAGAGGAGAAAAATTGGAAGAATGTAAAATTGAAACATCGGAATTGAGGACAATTTCTCAATTTCACGATTTCTCAATGTTCCGATGTTTCAATTTTAATTTTTTACATTCTTCCAATTTTTCTCCTCTTGAATTTTACGATTGAATAATAAATAAACTAGAAAAATCCCAAAACTGAAACGTCCAAAACTGAGAAATTAAAAAATTGAAAAACTGAGAAATCGAAAAATGAAAAAAGTGAAGTCTAAAAATCGAAAACTAAAAACGAACGAAAAAAAAAGAGAAATTTAAAAATCAAAAATCTGAAAAATCGAAACAGTCGAATGTCAAGAAATGGGAAAATCAAAACATCGATTATTTGAAAAATCTAAAAATTGAGAATTTGTAAAGTTAAAAATTGAAAAATCTAATTATTTAAAAATCGTATAATTGAAGAGGCGGAAAACTGCCAAACATTTGAATTAAAAAATAAATAAAATATATGCAAAGTAGATCCTAACGTTTCCAGAAGATAAAATAACTACACTTTTCTGAAAAAAGCTATTGCCTGATGAAAAAAAAAAAAAACTACAGGGAATTTTTGTAGACAATATAATTATTTATATGTTTTATTTGTAACTTTTTGGTGCAACATTAACAGTAAAAAAGTTCTGGGAGGCAAAATATGAAAAATTAGGGGCTGATAGTCTTCTTATCAAATGTGACGATGTGTAAGTGTGTAAAACGCTACGACTGAAGCTACAAAAACTTTTCATGCTTTAGTTTTTTATATTTTTTGTTCGTAACTTTTTCAATAATAACGCAGAGTAACTTAACTAGCTCCAGCAATTCTGGGGTACCAATAAGACTTTCTGTTGAATCACTTGCCCTAACTTTCTTCAGTGCTCTATCTTAGATAACGACATTCCTCAGTCCAGAGATAAATCGAGAGGAGCGTGATTTTTGTGATTACTGTTTATGGCTTTTTGTTGCTAGGATTTAATAAATAAATAAATTATCCCTATTTATCCTCCAGTAGCGTCTAAGAATGTTGGACAAGGGTTCATTTTTGCCCTTATAATTTTGTTAAAAAAAATAGGTTTGTCATGCTTGTTAAACTTTGCATACATACGTTTCCAACACGCTGTATTCTTGGCCATTATGACGCAAGTAACAGCGAATCCAGCACGGGGTCAAACGTAAGTCTGGAAGATTCGTACCAGTACAACATTTGAGCGAACACACTCAAAACACCAATCAGACCTGCGACCGGTACCACTCGGCAGTGCTCCACATTTACAACCACCTGGTGTGATTGATACTTTTGTTTCTAGAAAGGGTATGTACTCAAATTTAGCTCATCATCGATAGTATTGTAGAATAAAATTTATTGTAAAGCGATACCTATTCATTTATAATACGTTAGATAAAAATATAACTTCAGCAAAAACGTACAAACACCAAGTTCGAACTAGCTACTATGATGTTTTGTTATGCATATTTTGTAAAAAGTCGTAAATTGATATTGTCAAACATAGCGAAACTTGTTGAGTCGGCGTTTGATAAAATGTTACAAACGTATAACCTTTTGAACAGATACTAATTAATAATATTAAAAACATTGCGAGCAAAATTAATGAGAACGCATTATTGGAACCACATTAAACAATTCAACTGTTTTTTCGAGAGTAAACATTATCCACGAAATAAAATAAAATAAAATAAAAATTATAATAAATACTACACGACCAAACATGTTTTTAGTATGTGCCTACATAACATTTTGCCTTGAAAACTCTGCATATAGTTATGTGGAGTAATGCACTTGTTGTATGGCAAAATATTTATAAATTTGATAAAGTAGTGATTATACAAAAACTTTGATGGCTCACTGATGAAGAACAATTTTAGCAAATGTTTATAATTTAATGAAAATAAAAGATAATACTGTTTTACCTTCTACCTCTTCATTCGGGATATGTAAGATGAAAAATAATACTAATTCAGTAGAATTACTCAAACTATTTTTAAAATAACTTTTCATTTTTTGTAGAGCACAAAGCAATGGACTTGCTGTCAATTTCTTCCAACGAAAAGGCCGAAATTTTGGAACATTACAATGTTTCCGAAGCACAAATAAAGGCAGACGTTGAACTAATTAAATCTTGGAAGCAAAAACAGCCACATCTACCGGAGAACATATCAGGTGACAATAAAATGTCTTCTTGAAAACAAAAATGCATTTATTTTCAGATGACTTTATTGCGAAAATGCTATTAAGAAATAAATTTAGAATTGAACGTACGAAGGAAAAACTAGACAACTACTTTACCCTTCGAGGTTATCACGATGATCTTGTTCGGGATTTTGAAAACGTTGTTCCTTCGAAGCATTTCGTGTAAAAATCAAACACGTAAACATTTTCTGAACACTTTTAACAGTCTGTTTTTAGCACGTATCTGCCAATGCCAAAATTAACTCCAAATTATGAACGTGTTTTTATTATGAAGCTAATTAACACAGACATCGAAGCTTATGACATAATAGAAATTACAAAGTTAGAATTGGCTGTAACAGAAGTAACAATGCAGTATGATGACAGCATAGGAGTTCGATATGTTATCGATTTTGCAGGATTTACATTAAAACATCTGGCTAAGTGGAATCCAGTTGTAATACACAAACTTGTAACACTCATTGAAGTAAGCGTTTTCATCCTTTATTTTTGTTGTAGCTGTTAAATTGTGTTATATTTTCCAGAAAGCATATTCTTGTCGTATAATGGGCGGTCACTTTATCAATTGTCCTGAATTCGCTAGCAAGATCCTAGGAATATTTAAGATTGTATTGAGATCGAAGATTTATGATAAGGTAAAATGAAACTTCGTACTTTCTAGGTTATATTTGTGCTACCAGAAACAATGATAGAAAAATGTAAAATAAAAGTTTTTGTCTATAATTAAATTAATTTTGCATCAGTTTTAGCACACGTGACCTAAATAACAGTTTTTTATTCTAGTTGAAAATTCACAGTAGCCTGGAGTCTCTCTATGAGGTGATACCGAAAGAATGTTTACCTTCTGAATGTGGTGGCTCTTGTAGTAACATCCCAAGTTTGTTGAGTAGGTTTCAGTCTGTTATCAATGTAACAAACTCACTCAAAATCTCTTTTTTACAGAAAAATGGGATGAAGTTTTTCAAAATCACCGAAATTTTTTTGTGGAAAATTACAAAAACGTTTCCATGGAGCATTTACGAATCGCAGATTTGAACGGAAGTGATTCATTCGGACCTGACGGTACTTTCAAAAGATTAACCCTTGATTAAATCATGGTTCATTTTTGATTTAGGAAAATTACGAAATGAGAATTTTCACGTTTTTGTCTGTGTCTCTGCTTTCGAAAAATTGAATAAGTTTGGTTAAATAGATATTATTAGTAACCAATAGTTCTAACCTTGTAACTAATAAAACTTTAAAACTTTTATGTCTGTTTATTTCCTTCCAAAAATGGATAAGCTTCAAATGATACGTTTACGTCAAATGTACCTCATCACCTGTGATTTAACAAATTATTTTTAATATTAAGGCTTTAATTTCTATAATGTATTTCAGAGATAATGTAAATGACTATTTTGAAATTTAACACCATATTAACCCAGATTTGTTCTAAAAATTCTATGCTGTTCGCAACACAAAGAACAAAACTGTTAAAATTATGGATGGAGAAAAGCGTGATTTCAGCGGTTTATTGCAACAGCTTCCTGTTAACGCCATCAATTTGAACTAAAAACCTTGATAAGTTTTCTTTCTTGTTGCTGTTTTTACTTTGGCGCTATCGCTCGTATTCGATCGGTGACGATTAGCGACATGACAAACTCTTGCATTGAATGTTCCAAAAAAATCAATCCATATAATATTTCCGTTCCAATTCCACTTCGACTTAGTGATAGATAAACTGAATGATATAACTAGCTCACAGCGTTCTCTGTCAGGGGATATTATTTCCTTTCGTGATTCCATTCGAAGTTGTTGATCGATCTGGATGTGAAATTTAAGGAACTTCGATCTGATATAAGCAACTGTATTGAAGCTGTTGATCTACAACAGTGATTTTCAATCTGTGGGTCGCGACCCCCAGGGGGGTCGCGAAGCCTTACATGAGGGGTCGCGGACCGAAAGGGAGATAAAGGTACAGAACAACGTTTGTAGGTTTTCCACTCACCACTGCAATAAAATGACAATCAAAATCAGTGAGAAGGCTGTGCCTGTTTATTTTTCAATATTTTTTCAAAACGTGGTTCTACGTTTGCAACGCAAACTATCAAATCGTTATCTAATTGTAGTCTATTTCTTTTCTTATTTTTAATGTTTACCATTGTAAAGAATGTTAGCTACGATGTGGCAAATGGTACTAACAATTTCAACGCTTCATTTTGTAGCTCTGGATATTCCTCTTTCTCTTAATCCAGAAGACGTCAATTGTTTCTAAATGGAATTCCCTCTGCAGCATTTCGTTAGCAACCAAGTGAATAAGATTAGCTTTTATATTTGTTGTCAGATCAGCCAATTCCACTAACATATCCAAAAAAGGATTTATTATTAATCTTTGCCCATTCAGAGGCCTCTTCTGGAAAGTAACTTAATAGTTTCTCTTCCAGATTATGCAATAATAATGATAATAAAAGATATGGGGAGGGGGGGGGGTCGCCACAATTGTTTTTAATCGTTAGGGGGTCGGGTGTTCAAAAAGTTTGAAAAACACTGATCTACAACAAAAAGTGATTGATGAGCATTCCCAGACTGTTAAGACAATGGAATAAAAAATTTTCCAAATTAGCGACCAAAGACAAAATTTCGGTTTAAATTTAGAGAATTCTAAGACAACCGTTGACAATCTTTCGACTAAAATTAACAATGTGATAGTGGAAACGAAGTAATAGCCAACGGTCCCCGGCCAGTTTTGGATCTTGCAGAGTTAAAAGATTGAGTGCCTCGTATGAATAATGTAATTATACTTATGTGGGATTCAGGAAAATGATGATGTTAGCGATGAAGGTTTGTCTACGAAAATTATCGATGCCATTACGTCCAAACTAGCTGGTTGCCCATTCTACCATGTGGTTCAGACTCAAAGAATTGGTTGCAAAACTCATAATAAACCCCAGCTTCTACGAGTGTGTTTAGATAATTCTGCTATCGTGAGATTTGTACTTGGGTGCAAATATTTGCTATCAAAAAATTCTTCCTTCAAAAATATAGCCTTAGGTAGTAATAAAACAAGTTATGAGCAAAAACAGTTAAAAGATTTTCGTGTCGAATTATCTAGACGTCTTCAACAGGGTGAAACTAACTTAACTATTAAATATCGTAGAGGCATCCCTAGAATTATATCATCAGTTTCAAAAAACTAATAACCAGTGTTAGGGACAGATACTTTTAAAAGTATCTAGATACAGATATAGATATATGGAAGATAAAAGTATCTAGATACAAGCTTTGGCGAATAAAATAACTGAAAACATGTTTATGTATTTTTTTATGTATTGTTTAATGAATTTTTTAAAATTAACAACATTTCGAACGTATTGTCACCTAAATTATTTCTTCTTGGTGTCAGAATTTGGTTTCCGCTACTAAACACTCGTTCCACAGGTGCAGAAGAAGGGATTGTGGTATTAAATTTAAAAAATAAACATTTTACCTAATATTATGCAGAAGTAATTTGCTTAAAAAATCTTTATTAAATATTTTTCCATAATTGTTTCTTGCGTTTATCGACGCCCAAATAGCCCCCCTAAGGCTGACTCTCAGTTGTATCTCATCTTGTCCCAATTAATTGAAAAATATGCAAATGTTATTATAATGGGTGATTTTAATTTTCCGAACCTCCACTGGCATCCTCCATAGTTACCTGTAACTGTAAATTCGGACTAATGAACCCACTCGTTACCGTGAAAATTCGGTACCTTTTCTTCTTGATTTGGTGCTTATTTCTGCCTTGCCGTTTGCATGTACGACCCTTATCCTTCTCCCCCTTTTGACATATCTGACCATGTGAAAGGCTAAAATTCAATTTTCAATCGAATCTAGCAAATCTCAGACTTATCTACTAATTGGTCCATTTCAAACGATCCTGAGTTAACATGGAATTTATTTTATAAGCACTTTTCTTCCGTGTTGTGGTGAATTTGAATAAAATTTTCGCGCTGAATTTAATTAACAGCGGCGCGAAATCACATTTGAATAATTTGAATTTGAGAAAAAAATTCAATAAAAAAAAATCGTTAAACATAGGCCATCTGCACGTTAACGCTTGTTGGATAGTTGGTAGTTCTGCTTGTTAGTTAGAGGGTTGGATATAAGAGGGCGGTAGTGGTAGACAAGCTCGCGGCATGTGGCATTTGGTGGTGTTTGGTTGCATGATGAAAAAGACGCTGTAAGTTGGCTAAGTTAAATTAGTTGGTTTGGTAGTTAATAAAAGGGAGGAAGCCTTTATTTAAAGACAATTAATCGTAACGACAACGTCACAGTTTTCCCCAATATACGCAGCTAATTCTTGCGGCCTTTTAATCGGAAAAAGTGCGGACTTTCGACCAACGCGGACACGTGGTGTAAATTTGTTTTATTTTTGTAAATTCACCGATCAGGTTATGGTTTTAATCGTTAACTGTTTCTAACACAATTTAACAAACATTAGATTTATTTAAAGAGACGCTTACTTCGTGAAATTAATGAAATTCACTTAGTCAAGATAACACTTTTGTTTGTTTCATTATGAATGAGGTTTCTGGATGCATATACGCAAGTGTTACATTATGACACTTCTTAATGCTTCACACAAAATTGCGAATAGTTCATTTACGGCAGTTAAATTAACAAAATTCATTATACCGTGAACTGGCGGGGGGTTAAAATAATTTTTTCCCTTAGGCAGTTATCGTTGTTGTTAGCATTGTTATCATCATTACATCACCGAGGCATTTCCTGGCAACGTTAAAGATTGAATACATCACTGAGGCGTTTCCTCGCGACGTTGAAGATTGATTATATCACCGAGGCATTTTCTCGCAACGTTAAAAATTACATCACCGAGACATTTCCTCACAACGCTAAAATTTACATCACCGAGACGCTTTTTCCTCGCAACGATGACTGAATATTTTTGTGTTTATTTATTATGTGTTTTGTTGGGGCAACCAGTATTCAAACTCTCAAAGTTGGTAAATTGTTTTTTTAAGTAACCAATCACTTGGATCATGACATAATTTAACATAATGTAAACTCTTTATTTGAATCGTTGATAAAACGTAAATTTCATGCTCTGCAGTTTTAACCTCACATATTATTTTTATTTGCACAAGTTTATTATTTCACACCAGATCTTTTGTTTTTATAAATCTTGACTAGTTTTTGTTTCGTTTTGTTGATGAATGTTTCTATCGCATAAATTATCTGATATCTAATTTTAATCTCACATAAGAATTATTTATTGTTTCAAATTTCACAAGATTGTATGACGAGTTTAATTGTTGTTCATTGCTCTTTTGAAACTTTAATTTGTTCAGTTGCCGTTAATATCAGAGTCATAGAAATTGAATATTTAAAATGGAATTGAGGTTGAATAACACCGAAACAAGTAGCAGAAGCGGAGGGCGCGGTTCCTAGTGGGGCTAGCGGGATTTGTCGCGCCATCTGCACAAGGGATGCAGGCTTGTATAGAATTCAAGGAAACGGTCTGGACGACGTGACGCTGTCAGCTCATTCATAGTCGTGATATCCAACCACTAGTTTTCGACCGTAACGGCGTGGTTAGGACGACATGTTCGTCATGAAGATGTGCTGTGCGATAGATAGAATCGTTGTCGCGGAGGAGAACAGCCACGGTTGGGAGCCCCAAACTCCGCCTGTGCTACAACGCCCTTATGGGTATTTTTGTTGTGCTCTTGTACTGCCATAATTTTAAATTTGCCTCCACACGCCTGTAGTAACTTGAATATTTGCATCCAGTTACTTTAATCCAGATTTTCCTTTGTTTCTATTAAATTTGTGATATTCATATATTTGCATTGATTAAAAAGCGTATACGTAGGGTTTTTGCACTTGTTCGGTTTTCCATATGTGTATGTCTGTCAACTCTCGGTTGTCTCTTTATGTCAATATTTTTATGTGTTTCATTTGCGATGCATTATATGTGGACGAATAAACCACTCTCCCTTGGGCAGCCTGATGGCAAGTCACGAGTCGCCTCCTAGAGAGGGGTGCGATTTTTAGCCCCCTCCCAAAAATTTTGTCTATTATTTCTTGTGTTCTCTACTCGCACGCAGTGTATGCTCACTTGTATGAAAGAACGTCTTCCCGCCATTTTTTAAAAGAAAAAAAAACACAACATAGTTTCCATTTTGTTAGACGATGACAGCCAAGACCAGATTTCAATCTCCTTCAAGTGTCAATTTAAGGCGGGAAGTTTGGGTTATCACAGTGTTAACTAAAGACTCACTTGTTGAAAAAGTTCCCAATATTCCGGACAAACCATGGATTGACCTATCGCTGTTGAAACAAATTCAGCATAAAAAAAACTTTGGCTGAAATTTAGAAAATCTTATAGAACGGCAGATTATCATGTACATCGATCATTTTCAAATTTCCTATCGATAAGTTTATCTAATGCTAGGTCTTATGAATATTTTATTTCTGAAAATTCTGAGAATTGCAAATTCAGGTATATTCGTTCCTAAATTAGCACTAAAGTTGGTGTATCACTATCAAAACGAGCTGATGGTACCCCTTGTACCGATTATAACGAAGTCACTTCTATTTTTGCACTTTTTCTGATGCTTTCACTCTTGAGCCAACTTTATTCTCGCTAAACATTTCTAACTCGATCACCACCCTGCAGTTTAGTCCTGAACTAGTCGCTGTCGCTATGAATGATCTTAAAAACACATCAGCACCGGGTTTGGATAAAATTTCGCCAAAGTTACTAAAAATTAGTGGTGATCATATTGCACCCTGCCTTTCCAATATAATGCAACAATCCCTTGACAGTTGCCGATTGCTATCTGCGTGGTTACTTTCAGTCGTTACACCTAAGTATTTACAAAAAAGACAGATGGTGTCTAAATATAGGCCTATTTGTCTGCAATCTGCGATTTTAAAAATGACGGAATCAATTATTGCCAAAGAACTTAGAAAATTTGCCTCGGAAAACAACTTAATTCCTGATATCCAACACGGCTTTATTGCAGGTAAATCAGATATTACCAATCTATTTTGTTGTTTAAACGATTGGACTCGCAATGTTGACCTTAATCTCCCTGTGGATGTATTATACCTTGATTGTGCCAGAGATTTTGATAAAGTTCCCATAAATCGCCTTCTCTTTAAACTTGACCACCTTGACATTTGAGGCAAACTATTACGATGGTTTGAAAATTATCTAACCAATAGATACTTTTGCCTAAGGGTAGGCGAAAGTCTGTCTGGGAGTGTTAAGGTCCTCTACCGTTTCAATGTTTGCTGACGATACTAAATTATATGCCAACCCACTTACTCATTATACCCAGATTACAAAAGATCTAGAGGCTCTCAATCTATGGTGTTCCGATTGGCTGCTACCTTTAAATTCTGACAAATGTACCGTTCTCCACCTGGGTAAGAATAACCCCATCCTTAGTTACAACATTGCGGGAGTACCTTTAACTGTACTGGATTATCAAAACGATTTAGGTAAGTATTATTATTTCTTCCAACCTCAAATGGGAACGACATATTGTCTCGATAACAAAAAAAGCTAATTCTATGCTGTTACGCACTTTGGAGGAAGTCCGCGAAGGGCCACTAAGCTGGCTCCTGTTATTAGACACCGACCGTATGAGGAACGGATATCTATTGGAAGGCAAACAATTTTGGGAAACTGCCAATATCTACGTTATTTTTTATTCGCAGCATACATTTTAGCTTTGAATAAGCACACCATAATTATATACACTGTGACTTAAAAAAACTAATGAGTGAGTCAGTGTATATTATGGATTAGATCAGGAACTCCGAATGCTTTGAAATCTTGCAGAGATATAATATAAAATTATTCCAAACGGAAAATCTGATACTTATTAAAAAGACTTCTTTGCATACTGTGCAATACCGCTGTTGTCGGGGTATTTAATTTTGTCAAATAGGACCTTGTTATATAATGTTAGCGTTTGTAGACTACTATACACAGGGTGTTTCGAAAAGTATAGACCAAAGCTTGGATATCACTTCTTTGGTTAACATGACTCCTCATTCTGCAACTCTTTGGAGTAAAACATTTACCTGCATTGTTAAGACGAGTACCTATTAGGTATCTCATTTTTTTTAATTCAATGGTAAAAACTTAAGTCGTTTATATTATTACGTCTGCGGTAAAAATGTATTTCTTCATAATTGTCAAAATTTAAGTTTACTACTTATCTCGAGAAAATTTATTCTGAGTGTCTTCGTTTATCCGAACATCAAGAAAATTAATGAAAAAGCTGTACTAATAAACCTTGTGGAAAACAATCCAGGCACCAGTATTAGAAGAAGGGCGATTAATATTCATATTTCGCCTACTTCAGTTTGGCGGATCTTCAAATAACTCAATCCATATCATGTTCAAAATGTGCAGACTTTGAAACCTGTAGATTTAGTTAACACAAAAAATTGTTGTGAATGTTTACCGCGGCATCAGTATCACGATGACGATTAATTTCGTGAGAAACACCCTGTATATATAATTCGTTTCTGTATGAAGCAAGTACCAGCGACCAACCAACCCAGTGCTGGGTCAAACGTAAGATACGAAGATTCGTACCTGCGAAATAATTAGTGCGAACGCGAACCCACTCAGAACACCATCAGTCCGGTAACCAGACCTGCAGCGTGCGACGAACAGGTACCACTTAGCAGTGCTGCAAATTTACAACCATCCGGTGTGATATCTTTGCTCTAAAAAGGGTATGTACTCAGATTTGGCTCATTATCAATACAGAAAAATTGTAAACTTATATTCGTTTACTAGTGCGTTAGATAAAAGTAAAACTGCAGCAGTACTAATTGCTTGATGTTTGGTTATTTAAATCCAGTCATAAATCATAAATTTAATTGAAACTGTCAAATATAGCGAAATTCGTTGAGTTCGCATTTGACAAAATGTCACAAACGTTTAACCCTAAATCTTTTGAACAGATACTACTTATTCATAATAAAAACATTGTGAGCAAAATTAATAAGGAGAATGCATCGCTGGAATCCATTAAACAATTCAACTCTTTTTCCTTTAGTTAACATGCTCCACGAAATGAAATAAAATAAAAATTAGTTATAATGAATTCTACAAAACCAAAAACGTTGTTTTACTACATAAAACTGGACCTTGGAAACTGCATATAGTTGTGTAGAGTAATGAACTCGATACAGTGTATAAATTCGATACAGGAACAATAATACTAATACAATGTATGATGAAATACAAATAGACTGATATGATTTTAATATTATGGTGAGTACAGAAATAATGACGCTCCGGTTTGTATCGAGGACATGTGTCAGGGCCAGCCAAACGAGTTTTTATTTTGAGTTTATTTGTTCGGGAAATAAAAGAAAAAAAATGTCCAACTTTACAGAAGAAGACTTAATTCTCAAAAATGAGATAATCTTCATCAAATCTTCAGCCCCAGTTGTAAAATGAAATTTCATTTATTTATTATTTACCTTTTTCTTTCGTAACTCAATACAGACAAACTTGCCTTGTACAAAAAATAATAGTAATTAAATACAATTATCCAAACTAGTTTTAGAATGACTTAATGGTTAAGAATTCACACTTATGTAGTTCATTCGTCATTTTTTTAGAGTACAAATTTTTGCAATGGACTTGCTGTCAATTTCTTGCAACGAAAGAGCAGAAATTTTAAAACACTACGGTGTTTCCGAGGAACAAGTAAAGGAAGACGTAGAATTAATTAAATCTTGGAAGCAAAAACAGCCACATTTACCGGAAAACACATCAGGTATGACAATAAAGCAATATTTTGTTACAAACCAAAATTTCTATTTTTTTAGACGACTTCATTGCAAGAGTGTTATTAAGAAATAAATTTAGAGTTGAACGTACGAAAGAAAAACTAGACAATTACTATACCCTTCGAGGTTACCACGATGCTCTTGTTCGGGATTTTGAAAACATTGTTCCGTCGAAGCACTTCATGTAAAAACCAAACACGTAAATGTATTCTAATGACTGTTAACAGTCAATCTATTTTTAGCACTCATCTGCCACTCCCAAAATTAACTCCAAATTATGAACGTGTTATTATAATGAAGCTGATTAACACAGACATCGAAGTTTATGACATGCTGGAACTTATAAAGTTAGATTTGGCTGTAACAGAAGTAACAATGCAATATGATGGCAGCATTGGAGTTCGATATGTGATCGATTTTGGAGGATTTACATTAAGACATTTGGCTAAATGGAATCCACTTTTATTGAATAAACATGTAACACTAATTGAAGTAAGTGTTTTTATCTTCAACTCTTGTTATATCGGTTAAGTTTTATTCATTTTCCAGAAAGCATATTCTTGTCGTATAATGGGCTTTCACTGTATTAATGTTCCTGACTTCGCTACTAATATTCTAGGATTACTCAAAATTGTGTTGAGAGCGAAGATTTATGACAAGGTAAAATGAAACTTCGTGCTTTCTGTGTTATTTTTTATGTGGCCAAAAACAAAAATGCTTGCTTGTGTTCTTACCTACAATGATAGAAAAACTTAAAATAAAAGTTTAAAATAAATCAACTTTTGAAATGAGCCCTTACTTTGACAGTTTTTAGCACACGTGATACGAATAACAGTTTTTTTTATTCCAGTTGAAAATTAACAGCAGCCTGGAGTCTCTCTATGAAGTGATACCGAAAGAATGCTTACCTTCTGAATATGGAGGCTCTTGTAGTAACATTCCAAGTTTGTTGAGTAGGTATCAGTCTGTTATCAATGTAACAAACTCACTCAAAATCTCTTTATTACAGAAAAATGGGATGAAGTTTTTCAAAATCACCGAAATTTTTTTGTGGAAAATTACAAAAACGTTTCCATGGAGCACTTACGAACCGCAGATTTGGACAAAAGTGATTCATTCGGACCTGATGGTACTTTCAAAAGATTAACCATTGATTAAAGGTTTCTGTCTGCCTCTCTTCGATCGAAAAATTGAATAAATTTGATTAAATAGATAATTATAGTTCTAACCAATAAAACTTTAAAACTTTTGTGTCTGTTTATCTCCTCTCAAAAATGGATGACGTCATCTTAAAATGATGGTACATAGGTTTACCTTAAACGTGCCCAATCACCTGTAATTTTTATCAAAATATTTTTAATATTAACGTTTTAATTTTATAATGCATTTCAGAGATAATTTAAATGAGCATTTTGAAATTTAACGTCATATTAACACGGAAAACTATTAAAATTATGGAACCTCACAGCTCATTTTTAGATTGAATTCAATCATTTATTTTATTTTTGATCAGGTGTATGCTCTTTATTCACCTAGATTTTATTTTTTTAAATGTGAAACAGTATTCAGTACTTCACTCACTTATAGTAATTATTAACGTCTATTTATTACCAAAACTGTTAGGTGGAAAAAGGAATAAAATGCATTATTGGAATGCATTAAGCAATAAATAAATAATGCAAATTCCATTTTTCACATTTCAATTACAAACATAAACGAAGTATGGTACTACTTCGCTGTGTTGCAATTTCACAACCATCCAGTGCGTTACCTGTTGTAAAAAGGTATGTAGGTACTAATTCATTAGTTCATTGTAAATACTGTTGTACTACAAAACTGTACTTGAATGAAAGTAAAATTATATATTATAAATTTAAATAATGCTATGTAGTACACAGAAACCTGTTTAATTTGCACTTGGTAATGTTACAAACGTATAATAACCATCATCTTTGTGACTTGACACCAATTGATAATTACCAACAATAAAATAACATTACTTACTTATGCTCTTTAGCTTTACCGAATGAAAATGCATTTAGAGCAGCATATGGTAAAACAAAAGTTTAAATTATCATTACCTGGAACTTTTTTTATTTTAGAAACGGAGAATACAATTTTGATGGTTGACATTTAGTGGTGCGTGAAATAATTTTTATAATTGTGCTTATTTCATAAGATATAATTTTGTAAAAAGTGACAGTATCATAGTATAATCTACTTTTCCTACTCTCGTACCTAAAATATTGTTTAGCTTTAGATTCTTTAAACATGAGGCAAAAATGTGTTCAGGCTCATTAGTCACATCTTGAGCGCGTTCGGCAGTTTTTGTGTTCATTAAACACTTAGTTAAAACCAATCTGAAATTTTCTTATTTACGTTGGAATATGCAGTTACATTTGAAAATTTCCTACGGCTGATTTTAAAAATTGGCTTTTCATCTCATTGAGATCAGTGGTTGGAAATAATTCAGTTAGAAGTGATTCACTACTGTAATTAAATTCCTTTTCAGTTAATGAGTAATTGTAATGCGTTACTTTTCAAAAAATGGATCAAGTAATTGTAACGAATTATTATTTTGAGTAATTTTTGAGTCACTTTTACAATTCTTTTTGCAGTTACAAAAGTATACGTCCGATTTTTAATAAACTTTACACACAGTGTGCCCTCTCGTTTCCTTCGTTACCACTGTGTCCTTTGATCCCATAAAGTTCTACACTATTCCTCTACGTTACATATCTTAGCGTTTGTCTGCACTCCCAAAAGAGCCCGGATCGAACCATGCAGCTGTTCAGGGCTAGTAGTGCAGAATTGCTGTCAGTAAGTATGCGTTTTGATTTGTTGCCGATTTGACGTTCAGCAACGATTTTAGCTCCCAACATTATTCCCATCAGTTCTGTTTGTAAGACGGACGTGTGGGTGCCAAGAGGTACACTGATTTGTGCGTTCAGTTGTTCGGAGTAGATACCGGCTCCTGAACCACTATCTGTTTTGGCACCATCGACATATAGATATCGATATGGGCTCTTCCTTCTGAATTATCATTCATTAATATTCTATATGTCTTCTCATATACTTATTAATTTTATGCCCATTCGGTCACAACCCATCCTTAACAAGGGTATTCTGTTGAACGCCTCCGTCAAGATACGAGTGTGCTTGTTCCATACTCCCAGAGAGTGAAGTCTTAGAGACGTCCTCATTGTCGCTTCCTCTATGTAAAGGTTAAGAGGCGCTAGGCAAAGAAATGCCTCCAGAGCCGCTGTGGGGGGTTCTCATTGCTCCTGTAATATGTACTGAGAACTTCCTGAACGTGTTCAAGTGCAAGGCTGTTATTTTTTGTCTGGCTCTGGGCCACCAAACTAAAACTCCGTAGCACAGCATCGGTCTCACTACTGCCGTGTAGATCTAGAGGGCGATCTTGGGGTTTAAACCCCAAGACCTTCCCACCACCCTACAACATTGTCAAAGGGCCGAGCGTGCTTTTTCCACTTTATCATTTACATGCTTCGTCTAATTCAGTCACCAGTCCAGGTATTTGACTTCGTCCGAAAGTTAAGTCGTTGTATTAAATATCTTTGGCATCTGTAGTGTGCCAATTTTCCTTTTCCTAGAGAACAGCACCATTCCTCGACTATTGTTACTGCAGCTTGCATTATTTCACATATTTTCGGGAAAATTAATTGGGTCGTTTTGAATATTGATTTGTAATAATCAATAAAATAACGGAACAATTTACTCACGTATACGGCGCCGGCGTGTACTAGGAGAGGCAACTGAAAATCGTTTATGTATAAGCATTTTTAATTTAAGACGACAAGCGTAACATAGCATACGTGAGAGTCAAACAGAGAAACTGTAAACAAAACCGATGGTCATCTAGAGATTTTTATTGCTTCGACTTCCGCTTATTATATAAAACATTGGGTTTTATTTTAACTTTTGGCGGTGGAATTCACAATTGGTTGATTATAAACATGTCTATACTACATTCGCGGAACCTAGTCAGCGCACAAAACAAATGCACGTCTGTAATGTTAAAGTAAATATAAATAAGCGTGCTACCCTTATGTTTCAACCGAGTTTTTACTTCACAAAATTTTATGTCTACCAAATTGGGTTGGTCCAATGTAATACTAATAATAAGTGTTGCCTTTAATTTAATCAATAAAATAAATTGACTTCATTAATTTTATTGAGCCACCTCTTAAACAAATCTAAAAAATATGAATGGAATGATAAATCACAAGTACAAAATCATCATATTTTTTGCATTTTAGATAGGATTTATTCAGCAAAATTTAGGGGTGACGTCATCAATTTTTTTAGGGGGGATGAACAAATACATTTTGAACAAAAGTTTACCATGCTTATAATAACTTTAAAATATCTCCAAGATTTCAAAGCATTCGGTTTTGTAATTCCTGATTAAATCGATAAAATAAATTCACGCATTCATTAATTTTTTTAAGTCACCCTGTATATGCAAATCCAAAAATATGAATGGAATGATAAGTCACAAGTACAGACTCATCATATTTTTAACATTTTAGATAGATTTATTCACCAAATTTTAGGGTGACGTCATCAATTTTTTTTGGGGGGATGAGCAAATAAATTTTGATAAAAAATTTACCATGCTTATGATAACTTTAAAACATCTCCAAGATTTCACAGCATTCGGTTCTGTAATTCCTGATTAAATCAATAAAATAAATTGACGCATTCATTAATTTTTTTCAGTCACCCTGTATATGCAAATCGAAAAAATTTGAATGGAATGATAAATCACAACAAGAAACTCACCATATTTTGTACATTTTAGATTTTATGCAGCAAAATTTTGTGGTGACGTCATAAATTTTTTAGGGGGGACGACCAAATACATTTTGATTAAAAATTTACCATGCTTATGACAATTTTAAAACATCTTCAAGATTTCGAAGCATTCGGTTTTGTAGTTCCTGAGTAAATCAATAAAATAAATTTTGCGCATTCATTAATTTTTTTAAGTCACCCTGTATATGCAAATCCAAAAAATATAAATGGAGTGATATATCACAAATACAGACGCATCATATTTTGTACATTTTAGATAGGATTTATTCGGCAAACTTTTGAGCTGATGTCATCAAGTTTTTGGAGGGGATAGCCAAATATATTTTGACTAAAGATTTATGATGCTCTTTATAGCCTTAAAACATCTGCAACACTTCAAAGCATTCGGATTAGCAGATTCAAAATTAAATTGCAAAATGTTGTTTTATAATTTTGATTTTTTTTCCAAAAATCTGGACGTTTCGGGTAAAAACTCAATTCGAAGTCGTAAACTACATGTGTAGGACTATGTTATTTTATACAATTTAAAACCAATTTACTATGTACAATTTTGAAGTGACGTCATCGCATTAGTGGTGGGGATGACTAGAAAAATTTTGGTTAGCGTTTAACCATCTACATGATATTCCTAATATAAGTACAAAATTTCACAACAATCGGTCCAGTACTTTCGGAGATTATCTGTCTAATAAAAATCCGGGACGGCAGACAGACGGACAGACAGACGGACAGACGGACAGATGGACAGACGGACAGACGGACAGACGGACAGACGGACAGACGGACAGACTATTGTTACTGAATAATGAGTAATTGTAACGCATTACTTTTTAAAAGTAATTGTTCCAATCACTGACTGAGATAAGTCAAAAATTAACAATTTCAATCAATAACATATGGATTTTCACGATCAAGTATTTATTGAGTGCGATGAACATAACCAATTAGCTCCGTCAAATTTGCCGTTTTTTGAAAAAAGTGCTTCAAAGTACTTTTTAATAAATGAAAGCCAAAATGCACCTAGTAGGGACCAACTTATTACCAAAGTTAGGCACAGCGGAAGTGATGAGCAATCCCTCAGACAAATATTAAACACGATCGCGTGATGTAAGGCGATAAATTTGGCTGGCCGACTGTGGAGTCTCAACCACGTCACAACCTCAGTGGCGTTTGATGCAAATCAGGGTTTATCTACTCAAGATCATCACGAAAATTGTGATGTTGACTAGTCATTGTTAATTTTTAAAGCATTTTAACACCTAGGAGAACTCGTATAATTGATGAAAATCGAGAAAAAGTAGTAAATGTTATTAAGAATTCCCGAAGTTATAGACTACGACTGCAATAGTGCTGACGATCGGACGGCAATGAGAATCACTTCCGCGATGCCGAAGTTTTTCTTCTAATTTGATGATTTTATTAATAAAATTTCCGCAAATTATAACGACTGTTACGAGTTTCGGTCTGATATCTAACTAGATGTTTACGATAGTTACGAAAACGATAAGAGCTGTGAGTCTTTCCGTATCTAAGAGTCCAAGAAAGTTAAGTCACTGACTGATGAAAAAAGTAAATAATAAGAAGAATTACCTACCTAGAAAATACAGAAAAAGCCTTTTTTATTTGCCATTCTCGTCAGTCAATGACACTACTTCCTTGGACTAGCTCTTGAAGCTAACCTTTCAAGCGAAATATCCTAAGAAAACTGATTTTACTTCCTGAGCATAAGCTAAATAGTTACTTATAATTATAGTTAGAACACATTACGCGATTACCCTCATGTTTTCACGTCTCATGACCCCTAAAGTACGAAAAAATATGTCTCTGTCTGTCTGTCTGTCCGCCGTCTGTGTCGATTTTTGTTAAGCAGATAATAATAAATTTTATATGCGTGTAGATCGTAAAACGCTAACCAAAAATAGTAAAAAAAAAAAATCTAAAATGTACAAAATATGATGAGTCTGTACTTGTGATCTATCACTCCATTCATATTTTTTGGATTTGCATATACAGGGTGACTCAAAAAAAATAATGAATGCGTAAATTTATTTTACTGATTTACTCAGAAACTACAGAACCGAATGCTTTGAAATCTTGCAGATGTTTTAAGGTTATAAAGAACATAATAAATGTTTAGTCAAAATATATTTGCTTATCCCCTCCAAAAAATTGATGACGTCAGCTCGAAAGTTTGCCGAATAAATCCTATCTAAACTGTATAAATATGATGAGTCTGTACTTGTAATTTATCACTCCATTCATAATTTTTGGATTTGCATATACAGGGTGACTCAAAAAAATTAATGAATGCGTAAATTTATTTTACTGATTTACTCAGAAACTACAAAACCGAATGCTTAAAAATCTTGCAGATGTTTTAAGGTTATAAAGAGCATAATAAATGTTTAGTCAAAATATATTTGCTTATCCCCTCCAAAAACTTGATGACGTCAGCTCGAAAATTTGCCGAATAAATCATATCTAAAATGTACAAAATATGATCAGTCTGTACTTGTGATCTATCACTCCATTCATATTTTTTGGATTTGCATATACAGGGTGATTCAAAAAAATAAATGAAAGCGTAAATTTATTTTACTGATTTACTCAGGAACTACAAAACCGAATGCTACGAAATCTTGAAGATATTTTAAAATTATCATAAGCATGGTAAATTTTTGATCAAAATGTATTTGGTCGTCCCCCCTAAAAAATTTATGACGTCACCACAAAATTTTGCTGAATAAATCCTATCTAAAATGTACAAAATATGGTGAGTCTCTTCTTGTGATTTATCATTCCATTCAAATTTTTTCGATTTGCATATACAGGGTGACTCAAAAAAATTAATGAATGCGTAAATTTATTTTATTGATTTAATCAGGAACTACAAAACCGAATGCTTTGAAATCTTGCAGATGTTTTAAGGTTATAAAGAGCATAATAAATTTTTAGTCAAAATATATTTGGTTATCTTCTACAAAAAACTGATGACGTCAGCTCAAAAGTTTGCCGAATAAATCGTATCTAAAGTGTACAAAATATGATGAGTCTGTACTTGTGATTTATCATTCCATTCATATTTTTGGATTTGCATATGCAGGGTGAAAAAAAAAAATTAATGAATGCGTGAATTTATTTTATCAATTTAATCAGGAATTACAAAACCGAATGCTTTGAAATCTTGGGAATATTTTAAAGTTATTATAAGCATGGTAAACTTTTGTTCAAAATGTATTTGTTCATCCTTCATAAAAAAATTGATGACGTCACCCTTTAATTTTGCTGAATAAATCCTATCTAAAATGCAAAAAATATGATGAGTTTGTACTTGTGATTTATCATTCCATTCATATTTTTTAGATTTTCTTAAGAGGTGGTTCAAAAAAATTAATGAAGTCAATTTATTTTATTGATTAAATTAAAGGCAACACTTATTATTATTAGTATTACACCCCAACCAACCCAATTTGGTAGACACAAAATTTGTTAATGGAAAAACTCGGTTGAAACATAAGTGTAGCACGCTTATTTACATTGACTTTAACATTACAGACCTGCATTTGTTTTATGCGCTCACTTGGTTCCGCGAATGTGGAATAGACATGTTTATAATCAACCAATTGTGAATTTCACCGTCAAGAATTAAAATAAAACCCAATGTTTTATATAATAAGCGGAAGTCGAAGCAATAAAATCGATGGTCGTTTTGTTTACAGTTTTTCTGTTTGACTCTCACGTATGCTGTTACGCTTGTCATCTTAAATTAAGAATGTTTATACATAAACGATTTTCAGTTGCCTTTCATATTACTAGACAGCGGATTTTTGTCGGGCTACGTCACGATTATAGGTGGGGACGCGCTGGATCGCCGGGACTCAGTAGCGGGTGATAGATAATCACTGAATTTAATCGGTACTAATTCCATAAATATAATTAACGATTTATTAATCAAACGGCTAAGTAAATGAGAACGGGAATTAACAGCAGAGTGCAACGAAACAGCCTTATTCTAATCTCAAATAAACGAAGTGCAGTCCGCAACCGCAATGAATTCGCATCCCGTACGAACCGTACCGAGTTTGGCCTTGCCTAGCCCGACAGAAATCCGCTATCTAGATATTACACACCGGCGCCGTATACGTGAGTAAATTGTTTCGTTATTTTATTGATTATAAGCAATCAATATTCAAAACGACCCAATTCATTTTCCCGAAAATTTGGGAATACAATAATTTTATTCTTAGTATTACACTACATCTATCCCAACTGATATACGTAGCCTTGTAAAAATGTTGATGACGTCATCACATTTTTTTTTTAAATTCCCACTACAAAAATGTAATGAGAAAAAAAAACACAATAGGCATGCAGTCGTCAAGTTTCCGACAGCGAGGGAAGTACTGTCTAAACTCTTTAGACCAATTTTTTTAAGTTCTTTTCTTAAAGTTTAGACTCAAAAGTATTTATGAAAGAGTCGAGTTTTAATGAAGTTGTTTAATAATAAATCTCTACATTTTGAAAAAAATTTTGGGATATCGTCATCTACTTAATTTAATTTTTTGAAGGCGATGAATAAAAAACGTCAACATTTTAAAATTACTAAACCAAATTTGTTCTTTAAATTTCCTTCAAAACTACGATTCCAATGCTTATTCAAGAGTTAGTTCTCTCTCTCATTTACTTTTCGATTGTGAATTTATCACCATCGCGTTGTTAACTACTGCAATTTTAACGACATCGTTTTTTAACGGTATCTTAATCGTGAAATTAGTTTTTACAGGTTGTAAAAGTGCAAAATTTGTTTTTTTAAAGGAGCTCACCTTATTTGACTCCAAACAAACTCTCACTTGTTCAACAGCTATGATTTTTACATAGTAGGTTTTTGGAGTTTGGAAAAGCACAAGTACAAATGTTTTTGAACTAATTTATTAAAAAATGAGTCTGACACTGGGACGATACACACATGGTACTGCCCACTGTGAGACGATTTACGAATATATTCGCATAAATTATATAGTTTACGACTATGTAACGCAAGCAAGGTCGCAGCGAGTAGCCAATCCAAAGCTGGGTCAAATGCTAGACTGGAAAATTCGTACCAGCAAAAAAATTCATACGGACATACTAAGAACATCATTAGTTCGATGACCAGTCCTGCGACGGTACCACTCAATAGTGCTGCAAATTTATAACCGTTTGATGTAATACCCTTACTCTGGAAAGTGTATGTACCTACATTTGGCTCATTATTAGTACTGTTGTACGATAACATTATAAAGCTATATTCATTATAGTTTGTAGTAGTACCTTGGATAAAAGTAAAATTTCACCACACCATATATCCATATTCGAAAGAGGTAGGTACTATAATGTTTTGTTATGTAAATCTAGCCATAAATTGTAAATTTTAATTGATACTGTCAAATCTAACAAAATCAACAGGTTTGGTGTTTCATAAAGTAATAACGGATTTTTAAAAATATTGTGGGCAATATTAGCGAAAACACAGTATCCAATTGTTTTTTTCTTTCATCATCTTGTGTTTCGAGAGTAATGAACTGTTGTGCGATAAGATAACTCGATAAAGTAGCGATTATATTTTATTTTCAAATTCTCGGAATTATCAAAAGAACATATTTATCTTCCTTGTAATTAAACAGCTACTAAACAAAAATAAAATTCATAACAATAATATTAACAAGTAGGTGTAATGAATTCTGATTTCTTTATACTTTCATACATTGGTTTAATTACCTGTGCTAGATACCCCAACCATATGATTGTGAAAATACTCAATTTTTGTAACTTTAAAAAAAGTTTTAATAATTTTCGCAGAACCTTGGTAGGAACATTTTTTTTACTTTGCTAAGAAAATGGTACTTAAAATGTGCAAAATAGTATACTTTTGTATCAGTGATTTATTAATCTACCCTGGTTTTTAAATTTATACATGTAGGTTAAAAAAAATCAAAACGACACAACAAGATTTTACAGTTTAATTTAGAAACCATAAAACCTTGACCTCCAAACATTTTAGTATGTGGTGTGATAAGCTACTGTTGTGCGGTAAAGCAATATGAATTCGATTAATGACATTTTGTTTTTAAATTCTCAGTATGGAAGAAGTAAATTAATAAGTTCTATTAATCAGCTACTAACAAATCAATAAAATAAAAATAAATAATAGTAATAATAATACAAATAATGCCAATTTCGTAAATTATGTTTTTTTTGCTTCTGTAGTTGTGGTAGTATTTCAAACGTATCTAGGATGGAAAAATTACTCTTTCTCTGTAACTCTTTGACTTATGCACAGTGGCGGCGTAGCGTGGTTTGGCACCCAAGGCGGTTTGATAAAATGGAAAGATTGTTTGCACGCGCTTAGCTCATTGTGGACCTTAATAAATCTGAAAAACTCCAATGTAGTCCACTGAATCGCTTCTTGGGAAGAAATGCTGGCGGTTTCCAAGTGCTGCCTCGATCGTAAAATTTCCAAAATTATGTCCTCTGCAGAAAATTCATCGTAGATTTTTGTCAGATTTGGAACTACATATTCCATGAACATCTTTTTTTGATGTTGTTAGCAGTGGGATTTATAAACTTACCGTTGCAGTTGCTGTTTCCGCTTGCGTTGCTTTTAGAGCTGAAAACTGTCATTTACAAACCCCGTTGCCAAGTTGCTGTTGATAATAACTTTGACATTTGCCATATTTAAAGGGGTTGTAGAAGAAGAAAAGTGGAGGATTTAAGTTGATTAAGTACTCCAAAAAATTACCATTTTAGACATGTTTTAAGTTTCTTGTCGCAATAAGTCTACACATACTAAGAAAAAAAAGGCAAAATGTAGTGCCGCCCACCCGCCCTATCTCATTTGTGATGATTTTTTTTTATTCGTTGTGAGCCAACTACGAACAATTAAAAACATGTTTTTAAATACATATCGTGTTGTTCAAAGAATACTATGTATATTAAGAAAAAAATAAAGCCGAAGATTAGGACCCACCCATACCCCCCCCCCCCATCTCAGTTCTCAATTGTGATGAATTTTTCATTCGGTGTCAGATCGAGGGGCGGGGCTTAATTGCAAGATCGATATTTAAATATAAGCCCCGCCGCCCCGCCCACCCGCCCTGTCTCAATTGTGATGATTTTTTTTATGATCGTCGAGAGCCAAACGAGCGGAATTTAAATGCAAAATTCTTGTTACCTATTTCTCTCTCTACAAGAAATTACCATCTAAGACATTTTTTTGAGTATCGTGTTATTCAGAGAATACTATGTATATTAAGAAAAAATTCAAGCGAACGATCTAGTACCAACTATAACTGCTTTAATAACAACGAAATTTTAATTCGTTAGCAGACCTAGGGGCGAAGCCTAATTACAAAATCCAAATTTTCTTACAAAAATGTACCATTTTAAACATGTTTTAAGTGTGTAACAATTAAAAAAATGAGCACAATTGAGATGGGGTGGGTGGGCGGGGTTTATATATTGTCTTTTTACTTCCCAAGCATAAGCTAAGGAAGTATAGTAATCGAGTTCATCAGACGAAGTACCACTTTTATGTTTTCTGGATGGGTCATGACCCCTACAGTACGAAAAAAGTAGTCTTTCGTTTCCGTCTGTCTGTCTGTCTGTCTGTCTGGTGTCTGTATCCATTTCTGTTAGACAAGTAATCTCCGAAACTGCTGGACCGATTGTTGTCAAATTTTGTATGTATATTAGAAATATCATGTAGATGGCTAAAAACTACCCAAAATTTTACTAATCATCCCCACCAAAATTTGATGACGTCATTTCATTGAATTGTATTCTAAAATAATTTTAAAAATAAACGTTCAAATTTTCGCAAAAATAAATCCAAGAGTGAATGCACTGATATTACCAACACGGAGTTCCTGTGGCGCAGACTCAAGCAGAGAGCTCCGAGATGTTCACCGAAGCCGTGTGACATTGCGGTAGTGGTTCGATGCCGAACTTTGCCGTTTACTTTTGTTTCTTGCATTGATAATACGCTGCGACTACTTTTCTTTTGTGCTGTGACTAATCTTATCCATCTTGAAGACTTCATTACCAATTTTTTATTGGTCAAATTAAGAACGAGTAACCCCATTTCCTCGAAAACGTGAAAATTATAGTAATAATGATAAAATAAGAATTATAATATTTAGATCATTTTGTTCGATTGTGATTTAATTCAAATCAAACTAATTTCTACGTGATATTCTTTCGATGTATAAACATAAATAAACACTCGAGAATGCTGGATATGTTTCATTGTACTTTAAGACCGAGGGAAGTTATGTCGAAACAACTTTCGACCAAGTTTTTTTCTTAATATACATAGTATTCTTTAAACAATACGATGCACAAAAACATGTTTTTAATTTCTTGTAAAGAAATAAGTATTTTGCAGTTAAGCTGAGTCCCCTGGGGTCAGCGCGAATGAAAAAAGCACCACAATTGAGATGGGGCAAGTGGGTGGGTCTATATTTTGCCTCTTTGTATTAATATGTGTAGACTTCTTTTCACAACATTAAACTAGGCAAATTTTTTTTTGCCCCATAATTGCAAAAGCCATACTTCCTTGCATAACCATATTAACCATGTTTTAAGTTTCTTGTTATGAAAAGATGGCTATGTATATTAAAAAAAAAGGCAAAATACTAGGAAGTATTGTAATGACTCCTAGCAGAGTACGAAGAAATGGGTCTCCCGTTTCCGTTTGTCTGTCCGTCTGTCTGCCATCCCGATTTTTTGTATGTTTTTGTAGAGTGATTCTTTTGTAAGTATTCTCTGGCTGTGCGAGAGAATTGTCGTTGTCACCCCTTGGTGCTTGGTACCCGGGGCGGACCGCCCCTACCGCCCTTTATCCCGCCACTGCTTATGCAGAAACCTACTTTTAGTTTCAGATCGTAAATTAGAAAAGTAGTCGAATATGGTCCATAAGTAATAACAGCACTGTATACTCATATTTTCGGAAAAATGGAATAGGAAATAAATTATGTCGCTTCATTCATTAATTTTTTTTTGAGTCACCTTGTATAAGCAATTCTAAAAAAGCAAGGTCCCAAATATTATGTCAAAAAGTTCTCGTTTCGAATTCAAAATTTTCTATAATTACGCCAAAAAATTGTGGTCCTTGCTCACTTTAGTTTAGCTAAGTGGCTATGGGATTATGAAAACCGCAGACAGGAGGTGGAGAACAAAGACATCCACCGCTTCACCAATATTTTCCATAATAATAATAATTATTATTACTACCTCAAAAACGAATTAAGTTTAGATTTTGCTTTTAAAATTTTGTATTTGCTGTCATTAACTATAGCAACCGTAAACAGACGTAAGATTGGGTTGAAATTATTTGGGTAATGTTTATTTTTCAATTTAATTTCTTAAATTATCGCATCGAATTATCCTCAAGATCTTTTTCTCCAGACAAAAATTTCATTGACTCAATTTGCTAAACAATTCAACTACTTATTAAAAGATTCAATTTTGTCCGAATAAAAAAAATTACATTATAAAATCGCATGTGAAATGTCGGAGTGACTATTAATGCTTGTTTTTTTTGTCAGGTTGGCAACCTATTTAAAATTTTATGATAGCATACCTCATTGTAAAAGTGACATTTATGACACCTGCCATTGTCTCACTCAGTCCACATGATATTGCGTGCTCATGACAAAATTGATAACTGACGTAATAACATGGTGGGTGCCAATAATCCAGAACTGCCAACACAAAAATTTGCTTCAATCATTTAATAGTCACCCGGTATAAATGTTCACATGCACTTTATTTCTAAATTAGTAGCACTCGTATTTTTGCACTTATAGATGTGAATTACTGTAAAAAAAAATAGAATTGTACAATTCAATTTTACAATTTATTTTACAAATGATGAAATTTATTTTCTAAAACCTGGATAACTGAAACCGAAAAGAAAAATTTTAGTAAAAGCTTATATCTTAATTAAATAAAATCAACTTTTTTCTTCCTGTCTCAAGGACAAACAATACATACTGGAATATGCTCAAAAAATAATAGTAAGCAATTAAGTAGAATTATGCAAACTAGGTTTAGAATGACTAGACAAACTTTTTGTTTTTGTTTTAGAATTCCCAAATATTTAATTCATCTGTTATTTTTCAGAGCGTATATTATCTTTGCAATGGACTTGCTGTCAATTTCTTCCAACGAAAGAGCAGAAATTCTAAAACATTACGATATTTCTGAAGCACAAGTAAAGGAAGACGTAGAACTAATTAAATCTTGGAAGCAAAAACAGCCACATTTACCGGAAAACATATCAGGTGTGCCAAAAAAGCATTATTTCGTAACAAACAAAAAATTTTTTTTTTTTTCAGATGACTTCATTGCGAGGATCTTTTTAAGAAATAAATTTAGGGTTGAACGTACAAAAGAAAAACTAGATAATTATTTTACCCTTCGAGGTTACCACGATGATCTTGTTAGGGATTTAGAAAACATTGTTCCTTCGAAACACTTCATGTAATCAAATTCGTAAATATTTTCTAATGACTCTTAACAGTCTGTTTTTAGCACGCATTTGCCAATGCCGAAATTAACTCCTAATCATGAACGTGTTATTATAATGAAGCTAATTAACAGAGACGCCGAAGTTTATGACATGAAGGAACTTATAAAGTTGGATTTGGCTGTGACAGAAGTGCTACTACAATATGATGACAGTATCGGGGTTCGGTATGTGATCGATTTTGGAGGATTTACGTTAAAACATTTGACTAAATGGAATCCAGTTTTATTACTTAAAAATGTAATTCTTATTGAAGTAAGAGTTTTTGTCTTCAAGTTTTGATATAGCTGTTAAATTGTGTTATATTTTATAGAAAGCATATTCTTGTCGATTGATGGGCATTCACTGTGTCAATCTTCCTGAATTCGCTAGTAAGATCCTAGGAATATTTAAGATTGTGTTGCGATCGAAGATTTATGATAAGGTAAATTGAAACCTCGTGCTTCTCGTGTTACTTTTTGTGTTGCCACGAACAAAAATGGCATTACTGTTTAATTTTGCACGTTAGAGAAGACATAATTTTGTAAAAGGCAACAGAAAAATGATGAATAAAATCAAAATTGAATCAATTTTACACAGGTGACGTAAATCAAATTTTTTATTCCAGGTGAAAATTGACAGTAGCTTGGAGTCTCTCTATGAGGTGATGCCGAAAGAATGTTTACCTTCTGAATATGGTGGTTCTTGTAGTGACATCCACAGTTTGTTAAGTACATATAAGTATTTAATAAATGTAACTAACTCACTCAAAATCTGTTTGTTACAGAAAAATGGGATGAAATTTTTCAAGATCACCGAAATTTTTTTATTGAAAACTACAAAAACGTTTCGTTGGAGCACCTGCGACCAGTAGATTTTACCAAAAGTGATTCATTTGGACCTGATGGTACTTTCAAACAATTAACGATTGACTAAAGGATTGCATAATATATTAACTGTATATAAGGTTTTGCTCGACTAGTTGTTTTGTGATAACAGTATTACACTATTGATTTATCTTTGTTTTATTAAGATTAGTAAATCCGATTTTTTACCTGTCTTTTAAAAATTTATAACTTTGATTAAATGGATAATAATCAACATCTAATCTTGTAATCAATAAAACTATAACTAAAATGTGTCTATTTATCTCCTCCAAACAATGGTTGACGTCATTTTAAAACATCCCGGAAATAACTGTCAATGCTGACATCCAGGTACAACTTTTATCATTACGGGTATTAACTTAGTACTAAAATTTTGCCATCAAAATAAATTTTAATCTTTCCAGATATTGTTCTTTGAGCTTTGTTTTAGTCTTCGTATGATCATATGGGACGACCAATGATGGCTCAGATATTTGTGTGTATCATTTCGATTATTTCTTTAGTTTGGGTTATTATGTGGTATTTGTTGTTGTGTGGCTATTCTGATTACTTGGATCTTACTTTTTTTAATACCAAAGCTCATTCCACCGGAAAACTGTTCTGTAAATTCAACAGCATTAGGCAACTTTCTAAAACTGTTAGAAACATTCTCAGATATTTTAACCTAAATTGTTAATATTTCGTTATATTAATCGATTATAAAGAAAGTAGACCTTTAAGATATTGGGAAAACAGGTGCGCGCAAACTACCCAAGAGGTAAGGGACAGTTGCGCGCAGCGGCCATAACGATTTGCATATATTTTATCTACAGACCAGAGCACATTCAGGCCAATATCGACTCTAAGCGATTTATCTATAAGCCGACTTTCGTCCATGTGGTCGGACAAGGAATAAGTGAACAAAGTTCTTGAAGATCTTAACGATTTAATACATAATGTTCCCGAACAACAAATTTGACATTTCAAATTGTATTATTGAATTTTTACCTTAGAGACGTCAAGATTTTGGGAAAAAAATCAACATTTTCCAAATTATAGTTATTGGAGGCATATTAGGTAAATTGTTAGTCAAATTTTATAAGTTCATGCCCCCAGGAATTGATGATGTCATCTCACAATTTTGTCGAATAAATGTAATTTAATTGCTAAAAAGTACCATAGTTCTGAACTTGTGGTTTATAAATATTGTGTTGAGATTTTTGGGCTTTTCGACTTCTGGATTTTTCAACTGTAGGTGTCTCAATTTTTTAATGTATCAATTTTGAGCTTTTTCCATTTTTCCATTCTTCGAATTTTCGATTTCTCAATTTTTTATTTTTCGATGTCTCAATTTTCCAACATTTCAATGATGATACGATTTCTCAATTTTTGTCCTCTTGAATTTTACGATTTTTCAAATTTGCATTTCTAAATTATCAGTTTTCCGATTTCTGAACTAATCTTTTTTTTTTCATTTCTCGACTTCCCAAAGTTTTTTGATTTCTCGATTGATCGAATTTAGATGTTTCGACGTTTTGATTGTTCAATTTCTCGATTTATCAATTTCTCAATTCTTAACTTTTTTAACTATGATTTTTCGATGTCTCAATTTTCCAACATTTCAATGATGATACGATTTTTCAATTTTTGTGCTCTTCAATTTTACGATTTTTCAAATTTGCGTTTCTAAATTATCAGTTTTCCGATTTCTCAACTAATCTTTTTTTTTATTTTCCCATTTCTCCACTTCCCAAAGTTTTTTGATTTCTCGATTTATCGAATTTAGATGTTTCGACGTTTTGATTGTTCAATTTCTCGATTTACCAATTTCTCAATTCGTAACTTTTTTAACTCTGATTTTTCGATATCTCAGTTTTACAACATTTCAAAGATGATAGTCTCAATTTTTGTGCTCTTCAATTTTACGATTTTTCAAATTTGCGTTTCTACATTATCAGTTTTCCGATTTCCGAACTAATCCTTTTTTTATTTTCCCATTTCTCCACTTCGCAAAGTTTTTTGATTTCTCGATTTATCGAATTTAGATGTTTCGACGTTTTGAATGTTCAATTTCTCGATTTATCAATTTCTCAATTCTTAACTTTTTTAACTCTGATTTTTCGATGTCTCAATTTTCCAACATTTCAATGATGATACGATTTCTCAATGTTTGTCCTCTTCAATTTTATGATTTTTCAAATTTGCGTATCTAAATTATCAGTTTTCCGATTTCTCAACTAATCTTTTTTGTTATTTTCCCATTTCTCGACTTCCCAAAGTTTTTTGATTTCTCGATTTATCGAATTTAGATGTTTCGACGTTTTGATTGTTCATTTTCTTCGATTTATCAATTTCTCAATTCTCAACTTTTTTAACTCTGATTTTTCGATGTTTCGATTTTAGGATTTCGCAGTTTTTCGATTTTTTACTTTTGGGCTTTTCAACTTATGGATTTTCCAAGTTTTCGATGTTTCAATTTTTCAAATTCAGGAGTTCCGATTTCACGATTTCTCAGTTTTTAGATTTTTAAATTTTAGATTTTCGAATTTTTTGATTTTTTGATGTTTGGATTTCTTGATTTTTCAATTTTGGGATATTTTAATTGTTCAATGTTTTATATTATGGATTCTTCGAATTTTCGATTTTTTTATTTTTCAATATTTCTATTTTTCAATTTTTCAAATTTTGACGTTGCTAAATTTTCAGTTTTCCAATTTCTCATTTACTCTATTTTTGATTTTCCCATTTCTCGACCTCTCGAAGTATCGATTTTTCAGTTCTTCAATGCTTCGATTTTTCGATTTTTCGACTTTACTTTTTTGGTTCTTCGATTTCTCAATTTTCCAAATTTTTAATTTCTCAATTTCTTTCAGTTTTGGGATTTTTCATCCATTTTTAACTTTTCGACTTCTCGACTTTTCGACTCCTTGATGTTTCGATCTTTCGATCTTTTGGTTTTTCGATTTCTTGATGTCTCAGCAATGTCTCAGCTTTTAAATTTTTCAGTGTTTCGATTTTACGATTGGCCGGTTTTTCGATTTTCACTTTTCGGGTTGTCGGTTTTTGAATTATCCAATTTTTCATTTTTTCATTTTTAAAATTTTCGAGTTTTGATTTCTCGTTTTGTTGATTTTTCAGTTTTTCGGTTTTTAAATTTTAGATTTTCCATTTTTTTTTTTTTGATTTTTTCCATTTTCAATTTTAGGATATTTTAATTTTTCCTTTTAAATTTTAGATTTTTCGATTTTTCAGTTCTTCAAAATTTTTAATTTTTCAAATCTTGACGTTTCTGAATTTTCAGTTTTCCGATTTCTCATTTAATCTATTTTTTGATTTTCTCATTTCTCGACTTCCTAGTTCTTTAATTTTTCGATTTTTCGGGTTTTTGATGTTACAATTTTTCGCTTTTTTAAGTTTGCGATTTTTTGAACTTTGCGTTTTTGACTTTTCGATTTCCCAATTTTTCAATTTTTTAATTTCCTAATTTTTGGATATTTCGTTCAATTTTTGATTTTACAGGTTTTCGATTCTTCAATTTTTGTTCAATTTTTCGATTTTTCGAGTACCTACTGGATTTTTCGGTTTCTCGGCCTTTTACTTCTGCGTTATGTTATACAGGGTGTTATTGAAAGGTGCGTACAATAAAATTGACAGTTCTTCGCGAAGTCTAAGAAGTCTGAAAAACTTATTTTGTGCTATCAAAATTATAAGGGGAAAATTAACCCTTATTCAAGCCTTTTAGAGGCTACTGAAGGATAAATAGGTAAAATGAATTTATTTTAGTAAATCCTAGCAACTGTAACAATAATAAAAAAAATAAGAGACTCTTTTGTTGCTATAGAAACGAAAGATGACCTTTTTATCAGAGACGTACAACGAATTTGGACATAAATTTTAATAATTTTTATCTCTAAAAGGAGAACACTTTTACCTGAACTTTTTTTTTCTTTTAGTACCCACATTTCAAGACCAATTGCCCATTTTATTTTGTACGTACCTTTCAATAACACGCTGTATAATTGTAACCACAGTATTACGTACCGTAATAATGTGAAAATATAAAAAAATCAAATTAAAAGTCTAATGAGGCAAAACCCCCATGAGGCACCCTCGGTGCGATGCCACTAATCCACCTTTTAAACAGTAGGTGGAAAAACGTTCGAATAAAACCGATGTAAACACTTTCAGGTTCAATTAAAAGTAAAACCGGCTTTCTGCTGGTTATCAATCGTCCAAAGATTATTAGTTGTAGAAACAACAAAATGTTGTCCTTGACTAACAATACAGGCTTCAGCACGTCGCAACATGTTTGCACGGGTACTTAAAACAACTCCGAAAGTTCCACAAACTGTAGCGGCTGCCATTTCCACTCGTTGTTGATACTCTTCGATAGTTTCTGGACACTATTGATTTCCATAAATTAACTGCTTCATTCAACCCCACAGAAAAAAATCACACGGATTGAGATCGTATGAACGCGGAGGCCAAGCTACTGGGTCGTTTCTGCCGACCCACTAGTTAGGAAAATGATTATTTAACCACTCGTTTACTGTCCTAGCAAAATGTGGTGGTTGTCGATCCGCATCTAGCTACTCTCTAACACATTGTTTAAAAACTCGAGGCAGTGTGCCTGGTTTAGTCTGTTTGGTAAAACATAAGGTCCAACTAAGCGGTCCTTTACGATACCCGTCCACACATTTATGGAAAACCATTGTTGACCAAATGTGAGTGTTGTTGCACTGGAAAACGGCATTGTGTGTTCACGACATGGTTTTAACAACCATTCGCAGTAAATTACACGACGTGGAAAATCAGCGGGCTCCAAAGCTTGCACTTTTTGAACGTGGTATGGATGTAAGCCTTATTATTTTAATGTACGATGCACTACAAACTGTGAAACTCCAACTTCAGCCGTAAATCGACGAGGAATGATGTGGGGCTGTTTTTCGACGCGTTCCAAAATTTGTTCTTCAACTTGCAGTATTCTTTCGGTCTAATTACAACTACGATGGTGAATTTGAGGCTTGAAGGTACCATGATCTCGGAGATGCTACCACTTAGGAACGTGAACTTTACACAGTGCAATAGCTCGTTGTGAGCTATTCCCCATTTTTTTATTGCACGCATTTCTTTGGTGTATATCCAATTGATCATTGCTTCAAAAATCCAATTAA